ACAATGGTGTATGTGTAAAAGCAAAAATGAATAAAAACATGTTCTTTAGATTTGGGATAATGTAGTGAGGTGAAGTTGTCTTTATCAATAAATTTTTAATTATAAGTATTAGTTTATTAGTGAGAATATATTTTTTTTCTAGATGGCAAAAGTTTCATATGAGACCCATTTAGTCATCCGATTTAATATGTCACATCGAATGATTAGTTGGTGGTGTTATAACGAAAGATTTGAATTAATAAATTTTTAAGAGTATAAAGTTTTAATTAAATTAAAAAATTACAGAGATCCTCAATAACGAAAAAAGCTGTAACGATTAATGAACTAAATGTAGGGTAAACTCGTAAAAAAATGATTTGAAGGAATATTATGCCAAATACAATCACATTCAAGATTTTAGCGGATAGACTCGTAAATAAGGGATATTTTAAAAGCTCGTCTTTGAAATGATGATTGGAAAAGGTATAGAGCAAAATATTTATACGTTCAATGGATGGGGATCGTTTACAAAGCCAAAAGAATGAAACCCAAAAGGTTTTCAACATCATGGTTGGCAAAGGGTTATATGCACCTAATAACATCTTGATCAATGGGTACTGTAAGAGTAGAAGGATGGATGGATGAGGCTAAATCACTACTTCCACTATTTTTATAAAAGGTTTTTGCCTAATAGGGAGGCCTCGGGATGCCCTAAATTTTTTCAAATAGATGTGTTCCGATAGCTTGCTTCCAAATTTGATGACTTCCTCGATTGTACCTAGATGGCTTATTCAAACATGGCCATTTGGATGAGGCATTCAAACTGCTCAAGGCAATGCATGTGGAGAGCAAAATAGAACTCGATTTGTCCCGTATACTATTTTTATTGAAGGGATGTGTAATGTTGGCAAGCTCGAAGCTTTAAGAGGAATGTTGTCCAATCTTTTCGTTAAAACACTAATCTTAATGAAAGAATTACTTTGTGTTGGAGGTTTTTGAGAACCAATGAAAATGACTAGATGATAAATTGACTAGAACATAAAAGGTCAATGTTGTGATTTGTAAAAACAATGATCAACCAATCAAATATATTGATTACGGGTAGGAAGAAGCATGCAAGGATGAGAAATACGAGTATGTAATCAAAACAGATAAAGATATTACGTAGTGTGTGAATGAAAAAGAGCTTTTAGAGAAGAAATTCAAAGGTTTCATGCTAGAGATCAAAAGTTAAAATTCCTTTATAATGATGTGAGATTGATATTTGTAGTAAATTGAAGATGAGTCTTCGCCATTAAGATCATGCGACACTATACATGTTTGAAGGATTAGATTTGAATTTAAGAAAATTAGGTTTTTTGCACTAAATTGCTTTAATTTACTAGCAAAAGTTAAATATAGTAACAATTAGATATTTCTTTAATAAATTATATTTTAAATTCATCAAATCAATTTTTCTCATGCATTTCAAAAAAAGACATCAACATATTCAAAATATCTATGTTCATTCTTATACAATCTAAAACTTTGTATTATGTGAGATATTATATCTTCATTCCAATCTATTTATTATGTAGTTTGAACCTACATCAAAACCAATAAAAAATAACATGAATTAATCTATAATAAAATTAGATAAATTACTTATTATTTAAAAAAAATAAAAATAAAATCGAGCATATGCATACATACATGAAAGTGTGCTCTTTTGATCTCGCACAACTAGCCAAATCCACCCCAGGTTTTGCTGTAGCAGATTTGTCTGACGTAGTTGATAAGGCTGTCATCTTGCCGTGATTATAGAATCCCTGCCAGAGAGTCTACAGATTTCGATAAAGTGAAGTACTCGAGAATATTGTGGAGAATTAAGACAGCCCATTTCATTTCCCTCTGCTTGCACTCCATTCTTGATTTGAGCAAATGGAAACTTCATTCTTTTCCTTGTCAGTGTTTCCACCGAAACTTCTATGTTAATTAACCTCTCCAAGTAAATTTTCTCTAAGCTTCATGTAATATAAATTTGATTTGGAAAGAACTTGACATTAAAAGTGAAATATTTCTAAATCAGTAGATTATTAAATGAATCAAATAGATTTTCCTTATTGGAAAAAAAACAGCCTGAAAAGTGAACTTTTCCCTTTTCAGGCTGTTTTTTCCCCTTTTTTTCCTTTATAACAACTGTTAGGGTTGTCAAGATGATTTATTTTTCTGGGCTTCTTGCTTGTATATATTAAAGATACGAGCTTTTTATTTTATTTTATTTTATTTTTTCAGGAAAAAAAGTTTATAGTTTATAAGCCCCTGTTTTCTACCACAAAGAAGAAAATTTGCTACAGTTTTCTTGCATGTATAATCCATGCTTTTTTATTTTTTATTTTTTGAAGGGACTATTTAGAAGTAAAGTTCTCGTTTTCAATTCATTGAGAGGCTTATGGAATTAGTTTTACTTTTCTGATTGAACTAATTAGCACTGCAATTGAAAATTATTTGGTTTTTTTTTTCATCTTTTAATATTTATAGACATCTATAAATCATAGTATATTATTAGGTGACTTTAATCTTTTTTTTTTCATCTTAGATTACTTAAAAAAAAGATTAGTCTAAATCATAGTATTTTTTACAGTATAAATCAAACAATGATATCGTAATTGATAAATGAATTTTAATTATCTAAGCTTTAACATCGAATGCACTTCAATATCATATATTATTACAATTTTTTTTTAATTGCAACTATAACAATTGTCACTTGTTTCAATAGCATCAACTCTTTTTTCCCCATAAATTAAATTACAATTTCAACTATTCATCGTTATAATCAGATAAAGCTCAAAAAAAAAAAAAAAAAAGATTGTAATCATCTCGTTCCAAGATTGCAACTATTTATAGGATTTGGCTCAAGATTGCTCTTTTTTTCCGAAGTTTTTTCTGAATTTGAAAATTATCATTTAATAAGTTTGTATATAAAGACTCAATCCAATTGAGTCGCATACTAATTTTGTCATATTTCTTCTCTGTTTTGTGTTTTGAGATTAAAATCTTGAAGTGGATAGTTTTTGTTTTTATTGTTTATATGCATTGATTTTTTTTTTAAATCCGTTTTAGTTTGGTAAAAAAGAAAAAGAAAAAGAAAAAAGAAACCGTTAATGTTTTTCGAGAATTACAAACCACAAGATTGATAGAAAGATAATACAGAAAAGTCTTAAGTTCCCACCCCACCCTCCACCTTCTCAGCCCCCAAAAAACGCGTATGGGAATATTAATTTGTTTATTTAATGTCAAGGATTATAAAGTTCCATAATTAATGTTTTTTCATTCAAAAGAATTTTGAAACTACAATACCAACCATACTCTAAGTTTGATTTTCCAATCTCATCCTTAAATATTTAATTAATTACATCTCTACTTCCAAATATATAAAATTTTAAAAATTCTGAAAATAAGCATAGCAGATAAAATAATAAATAATATTTTGATAAATAGTGGAAAATTTAAATAAAAGGAAATGAATGGGTAGTTTTTATCTAATATTCAACTTGCCAAACCGTAATAATTACCATTACGTTAAAAAACAAATGTGTCAACCAGGACATTGAAAATTACCACTTTCTCGTTACTGACTGACATGGTAAAATTTTCTTACACAAGGTGACAAACGAGACACCATAAGTTAAAAACTAAACTATAACTTAAAAACTGCAGCGACTTCCATAGTTCCATGTCACATTTTGTCATCGTAAATTTCGCACTCTCACTACATTTTCTCTTTCTCTCTCTCCCCACCCTGAAAATCTCCACTACTGCTTTAACTGTTCACCCTTCTTCTTATCTCACTTTCCCACAAATTTTCCATCACTTTCTCGGGAAAATTCCAGCTCAAGATTCTGACTTCAGCGTATACTTTCAGGTTAGGGAACTCACTTTTCCTTGTTGGCTTTTCACTAAAGATCATTTCTTTTTAACATTTTGATTCTTTCCTAAACTGATTTGATCTTTTTTGTATGTTTCCTTATCTGGGTTTCGTGTCATTTTATTGTATGTGAATCATTGTGTAGTAGGATGTTATATATTAACTGGGTCTTTAAAAATGGTGTCTTTTGAGGTGGGCTTTGGAAAATATTATGTGGGTTTGTTTAATTTCTTATATCTCTTAGCTGTTTTTGCTTTTTGAATTGAACTGTTGAAATTCAGTTGATGGATTATTTTGAGGGATTTTAGCTCCTACTACTGTGTTTAGGCTAAGAGAAGAGTTACTTGAGTGGAGTGGACCTAATAGGGTTTGTTTAAGTATGATTTTTTGAGTTTATTATTCAGTTGAAACATTCCACATTTAGCTAGTAGAAGCTATGAGTAAGCTTGGTTTGAGATGATTCAATATGGTAACTAGCTATTCAAGGCTGTTTGAAAGTTTTAGTTGGCCTGCGTTCGTGAAACAGCTATCTACTTTCATTAGTTGTAGATGAGTATGTTTTCCCTTATGGATTTTGACATGATAAAACAGACACGAGTACTTATCCTAATGACACTTTCTTTGCCAATTAGAAATATCAGCTGGCAGTAACAATTAAATTTGATACACTGGTCAATAGTCTCTTATCGAACACCTTCATGCCAAGGTGGGCGGGCGGGCACATTTCTTACAAGTTATTCTTTTGATATTGGAAAACAACGGAAGATATTCGTTTTAATTTCTCTGCTATCATGATTAGGTAGAAGGTGATCAGAGTTTCATCTTCATAAGTGCTTGGCATTCTTGCTAAAACGAAGTTACATGTATGAAACTGAATACTTGCTGACTACTTGTATAATATTTGGAACTAGTTCCTTCTACTTCACCTTTCTTACATGTTCGAGACAGCATATCACAGCATAAATGTGTTGCTTTGTGTCCCAATGTTAGTTGGAAATCCTTGTACAATTTTCTGTTTTCTTTTCCTTAACTAGTGTAAAAGACATGGATTTCTTCTCCTTCATTCCCAAACAGTTTGCTTTAATATATTTCCAATATCACATGTAGAGGTATGTATAAGAACCAACTGCAAGAGTTGGCTCAAAGAAGCTGCTTCAACCTGCCATCCTATTCCTGTATAAGGGAAGGGCCAGACCATGCCCCTCGATTCAAATCTACGGTCAATTTCAATGGAGAGACTTTTGAAAGCCCTACATTTTGCTCCACTCTGAGGCTAGCAGAGCATGCTGCAGCTGAGGTAGCTCTGAACACACTATCAAGGAGGGGCCCTTCCAGAGCATTAATTGCTGGAGTTCTGGTGAGCATTGTCTATATATCTATCTTCTTCTTTAGCTTAAAAAAATTATTCTTAGTCCAGCTCAAAAATATAGTACTTTAGTATGTTTTCCTCTCATTCTCACCAGCCTCAAACCCACATCCAAGGTCTCGGACCATAACACCGTGCCAAAAGTTACAATAGTCTCTAGCATTTTTTTTTTATTCTGATCAATTTGAAAGCTCTACATTTTGTGCTCTATAACTTTGCTTTTCTTCGATCCATTATAGCAGTGTAGATGTTGTCAACTGAAATATATCTTGATTTGATACATCTGTATTGTTTATGTAAGCTAACATTGCAAGCTTGGGTCCTCCACCAACAAGGCACCACTTAGATTGTCACGACTCTATTTGAATTGGACTTTCACTGAATGATTATGCTGATGCTGTCTCCTTTTTTAAATTAACTATCTTATTCCAAACAGTAATTGCACTAGAAAAACCACCGTCTGGGAAATTTCTGTGACAACAGTACTTGTAATCCATCAATGCTAATCCATCACAGAACAGTCATCAAACATTGTAGGTTTTTTGAAAATAACTATACTGGGAGAGAAATTATAAGATTTGCTTCTTTTGACAAATTTGCACCCTTTATTTGTCTCCGGAACATTCTAGTCACCAAAAAACAGGACAAGCTACTCATGGCTTCTGGAATATGTTTTTTGGATCTTCATTGTTTTAATTGAATTTATAACCTGCTTCCTATTTGCATCTTATAGTACATCATTTTCTAATGTGTCCTTTTGTTACTTTTCTGTAACTTATTTATCGTTTATCTCAAAAATCGAACATATTACATTCTGGACAATTTTTTTTTTTTTTTTGTGCTTCTCCTGTTCAGGATGAAACAGGAGTCTACAAGAATTTGCTCCAGGAGACTGCTCACCGGGCTGGGTTAAAGCTTCCAGTGTATACGACGATTCGATCGGGACCTGGCCATGTTCCTGTCTTCTCGTGCACTGTTGAGCTTGCAGGAATGAGCTTTACTGGAGAATCGGCTAGGACTAAGAAACAAGCTCAGAAGAACGCAGCCATGGCCGCTTGGTCTGCTCTAAAAAGATGTACGTACTTCATCCTTCCATTATAATCCATGTTCAGATTGCTCTGACATGGTTAGAATCTAAACAAGCACTACTTTATCTGCCTTTTTAAGCATGTAAAAGGTAGTTTGTTCACTAGCATAAGCAAGTTGTGAAATGGGAACTAGTGCTTCTGGTTCATGTTTCTCCTTCATTTGCATTGAAACTAGAAAGTTCGACACATAGATACATGTGATCTAATTCTCAGACTGTCTTGCCTTTTTCTATAATAGAAAAGGAAAGTTCATGAGATCCGTACACAAACATCATGAATTACTTGATTTGTGGTACCATGTGGGATCCCTTATAATTCACAAACACTTTGTGTACTTAAAAATTTGTGAAAAAAATGCTTTCCCCTTGCAAACAAGTCCTGCATTTTTGGTTCAAAATTGTATGGATTTATCATTAAATTATCCTTGTGGAAAATTCCATATGTTTTCCTTAGATTACAACTATCAAATACATACGTTAACAGTTTTACGAGTTGTTGTTCATCAAATTATTGCCGCCATAACTTTGACCAGAATTTCACCAGCATTTTGCTATGAAGACTATCTGAATATTTGATCACATTTCTGTAGTGGTTCAACACAGCACATCATCTTCCAGTTCATCAACTTCTTCGCCAGTGGAGTCTAAAAGGAGCAGTGAAGAACAAGAACAAGTTGTTATTGCTCGTATTCTTGCATCTTTACAACCAGCTGAGTTAAAGAACTCCAAGCAATGTGATTCCCAGCGAGGCCAGGAGAGATTCATCCCTGTCTGCAAAGACTTAACCCCTCCAATACCAACTTTATATCCTGTGCAGTGCCAAAGCTGGGCTTATCCTAGCTTTTCCCCAGAAATGGCCATATACCAAATGTGGCAACAAGAAGAATTTTTTCAGCTGCAAAACCATCTATTGGCGTTTCAAGTTCCGCCTGTTTCTCCTGGTCCTCAAATTCTTCCATATGTGCAGTCCATACTCCCCTCAGATTCAGTTCTATTTGGTCCTCTGAGGGAGCAAGAACCTGTACCTGTAGGACCCAGAATTACAATTGCCACTTCAAGACCATTGTACTTGGCAGATCATAATGTCTCTGATCCAATCAAGGGAGAATCCACAGTGACCATTAGGGAGATACATGAGGAGAAACCAGAAGAACCACTACAGTGCTCTACATCAGTTATTCCAGATCCCCCTGTTGTTGGCAACTTCAATGCCGAACCAAGATTGAAGGACCCAGTTGGCATGGATGACAAACAGATGAAGGTTGAACTGGAAAGAAAAGTTGAAAATGTTCAACCAGGAGATAATCAAACTAAGCAATTTGAACGGACTTCCTGCAGCAATGCAGATTCTGGGTACAGACCTGCTGACTTCCAAGCACAAAACATGCAGAGTTTTCACTCTTCTCAGGTTACTCTACAGTATCCTCAAAGAGCAAGTTCACTCAGGAGTTATAGACCAGCTCCATCTGCAGCGCCGCCTGTAATGATCAGATCCGTGAGGCCTGTACCCTCATCCACAGTACCTCCTGCACTGAACAGCAATATGGGACCTCCTTCAGTGCCCAAACGGCAAGATTTGGCGGCACAAATTCCTGCACTACCGAGAATGCGAACTGGAGGTCACTCATATCCAGCTGGTCCCTTGCCTCAAAGAATGAACCTTGGTGGCGTCCGCCCGCGTTTCATGGCACCAGCTGTTCGTATAAGATCAGTTGTGCCAGTCTGTTCGGCTCCTCCAGCAAGGAGAATGCCAACTTCAAGTCAAGGGGGAGTGTTACCTAATAGAGAGATCAAAGATACAGGGGTATCAGAAGACGTGTCACAAGCAAGTTCAGAGCTCTGTAAGCTTCGGATATGAGCGGATTATAGATACCAAATAGCTCATCTTTTTGCTTTTAGAATTTACTAGCTGCATGGCCTGCACATTGCTGCGGGATAGCTGGAGAAAAACAACAGGAGAGATATTAATGGTGTCTGATGAAGCTCTTTTGATGATTTTCCTGTTTTCATCTCTAAGGTGGTTAAGATCTATAGGAACAGCTGTATTTTATCTATTTATTGACTGTGTTAGAAAGCAATGTTTGTAAATTGCTATATTGGCAGGACTGTTTTTCGATGCCTTTATATAAGAAATGAAGATGTTTGATGAAACAGATGGTTAGATAATTTATTAGGAGTGTGATGGTTTCTGCAATGTTTGGACCAGTTTTGATTAAGTGACAAAGGCAATGAGTGAAGAAAATGAACCGTCTTTGTATCAGCTTAATCTCATCGAGTACTCGTTGATTCAATGTGTAGAGATCCTCTTTTCCATGGTAAGGAAAACAGAGAGAATGGATTATTAATGGGCAGAAAATATGAAGTCCTGAGAAAAGGCATAAAAAAAGAACCAACTGCTTGCTTCAGGATGCCTAGCCTCGTCAACTTGCAGCGTGCATTGCTCATCGGGGATATTTCTTATGTATTATGCGAACCCCAGTTGAGACAATTTTGATGACAACCAGAATTGTTTTGGTTCAAACTATTTCAAGAATCCATCTAAGTGGCTCTGTGGCTGGTCAAGGCAAGTTCTGCTTGTTTCGTTTATAATTTTAAAACATTTGACAGTTTGTTTATAACTGTGAGAACGAGATTGGATTTGATATATTCTGAGTATTTTTAAGTACTTATGTTTTTTTAAGCTTGCCATCTTTTGTCAAACAGACTCCAAATTTATAGTAATCTGACCTTATAATCTAAGGAGAAGGGTTAGGACGTGTTTTATGCACTGGATATTCCTGGATGGGACCTGAAGGAGTGGCTGTTCTAGTCCTTTATTTGATGCACACATCATTGAACAACTATATTTTATTTTTTGTTTGATCAATAATCAAAAAGACTACCGATCAGTGCAGCCACAGATTTAAGCTGTCTCGAACATATAAAGTGTTCACTTATGAGATTATGTGTTTGAATAATCTATTGTAGCTTATAGTTAGTAGCTTATTTATGTTTTCTTGAATGATCATAACTATTCCCAATAAATTTTATAATGCTTAAGAAATAAGTAACGTAAGTTATTCTATAAAGAGAGATAGATACAAATAAGAGAAAAATATGAGGAAAAAAAATTGAGTTAATGTGAAAATCTTCTTATTACTTTTAGTAAGTTGATTTGATTTTTTTTTTTTTTCAAGTAATGTAAATTTTATTATGCTAATTTTATTAAAATATGAACAATAATCCCACTATCTACCATCCGAGGAATATATATATATATATATATTTTGTAGAAGTGTTTTGTAAATTTATTTGAAAAAAAGAAAAATAGTTTCTATTGACATACAAATTGACATAAAAATACCCTTTAACATCGGACCAAAAGAAAAAAACAAAAAATCTTAGAATGGTATATAGTTAAAATTTTATATGTACATCATAATATGTTTTTTATTTTCGTTGGACAATAAAAATATAGTCGGGTAAACTTACACATCATTCCAAACAAAAAATTTTTATTGGATGATCTTAAGACACACTCAATATCTACACAACGCATTAGACGTAATGCATTAAAAAATTTTTAATAAATTTTAATTTCTCTAGATATTAGCCTAAGATCTGAAGCCAAAAAAAATCAAGAATATAAACAAATTTTTTTAATAACCAGACAATTTTTTAAAGTTAATAATTTCTTATTTTCATAACTGTGTTTCCCATTGCTATATAACTTTGAAGCATCTTATCCATTTTATTATTTAGAATACAAATTGAAAACAACATTGTAAAAAAAAAAAAAAAACTTTTCAGATTTAAATAAAAGTTCCTAAAATCTTATTGAAAAGATATTTATTTTTTTTAATGACTCTGTGTCTCTTGTCAAGCAAGTATGAAGGAGAGACCTCAACAAAGGGAAACGGAAAAACCCTAAATAAACAAAACTTATACACGGCCACACCGCACCCTCAATTTATTGACAGGACAAAGCAACCAAAACCTTCTACTTACCCAAAAACTCCCAACTTGTTTTACTTAATCCCTGAAATACCCCCATCAAATCACAGATGTCGGCCAACCATAGCGGTTCCAAAAAATCCCTAGCCTCTCTTAAAAACAGCTAGTAAGACTCCCAGCCTCTTTTTGCGCTGCTAGCTCTCCAATTTATAAAGCCCTCTTAAACCCTAGAAACCCTCTCTCTTTTTCTCTCTTCAAGAGAACGCAGTTGTTGTAGAAGAGGTAAGCAGTTTTTCTCATCGAAGTTGTTCTCTTTATGCACTATTCTTCTCCTATAAACCCTGAAAGACTCTATCCGGTATATATTGATTATCTCATTGTTTGTTTTTTTTTTTTAGTTTCCCTCTCTCTGATACTAAAGTGGGTGTCTTTTGTTTGTTTTTTTGGAGTTGATTTAGAGTTCAAAGGTTGTTTTTTAAAGTGGGTTTTGCTTCTTTTTTTACCTCCTTAATGAGTTACTCTACGTGTCTATATCTGTGTGTTTTTGGGTTAGTTGTTGGTTTGTGATTCACTGAATGCTTCCTGTGATAAGTGAAAAATTGATAAAGAGTTTGGCTTTTTTGAATGAACTAGGAGGGTAAAGTAAGTGATTTTAAGTGACGGTTGGTGTTGATTTTGCAGGGTTTTTAGAGGTATTGAAATATGCTTCTGCTATTCGAGACGCCTGCGGGGTTTGCCCTTTTTAAAGTTTTGGATGAAGGAAAGCTATCTAAAGTTGAAGTAATTCTTTTTTAACTGGTTTTTGTTTTTCTGACAGCAATTAATATTCAGTTTACGGTTTTTTCTAATTTATTTTTCTGCACAAGTAAATGTAATACTTGCAAAAAATGTTGGCTAAAGTTAATCTTGCATGTATGTCTTTTGTTGCAGGATTTGGGGAAGGAGTTTCAAAGCCCAGAATCAGCAAGAAAGGTTCTCTCTCATGAGTAGAGTAAAATGGCATTTAGATTTGGAGTGGATAGCTAGCCAGACCTTGATTGATTTTCTGTTTTTGCTGAAAATTTTACTTTTTCATACCTCTAATGTGCATTAATAAGAAAATTTATTGTTTGCGTTGTTGTTTGAATTTTCTGGACTCTTTATAGTACCTGTTGGTTGGTTATAAATACTAAACCTGCCTTTTTTTCTGATTACCAACATTTCAAATTTAGACTTTTCTATGTTACATATCACATAGTATCTAAAAGCTCAATGGGGACCTTGCTTCTCTTTTTAAATTGGTTGCCTTGCCTGCTATGGGAAATTATTCCTCTTTAACTTTTATTGGGCTTGAATTTAACTGTCATTTGGTATCACACCAGGTGGTGAAGTTGAAAGCTTTTTCCAAGTTTGAGAACACATCCGAGGCTTTGGAAGCTGTCACCAAAATTATTGAAAGCTCAACCAGCAAAGGTCTACGGAAATTCTTGCGTGCTAACTGTGATGGAGAGACGTTAGCTGTAGCTGATTCAAAGCTCGGAAATGCAATCAAGGAAAAACTGGTGTGCCCATACTTCTAGAGATATCTTTATGAAAGTTATCCTCAATTTTAATTCTCTCTTTGTATAAGTCAGAGCAATATTTTCATTTTCAGAAAATAGAATGTGTTCACAACAATGGTGTCATGGAATTGATGAGAGGTGTTAGGAGTCAGTTGACAGAACTCATATCTGGTTTAGCTACACAAGATTTGGCACCAATGAGCTTGGGTTTATCACACAGTCTTTCTAGATACAAACTGAAGTTCAGTCCTGATAAGGTATTTTCTATATATTGGGGCGCTTTAATTTCTATAGTCCAAGCAATTGATTATCTTTGTATTATTTCTCTCATTTCTTGTATCAGCCTGTGCAAAATGGTAGACTAACATGTTTACAGCATGCATCCTTGTGCTCTTGCTATAGATGTCATTTGTGCCTGTGTCTTCATTGCCTCATTGGTCATTGTTCGAAGAATAATTTTTCTTTGGTTCCTTTTGAAATATTGCTTAAAACAACTTTTTCCTGGGAGCAATTAAAATTGAAAGATTTATATAGGTCATAGATGATTCAGATGATTGATTTTGTTGTTGTCTTTCTTTCTTCTCTTTTTAAAGGAAGGCAGACCATTAGGTTGACAAAAGTCTGCTGCATTATAATTATCTTTATTTCTTGTTGCTGGACTACATGTATCTAGCATTTTCTGATTCTTTTAAAAAGCATCTGTGTTCTTTGGGATGCTGCAATCATAATGCTTATTGTTCTGTTTTAGGTTGACACAATGATCATTCAAGCCATTGGTTTGCTTGATGATCTTGATAAGGAGCTCAACACATATGCAATGAGGGTTCGAGAATGGTATGGTTGGCATTTTCCCGAGCTTGCTAAGATTGTACAAGACAACATCCTTTATGCCAAATCAGTGAAACTAATGGGTAGCCGTGACAATGCTGCAAAGCTTGATTTTTCTGAGGTAGAATCCGTTTTTTTTTATTGCAATAGCATGGTGTTTCCTCTGTGTGTGTGGCTTATACGGTGATCATGAGATCATCAATGCCACCCATTTATGTTATATTCTCTAATGTTACCCTGCTTTGATGCTTGTCATTACTGGCCACTGGCTCTGTCTTTACCTAATTGCTGCCTGTTCAATGAGCAATCTCTTTGCAATGATTGTCCAATACCTCCCCGCTCCACTGTTGAAAGCATGTTGGATCACGAGGCGACTCCTGATCATATTTTTTTCCTCTCATAGGATAAGATAGTCTCATGAATGTTTTACGAATCTCTTTCTTAAAATTTTGCAGATACTGCCAGAAGAAGTTGAGGCAGAACTGAAGGAGGCAGCTATGATATCTATGGGAAGTGATGTTAGTGACGTTGATTTGACAAATATCAAAGAACTCTGCGACCAAGTCTTATCTCTAGCTGAATATAGAGCTCAGCTGTATGATTATTTAAAAAGCAGGATGAATACCATTGCACCAAATTTGACTGCTCTTGTTGGAGAGCTTGTTGGAGCTCGTCTTATTGCCCATGGGGGTAGCTTGTTAAATCTTGCAAAGCAGCCTGGGAGCACAGTTCAGATTCTTGGGGCAGAAAAGGCTCTCTTTAGAGCTCTGAAAACAAAGCATGCAACTCCAAAATATGGGCTTCTTTATCATGCATCCTTGGTTGGTCAGGCTCCCCCGAAGATGAAGGGTAAAATGTCTAGGTCACTAGCTGCAAAAGCTGCACTCGCAATCCGATATGATGCTCTTGGAGATGCCCAAGATGACTCTATGGGACTGGAGAACCGGCTAAAGGTATGTTTTAGAAGTTTGCCTATTGGTACATTGACAACCTCTTCCTTTCTCTTGCCAACTTTTATTTTGGGAAGGATCCCTTAGACATTGTAATCTGTAGCTTGAAGCACGATTAAGGAATCTGGAAGGAAAAGAATTGGGCCGTTCTGCTGGGTCAGCTAAAGGCAAACCAAAGATAGAAGTTTATGACAAGGATAGGAAGAAGGGAGCTGGAGGACTGATAACTCCTGCCAAGGTCACCTCTTGTCTTGAGTATGATTGTTAGTTTTTCTTTCCTTTTGCGCACAACTCTTTTAACGCATTTGCTTTGTGCAGACATATAATCCTTCTGCAGATGCTGTTCTTGGGCAAACACCAAATTCAACTGCTAGAAAGGTCGAAGAAGAGGAACCAGCAAAGGAGGCTCCAGTTACTGTTGAAGGGAAAAAAGAGAAGAAGAAAAAGAAGAGAAGTGAAGAAACAGCTGTGCCAAGTGACAGAAATGGAACTGCCGAACAGGATGGCGAAGGGGAAGCCAAGAAAGAAAAGAAGAAAAAGAAGAAGCATCAAGCCGAGAATGATGGTGTTCAAAATGAGATTGAAAATGCTGATGAGGGAGGCAAGAAGAAAAAGAAGCGAAAGCATGCCGAAGCCGAACAGGATGATGAATCTGAAACACCAAGCAAGAAGAAAGAGAAAAAGAAGAAGAAGAAGAGCGAGGATTGAGAAAATTCAGGAAGTTGAGGTTCCTTGCTACTCAGCAATTTTGGAGTAGAAATTAGGATGCAACTCTTTTTTTCTATATGTAAAATTCTATCTATTTATTTGTTTTTCATTGTGGTTTTTTAACTTGTTTCCAATGTGTTTTCTAATTCTCATGAACATGATAATGAGCACTGTCAGAATCAGACGCTTTTTGCAACATTATATTTGGTAAAATTTGGTTATGTCTCTTGGTAGTTGCAATTAGGATTTAATGAAAACACTATTACCATGCTTCAAGCGATTAAGCTCTGCTAGAAAGACAATTTATCAAGGACAAATGATGACAAGAAAGCAGTGCGGTGCCATTGCTGCTCAATTTTTTTTTCTTTATGTCGTTGCAGGTACCTCTCTGTTAAGGCAGATACTTTAGTAGGGAGAGAGAGAGAGAGAGAGAGGAAGCAATTGATGGATTGGCCAAGTAAATCTCTCCCTGCTCAAAAAAAGAAGAAGATCAAAGCTGACCTCATAATTAATATCATAGGAATCCAATACATGTGACGTGGGCTGAGGTCCCACCGGATATATTTATCAAAGATGATGTAGTAATATGGTTGAACTAAGAATGTCTTGGAAGGATAATTGAAACCTTTGATTGGATTCATATGTGAGTTAGGTTAGCTGTGCAATTTATAACAAGATTTGGTTGGCTTAATCCTTTTTTTATGCTTACTAATAGAGATATATACGCTAATAATGGCTTTGGTATACTTTGATCCTTTCCAACTGGAAGAATAATGAATGATGTTCTCTTGGATCCTTACAGCATCAAGGAAAGGAAAATTGGTTTCTTAAGAAGAAAAACACCCATACAAATTCTATTTCATAATTGGAATATTAATTTCAAAGGGAAGTTATGAGTTGGAAAGGAGAGTGACATAAAAATGACCAGAAAAATGTGTTGGGGTGAAACTCATGTCTTGAACTCAAACAATGAACTCTCTTTTGTTTTTTTTTTGCATTTTTTCATACTTTATTGATAAGAATCAAATTTAGGATGCTATCCCAATAAAAACAAATATCCTTTCCAACACAAAGCAAAACACCAAGGGCTACTTTAATGGCCCATAAATATATTTTCAAATTGGTTGCAGAAGTAATCCCATTGGAGTTTGGATGCCACCAACGAACATAAACATTTTATTCTCAATGTCAGTTTTTTGCAAGTTAAATTCGACAGTCACAACATTTTCAATTAATAACATCCCCTGCAAAAGTCCAAATTTCTGAAAATAAAGAAAAAAATACCATTCCCTAAAAAATAAAATTATAAAAAAGAAAAGAAAACAAAAGAAAAGATGCAAAAGCAAAACATGCCCATTAGTTAAGGAATGGAAAAAAAAAGAAAAAAAAGAAAAGAAAAGAAAAGAAAAGAAAATCTATGATGTGGGAGAGAGGGAGCTTGTTGGGGGCTTTGACTTGGAACAAAATAGGAAGTGAACAGCTACTGTTTTTTTTTTCTTTGATTGATTCTCTTTTCTTTTCTCTTTTTTCTTGTCTGAACAAAGACCCCAACAAAAAAGAAAACAAATAGAACCCCAAAAGAGACCAAAAAACCATTCCTTACCAACAACAAAATATTGTCAATATTATACCACCACTTGTATTTTCTCTGTCCCTCCTCTCCTTTAACTCAGATTCAATCAAAGTAAGTATGTTTCTCTATTAACATCGCTTTCTTTAACTATCCACTTCTTTTTCAGATCCTTTTTTTCGTTTCTGTTTTGTCTTCAAAGCTAAATATCTTGTCTTTCTCTATTCACTGCTCTCTCTTTCTTTCTTTTTCTCTACTTGGGTTAGATCAATTTTTACTTTGCTTTTTAGTTAATGAATCTTGAAGAATAGTTTTCTTGTGATTTGCTTGTATTCACAACCGTTCTTTTGGGTGACAATTATGAGCTCGTTTGAACTGTAAAGTTTCTATCTTTAGATTTTTTTTTTTGATGTTTGTATGAATCGTGAAAAGTCTGAATCTGGGTTGTGGATGGTGCTGATTTTGGAATGCGAGATTGATCAGTTGAGTTTTTTTGAACTGTGAATTTTAAACTGTTTTGGATCATGTAGTAAATAGGATTTAGTGCAAATTTGTTATTTTCTTAGAGGTGTTTTAATGCTTAGTGATTAATTTATTGATTTGCAGTATTTTTTTGCTGATACTTGGGAAACCCAGATAGACCATGTTGAGAAATGAGGTTTAGATTGAAGACATGGGGTGTGTTCTTGGGAGAGAGGTATCTTCAGGCATAGTTTCAGAGTCTAAAGAGGTCAAGAACCTACGTGTTGAATCCAATAGGAAAGTAGATGTTTCGGTGACAAAGACTGATACTACTAGTAGTGTTGTTGAGATTCAAAATGAGGAAACTCAGGAGGAGAAAGTTGATGGGGATAAAAAACCTAAGGGAGAGAGGAGGAGGTCAAGGCCAAACTCCAAGCCAAGTAACCTGCCCAAACAAACGCGTGGCGAGCAGGTTGCAGCAGGCTGGCCACCCTGGCTGTCAGCAGTTTGTGGGGAGGCTCTAAATGGATGGATTCCACGGAGAGCAGACACATTCGAGAAGATTGATAAGGTGAATGTCATTTTCAGAATACAATTCTTATTTTCTTAGATTCTGTGGTTGTGGTAGTTCTGAAACTAGCAGTGAAATGGTGGTTAGTTTGGAAGTGAAGTTCTATCTTGAATGCCCGCCACAGATGATGTAGCAGTTATCTCAGAATAAGTAATATTATAATAATGACAGGTTTTGCTTCAAATTAGAAGGAAAGGAAATGTGGTCAGAGGCATTTGAGATGTGGTTTCGCTATATATATAGTATGGCCATTTTGTTTCCAGCTTGTTAATGTTTATCGAGTTAATTGTCTAATTCGAATTGTTTCCTCCATTCTTGATTGTAGATTGGATCAGGAACGTATAGCAATGTGTACAAAGCTAGAGATCTATTGACGGACAAAGTTGTTGCCCTAAAAAAGGTTCGTTTTGATAATCTGGAACCAGAGAGTGTGAAGTTTATGGCTAGAGAGATCCTCATTTTGCGAAGATTGGATCATCCGAATGTTGTAAAGTTGGAAGGGCTAGTTACTTCCAGGATGACATGTAGTTTGTACCTCGTATTTGAGTACATGGAGCACGATTTAGCTGGACTTGCTGCCAGCCCTGCAGTAAAATTTACAGAGCCACAGGTTAGTCAAATTCTGTCTTGAATCAATTTTAGAGTGGAGGTCTGAGAGGGACAGCTCTGGCTGAAGTTGTTTTCATTTACATCTGCCAATGTTCATACTTCAGGTTAAATGTTACATGCATCAACTATTATCTGGACTTGAGCATTGTCACAATCGTGGTGTGCTTCATCGTGATATCAAGGGATCGAATCTTTTGATTGACAATGAAGGAATACTTAGGATTGCTGATTTTGGATTGGCGTCTTTCTTTGATCCTAATCACAAGCATACAATGACAAGTCGGGTTGTTACTCTGTGGTATCGGCCTCCTGAGCTTCTTCTTGGGGCTACTGACTATGGTGTTGGTATTGACCTGTGGAGTGCAGGCTGTATATTGGCTGAGCTACTGGCTGGGAAGCCCATTATGCCTGGTCGCACAGAGGTAACTATTATTCTTGTTGTGGTTGTATTTTTATCTCTCTAGTTCCATTTAACCAGCCGTTTGATACATGTACAGAGGATGATATTGCTTTAGTCAATTTAGTTCCAAAACTTGATGTTAAAGTGCACCTATGTAGTGGTGTAGGAAATGCACAGATACAATTACCAGGGCTTATGTGAAAGCTCAAGATCTTTTGGCTTAGGCAGTGAAAGGTTAGGCATAAATGAAGTATTGATTAATACATATATTCCATACTTTAGATTATGGAACATGGATTCAGTGAGAAAATTAGCAAAGAATATGAATATGAGGATAAATGACTAGTTGAATGTTTTGATTAGTTACGCCTTGGCAGCTATTCAAGTTCTCTGCTTCAGTCTAACCTAATTTCCTGAGAGAAAGGGGCATCCTTAGTACATTGTGCTTCTGTTTGTGAGTGTGCAAAACTGCAAACTATTCAAGTGCCAAATTACACTTAGATGAATGCCCTGCTCTCATTTCTGACCACAAGTGTTTCTTTGATGATCTAGGTAGAGCAATTACATAAGATATACAAGCTATGCGGTTCACCATCAGATGAATACTGGAAAAAATCAAAGTTACCAAATGCAACCTTGTTTAAGCCTCGAGAGCCTTACAAAAGATGCATAAGAGAGACATTTAAAGATTTTCCACCATCATCACTGCCCCTCATTGACACTCTTCTTGCAATTGATCCAGTGGAACGTCAGACAGCCACAACTGCTCTAAAGAGTGAAGTAAGTTCTGACATTTTCAATTTTTCTTGTCTTTTGGAGTCTTCAACTTTTGTCGCATCTCCATACTTGTGTTTATGTTAAGCCTTATTTTCTTTCTGTCAACTTCTGTCAAACCGGTGTCTTCTGTGAGGGACTTAGAAAATGATAGGTGTTTGTATTGTTCCCTGAAGTCTGGATGAAATTAAAATAAACCTGATACTGGATTATGGACTCCCATATGATCTTATAAGCTGTTCTCGCTGCTGATGAAAACCGGGAAAGCACCACTGTCTTTTTATGTGTCTGTGGTTCCAATTCCATACTTCAAATGAACTGGAATTTGAAGGAAAATAAAAATAATAATTAAGCACCAGTCTGCTTAGTGTGCTTGCTTTTGTGTTTTGAGTAGCCCATACTGAATTTATCCAGTAATTAGCTAACTTTAATGGCTTACAGCAGTTGGAATCTGGCAAAGTTATGGCTGCTTGTTGTTCATGACTGTGGAAACTTTCGAGTGGATTTCTTGTCACTGAGTACACTCATTTCTTGTGAATCACAACTAAGTAAAATATTTGTGATTTTGCAAGACCTGAAATTTCTTAATTTTGTAAATATTTAGTTCTTGCTACTTATGAAGTTATGACAATGTAGTTCTTTGCTCTCTGCTTTGTACTCGGTAATAAAAATCAAATAAGCAGATTATAACTGTTAGGTACAACATCAGAACCATTATCTTATATGCAGCACTTACCTTACCTCAAGCTCCTAACGGTTAGGAATCAGTTGTTGGAAGTTGTCATTTACTGATTCTGGTCCTCTTAATCTTAATTAAATTTTTTTTTAATTACATTAAATACACTTCTCTTTTTTCTGGAAAACCATGTTGATTCCATGGTGGCTTCTACCTTGATGATGGTAAGCCTGATCTTGGCATATGCTAGGCTTTGAATTTTCCTGGTTAGTTTGACATTAAAGCAATGGTGTTAACGCATCCCACAAAAATTTAACACCTGTTTTTTCTTCTTTTTTTTTCCCCTTTTGGGATTAAAAACTGGTGTAACCTATAAATTCAGAGGTGTTCCTGATGATGACTTCAAACTATGTACAAGATTTCTTGTATTGAAAATCATGCTTAATCATCCCATTCATTATGTAACTTTTACTTTGCAGTTCTTCACAACAGAACCTTATGCTTGCGAACCTTCTAGTCTCCCAAAATATCCCCCAAGTAAGGAGATGGATGCTAAACGACGAGATGATGAAGCTCGAAGGTGCCCCTTTAGATATGCATTTGTTTTTGTTTTTATTTTGTGCAAAGTTTTCGTATAAATTAATCTGCCTCTCTCTCTCTCTCTCTCTCTCTCTACCCCTCACCAGCATGCACACCTTTTATATAGGTAGATAACATTCACATGTGCTCACACACAGCCCTCCCATGAATATTGATATTTTATTTAAACCAGTTATGAAAGGCATCTGCTTATATAACTGTATTTTTCTCCTAGTAGTTGGTAAAATGATTTCTGCAGAAAGTACACTGCTAGACAATCATTATGATTCAACGGAAGTTTTTCTTTGATAAGTTTGAGACACACTGAATGTGGGATAGAGCAAAAGCTTCTATGAAACTAATCTAGTCAGAATAAACAAGAGTTAGGACAAAGGAATGAAACAAAGAACAGAAATTCTATGAACATTTACTCTAGGTTGCCGAGCAATGCAACATAAACTCCTCTCTTTTTTTTTTCCCTCTTTTTGTCATTCAGAGACTCATTCTGTTCTTTTTGTGATTTCTTTGATATACCATTGAAGTTACCTAGAACAAATTTTAACATGATGATCAATCTATTGTTCCCTCATTTGTTTTGTTTTATATCCCACACAGTTCTGTACTTATGATCTGGACTGCATTTTCTCTTTCATATATGACACATAAGTGTCCAGTATTTTTTCTCTCTATTGATAATCATTTTTGTTTGATTGTGTAGACTAAGAGCTGCCAGCAAAGCCCAAGGTGATGCTGGAAAGAAACCACGAGCACGTGAACGTCATGCTAGGGGAATGCCAGCTCCAGATGCCAATGCAGAGCTCCAGTCCAATATTGATGTATGTCTGATAATTTACTCTCATGAACTATTGTCTTGTTTATGTTCTGGTGCTTTCGTTTTTCTTGACATACATGCCATGGGATTATATTTTCTATCAAATAAATAACCAAATAAATTGATGTAGCTATATGGGACGATACTGTTACTACTTTTCCACCCTTCTCCTGGCATTAGATTTGACAAAAGAACCCATTCGCCAATACCACTTATGACTTGTGATTTTTATTTCATTTAAATTTGAAACACATATTATTTAATTTTCAAGAGCTTCATTTTGTTCCTTTTGCTACTTTTGATGTGTGGGTGAGTGTGTGAGGAGGAGCATACTCTTTTTTTGCCACTTTTAACACTATGTTTGGTTGGTATGGTGGAAGATCTATATGAAGGATGGATTAGTCGATTAAAAAAAATCTGAGGATGGAAGGAAGAGATGAATCCTTCCATTCATTATCGGAGTGTACATCAGTCCTGCCAAACAAGTGAAACACCTCTTGCATCTCGTCTTCTTTCTTTCTACCATAATTAGCACGATACTCTAGAGAATTTTCAGTGAACCGGTGACTTAATTTGATATTTTGCTTGCAGTCTTGTGCTGTTAATCCTGTTGTTTCTTTCTAATACAGAGAAGGCGCCTAATTAACCATGCAAATGCAAAAAGCAAGAGCGAAAAGTTTCCCCCGCCCCATCAGGATGGAGCACTTGGGTATCCTTTAGGATCTTCTCACCACATTGATCCTGCGCTTGTTCCTCCTGATGTCCCATTTAGTACCACCTCATTTACTTACTCAAAGGAGCCAATACAAACTTGGTCTGGCCCATTGGTTGACCCTGCTGGTGTTGGTGCTCCAAGGCGAAAGAAGAAGAATGCAGGTGACACACGAGGATCGTCAAAACTGCCAAGTGGAAAAGATAAAAGCAGAGATGCTCAGTTAAAAGGAAAGAAGAGCATGGCTTAAAAACTCAAGTGCATGCATGGAATGCCAGTCATTTCCTATACAAGAGTCATTACTGCAATTTATGTGTACTGAAACAACGGCCTTCTTCACACATAGTAGAATATATTTATTTGTTTAAAAATGTATTGAGGGGTGAAATCAAATTTTCTACACTATTTTTCCCATTTTAGATTTCTTCATTCCATGGTAGAAAAATTTCTGCTCTATTTTGGGGATGGTGAGAAACTTCCATTGATATGTATATTTTTTATTATTCTTTCCCATCTTTTTTGAATTTTCTAGTGTTGAAGACTAAGTTATTTTCAGATTAGTAAAAGAAACTAATAAATTCCTTAAGAGTTCCAGGTAGCCAAGTTCTTTATTCCTAGAGTTATCCTAGCAATTTTGCTCGGATGATTCCCATTAAGAATTTCCTAGCAAAGTTTGATGAATATTTTGGTGTCATCTTCTTCTTCCTTTTTATTTTTTTCCCCCTGGTGTGAAGGTGAATAGGAAGGTTGCTGTGGCATTTTGATGAAATCACTTCATTCCTATTGCATGCACCAAATTGTTGCTACCACAACCTGCTTAAAACTAAAATATTCTATGTTTAAGAAGATCAATAAGGCTTTATAAAAAAAAATGTTTTTTCATGTATGATATTTCTATTTTTCGAATTGTTTTGATTGAAAATTTTCATCTTTTTTCATGTTGATCAAGTGTTTTTACTTTTTGTTTTGTTTTGTTTTCATTTTTCTATTATGTCGGTGTTAGTTGGGAGCTAATATGGCATGGCATATTCATTTTTTAGTTGTGATACGTATTATACATAAGATTTTATTAAAAGAATTCAATAAAAATAATTAAAAAAAATATGAAATTCAATCAAAATAATTCAAAAAGTGTAAGGGTTAAATTATTATTTTTTTTAATTTTCATGTTTTTTTTTTTTAAACCTCATCCTAAATGCATAAAATTTGTTACGTATGCCCCCATCACAGTAAAATAAAATTGTTTTTAATAAAAATGTTATAATAAGTTAAAAATAATAAAAAAAATATGTAAAAAAATAAAAATAAGGTGATGTGTAATATCGATTAGTCACAAACTCCTAGTTGATGGGTTTAGTCCTTCATAAAAAAAAAAAAAAAGAAACTACGAAAATTTGATTAATTCAAAGTAAAAAATAGGGTTGCTCACTAAAAAAAACTCAAAACTACATCACATGTATATTTTTAAAGTAATTAAATACTAGTCAGCATTACTATTGTTTTAATTTTATTTTGACTTCTTCTTTTTTAATTGCATATTAGGCTTGTTTTGTATAAATTTTATTATTTTTTAATTATTATGATAATATTTTTTAAAAAATATGATGAGATTTCACACAAGACACCTTTTGCAACTTTCAAGACGAACTCTTAAAAACACAATATAATGAAAATAAATATTTGATCTATGCACAATGGTGTTTTTTTTTAATCATTTTGATTAAAGGCTTGCATTCTTTTGAATTATTTTGATTAATTTTTTTAATTAAGATATTCCGTCCGTCACGTGTCACACATTTATCAATAGACATGACATATCAGCTCACAACTAATTATAATATAATATAAGGATGAAAATAAAACAAAATAAAGAATAAAGTGATTCAATCAATGTGAAAAAAAAGTATAGAATTTCAATAAAAACGTTTCAACCACACATGGGCAAAACCCAACAAAAAAACAAAAAATAAAAGCAAGAGGAAGAAAATCAATCGGGGATTTGTGATGTTTTGTTCAAAAACAAGAGCAAGACCAAGGAGCACGTTAAGCTACTCTGAAAAAAAAAAAACAGAAAAAAAATATTATGAGTCAACTTAGTCCTTATGAATTTGTTTCGAATAAATTTGGGCACTCGTTGGACTGACATGTGAAATTCACATTAAAAATTTAAAAGTAAGCATAATTGATTTGAATTTGTTAATATATAATTATGAAAATTGAGCTGGATGCTTAAAACCACCACAGATGGTACGATTCACAGCCTTGCAACATATAGATATTGAAGATTGGAAAGGATTTAGATTGCTCAATTTTCAGCTAACTAGAATACCCTTGTCAATTATTTTAAAAAAAATTTTAAAAAATAAATCCAGTAATGACTTATATCATGTTATTTAGTATGATATTCATAAATTTCATCGAATCGAATAATCGGATGGATTTTTAATTAGTTTTAATCATGCATTAGATAAGAAGTCGTGTACAAAAATCAACCAACTAATTGAATTGAATTCATTGCTGCACCAAGCCTTTCAAGTTTCAATTATAAGAATTGTACTGTAAATAAAATTGAATAGAATTAAATCCATTACCTAATACAAACTTTATAAGCAAATGGTAAGTTTATCTCTCAATATGGAATTAAATCATAAAACGATTAAAAAAGCGAAATGATGGACCAACTTTGATAAGAAGTTTTATATTATTTCAAGAGTAACTAGTAACACTTACTTAATAAGAGAGAAAATTTATTTGAAGAAATTAAAGAAAAAAATGACATGGGAATGAGAGAACCAAAAACTTATTTAAAGAAATTAGAGAAAAAAACTTACAATATTTAGTAGATGTGATTAAATAATCCCTAAAAATAAAAACTAAATATTAATAGAGTATCATAAAAGACACAAATAAGAAACTATCAAATTCAAGAAATGCACTATATATATATATATATATATATATATATATACACACACGCATACAACTAGTCAAAAATACTATAACGGTTAAAATACGTCAAAGAAACTACCCATTACCCATGCTAGAAAAAGGTTATAAGCACATTAACAATACAAGCACCCCAAAACTTATCTATTTTTCTTTCTTCAAAATCATCGATCATTGTTTTTTTTTATAAACACACCCTTTTGATGGTTTTCAAAAACTCTTTCTCGAGCTCAACAAAACTCGATCATTAAAAAAATCACTCGATTAAAAAGCTTCATGATTTTTGTTCATTACTTCATATTATCTTTGCATATATCTTTAAGCGAAAAGCTATTAAACTATGATGTTAAATAAAACACAAGTCATGAATGTATTATGTAAAATTTCATTTAATTACAAAATCGAGGGTGCCAATAATTGAGATTCTAATTATTTAATAAAAATACTATCACTTATGCTATTAAATAAAGTTATAATGTTGAAAATGAATTCACTGCATATCGAAACAGAAGAAATATCAATAAGAATCGTTCTTGAATAAAATTGAATTCAATTAAATTTATTACCAAATGTGAATTTCACAAGCAAATTGTAAGAAAATCGAGAAAGAAATGATGGGACAATTATGTCATTCAAAAGAAGTCCTCCCTCCGTACAGAGAAAGCCTGTATTGAGTAAGCAGAGTGGAAAAATCTTAGATATTTTTATCTTATCTCATTCGATTTGAAAATGAATTTCACTTCATATCAAAATTGAAGAAATACCAATAACAATTGTTCTTGAATAAAATTGAATTCAGTTAAATTCATTACCAGATGTGAATTTTACAAACAAATTGTAAGATTATGTTTCAACTTGAAAATGAATTTTACTTCATATCAAAATAAAGAAAATATTAAACAAGTGTATAGTGAATCTTTCTATGACCAACAAAAATAAAATCAATTTCAACTCATATAAACAACAAAATCACAACATCACGTGGGAGCTAATAAAAAAAGATTTTGTAGTAAAAAAAGAAAAAATTCCTTAGCAAGTCGATCATAAAAATAGCAAACGTTGCCATATATAATTAAAAAAAAAAAATCAAGAAAAGCAAAAACAGAAACTAGATATAAATGAAGAATCACAAAATGCACATGCAAGATCCACCAAAACCTCGAAGATTTGCTAAGATGGCAAGTATATATTTGTTCTTCATGTTATTATTTCGCATTACATTTTGAAAAGATAAAAACCCTTCTAATCTAAAAGAAAGAATATATTATAATTTAGTCCTTTTAGTTTTAAAATACAAATCGATTAGTTTTTTTTTTTCAAAAATTAATTATTTAATATTTTAATTTATGTTAATCGTGTTTAATTTAATATTATTTTCTTTAAAAAAATGAAACAAAAAAAAACATTCATTTTCCTTCTATATATTAAATCTATAGTATTTTTCTCTCTTTGTATTTTATTGATTTATTTTGTATTTCTTAAAATAAAAAATTAAAATAAATTGAAAAAAATGAAGAGAATTAAGTAACAAAAAATTTTAAAAATATAAAAACTAAATAATAATTATTTTTTAAAAGAGACTCGTTAATTCATTTCTCAAAACCAAAAGGATCAATTTATAATTTACTCTTTGGAGAAATTATTTACTATTATTTATGTATGATAACTAAACAGAAAAAATATTTTTTTTATGAATACTGTTAAATTTATTAACTAAATTATTATTTCTACTATTTTTTTTAGACGGTTATCGGTACACCTTTCGCTGCACTTTTCTCCGATTATCAAAAATTGGTAGTTGGGGAAACGTTTCCTGTTTTAGAAAAAGAAAAAGAAAAAGAAAAAGTTATAAACCTCGAAGACCAAGAGAGGACTTCAGTAAACCCCCCCCCCCCCCCACATTAAGTTCTGTACTGAAAAAAAGAAAAAAGAAAACATCCACAACTTTCCTCTCTTCTTCGCTATCTCGCTCTTTCACATACAAGAATCATCAAATACCTTGTGTTCTTAGAAACAAATCCTTTGAATCTTATTTTAAACTTCTCTCTCTAGAACTCGACGAAACTTGATAAAAAAGAGAAGACCCTTTTCGATCTTTGTTGTGTATTAATCAATGGAAGAGAGTAATAGCAATAAGCACATAGCAAACAATGTGGCTCGAGCCATTGTTGCTGCTCTTGACTGGAACTCTACCTCTGATTCCCGCAAAGCTGCTGTGTCTTTCCTTGAATCCGTACACACGCAGACACCCCTCTCTTTTTTATTATTATTAACAAAAGAATTGAACTTTTGATTTTTTGTAGAGATTTTCAGTGATTAAGTGTGGTAAATTTGCAGCTTTTATGGAAATTGTTGGCATATCTGATTGAGTTTCAGGGGTTTCTCGTAAAGGGTTGGTTTGTTGATAATGGGTTATTAGAGTGTTTATTGTAGCTTCCGTGCTATTGAAATTTAGTGGGAATTAAATAAATGGCGTTAAAGTTGGTGAAGTTGGTGATTTTGTTTTGTGTTTTTATTTGTTTTTTTGCTTTTGATGAGGTGGTTGATTCTGATATTTCTTTAGGAGAGTTGTTCGTATTTTGATCGAGTTTTGAGTTTTGTGCTGAAGGGTATTGCGAATTGGCCTATGAGTATGTTAATGGTTTTGAATTTAACCTCTGAATATCTTAAAAGGGAGTAAAATTTTGCAAGTTGTCATCAAATTTGTCCAGCCACCTGCTTGTATTACTGTTAGCAAGGAATAGATTGCATTTCCCTTGTATATAGTTGCCATGCTTACCTGAGGTCATTTATATACTCTTTGATATCTGCAGATCAAAGCAGGAGACGTACGGGTCTTGGCCAGCACATCGTTCGTTCTTGTCAAAAGGGACTGGTCTTCTGAAATTCGGTTGCATGCTTTCAAAATGCTGCAGGTTTAAGATCATAAACCACTACCTTTTCCTTTGTGGCAGATATGTTTTAACTTTTAATCCTATTTGGTGCTATGTTCCTTTGATAAGGGATGGTTTATGGTACAAGTGGGGGATTCAAATGCTCCTTTGCTTTAATTTATAAAGGAATCTTCGTAAGAATCATCTTCTATGTCACAAAAGGACAGTCTTAGTTCCCTCAAATGCACCAAAACAGCACAGCCAACTTTTTGACGTGTCAGACTTGTAGGGAACTGATAGTTTCTGTTTGCTGCTGTAAAACAACGTTCTTTTAGGCAATAACAAATTTCTTAATTACCTGCCTCAAATGGAAATATAAATTAGAACTTGGTTTCCGAAGCGACTGAGGTGGCCACCAGAAATCCAAATGGTAGACTCATTTGTTTTAGTTGAGTGATTGAAGAAGTTGCAACTACTTCTAATGAATTTCACAATGATTTGGATACCCTGTCAGTCTTGAGCTTCTGAAAGGTTTCCTTATTTTATGTGGAAGCAACTATTGTAGCAATTGCTTAATAGGTTATTCGTATGTTTAGCCACAGGCTTGGAATGTGTAAGTGGAAACACAATACAGTTTCTTTCGTACTTCCGTCTCAACTAAAATTTATATCGAGTAAATACACATCAGGTCCATACAGAGTTGCAAAAATTTTATGTGCTGCTGAACCACATAAGATAGACAATTCTTATGGGCATTCTTATGGGAATTTCTTTTGTAGCTCAGCTGTGTCTCAAAGGGTCTTCAAGCTCTACTTTATTAATTCATCAGCAGAAAGCCTTTTGACCGTGTTTAGTTTGATGATAATTAATTGGTCTGTGGATTTTACAGCATTTGGTCCGGTTGCGATGGGAGGAATTGAGCCCAACAGAACACAGGAACTTTGCGAATGCTGCTGTTGAGTTGATGGCTGAAATTGCTAATTCCTGTGAAGAATGGGCTCTGAAAAGTCAGACAGCTGCCCTTGTTGCCGAGGTTGTTAAGACATTGCTCTTGGATTTTAAGTTGTTCTTTTGGAGTTTATTACTTACTATTTTCTCTTCTACAGATTATCAGAAGAGAAGGCTTAGAACTGTGGAAAGAACTGCTTCCATCTCTGGTTTCCCTATCCAGCCAGGGCCCCATACAAGTACATTTTATTATTATGTGCTTGCAGCCATTCTTTTGCCATTTATATACCATATTGAAGTATCCATTCTGTGGTTCATACTTTCTTTTTCCTACTAGGCTGAGTTGGTTTCAATGACACTGAGGTGGCTTCCTGAAGATATTACAGTTCACAATGAAGATTTAGAAGGTTTGTTATGAACTTCCCTTGCAAGCAATTGCTGCATTCTGTAGAACCTCAAAGGATCTTGATTGTGTTTATTACTCCCTCTGTCCCAAAGAGATCATCCTCTTTAGTTTTTCACACAGTTTAAGAAACTTATTAATTGTTATGCCATTTCAACATTTTTTGTTCATACTTTCCTAAAATATCCTTTTGTTAAAATTGTTAATTATCAAATTTAATCCTCTATTACATGGAACCAATATTAATTTAAGGAGTTAAATCTATCCAAATTAAGGTGGTAAATCAAATATAAAATCATTAAGTTAATTATCGATCAAGTTTAAAACAATTATGAAAAAATAACATAGTAATAGAAATATTTCTCTCCCAAAATTTCGGCATGCATTAAAGTCCCAACAAGAATGAATATTTTTCATGTAACAAAAAATTTCCTTTTGACATTTTTATGTTAAAGGTATTTGTTTGTATAAAGGAAAAATATAAACAATATTGATTTTTTGTTAGTGAAGAACAGGAAATGAAAGAAAGAATTGATTTCCTTTATCAATTAAGGGTGTTTTAGGAAAGTATATTAGTTAAAGTTTTGACCAGACAAATATTTTGGGACAGATATAAATAGAAAGGGGTACAATGTCTTTGGAACAGAGGGAGCAACAATTAGAACCTATAAACTATGATTTCTTATGGCTTGTTCCCTAGTTGATGGATTTTCTTCCTTGTTACAAATAAATTGTGTTCTGGCCTTTGTATAGGTTACACCTCAAGGTCAAACATTCGGTTATTCTGTTGTGCTGCTTAATTCTCTTTTCTTGATTTTGTATTTATTTTTAGGGGATCGGCGTAGGTTATTGCTGCGAGGGCTTTCTCAGTCATTGCCTGAAATTCTACCACTACTGTACACTGTATACCTCAGACCTTACATACACATATATTACCCTTTTTTCCTTGTGTTATTTATATGCCTTTAATTTTTAACACAGTTACTTGAAAGACACTTTGGTGCTGCATTGAGCGAAGTAGGTAGGCAGCAACTGGACATTGCAAAACAGCATGCAGCAACAGTAACAGCAACTTTGAATGCTGTCAACGCATATGCAGAGTGGGCGCCTTTGCAGGATCTAGCCAAATATGGCATAATTCATGGGTATGTTTACTCAGAGTATGCATTGCTATCGTTTGTAGGATTAGTTTCTCACTTTGTGACCCCTTTTCTTTCTGTCCAGCTGTGGTGTCATGCTGACTTCTCCCGACTTTCGTCTTCATGCTTGTGAATTTTTCAAACTTGTCTCACAAAGGTATTCCATATGGTTTGCTTAATGTCTTTTATAGTTTCATTCTATTTCTACTTTGTGAAGAACATTCTCAAGATTGCTTGTAAACTGTGAATTGAGATTTGCAGGAAGAGACCTGCCGATGCCTCTGTTTCTGAATTTGATTCTGCAATGCGTAATATCTTTCAGACCATGATGAATGTCTCCCGAGATATTCTGTACAAAACTGGCTCAAGTGCTGGAGTTATGGACGAGAATGAATTTGAGTTTGCAGAATATATATGTGAGAGTATGATGTCTTTGGGTTCTTTTAACTTTCAATGCATTTCTGGTGATAGCACTATACTCTCTCTTTATTTACAACAGGTAATAACACTTCCATGTTGGCATGAGAAATTTTATTTCCATTTATGAAATAAATGTGTTTTTTAGAACCATTTTGCAATCTAATTCTTTGATATTGTTTCAGATGCTGGGCTTTTTTCAACATTTTAAGCTAGCTCTACATTATCAATCCCTGCTTTTTTGGCTGGTAGGTTGAAGCAGTTTGGAAGTTATATTTCTGTTTCCAAAGCCTATCTAGCACATGACTATTATTGAATCTCTTTAATGTTTGTTTGCTTTTATAGGCATTAATGAGAGATCTAATTTCAAAGCCGAAAGTCACTGCACATTCAGCAGATGGGTCTGCTTTTAACAGTGCAGGTGCCAGTTCTGGACAGGCTGATGACGAAAAAAGGAGGACTTTAAGCCTTGTGAATGATGATATGTGCGTTGTGATGCTGGATATCTCTTTCCAGCGCTTGCTTAAGAAAGAAAAAGTGTTCTATGGAAAATCCCTTTCTCCTGCAGCGTTGGAGTTGTGGAGTGATGATTTTGAAGGCAAGGGTGATTTTAGCCAATATCGTTCCAAGCTGGTAAAATTTACAGAGATATGAACTGTAGTGACGACCATTTTTATGTCTTACCTTTAGCTTCTCTTTGCGGGCCATTAAAATTTTATGTTTCATATTTTCTAGTGGTAAATAAATTGTTGACACCATCTCACCCCTCTCACCCCCCCCCCCTCTCCTCTCTCCCACATATATTGATAAGTTCTTTTCTCTTATTGCTTTTACCATTTCCTATTCTCCTTTCATTCTCTCTCTCTCTCTCTCTCTCTCTGTTTTACTGATACATGAACTCTTAATGCAGTCTGAGCTGATGAGGCTTGTTTCTTCTTTTAAGCCCTTAATAGCTGGTGCTAAAATCTCTGAAAGAATTTTGTCAATCATTAAGAGCATTCCAAATTCTCAAATGCCTGTTCAGGTGCGAGACTCTTTTTATCAGATTATCATTCATGCCTAGTCATGGGAATTTCAATCTCTGGATTTCTTGCAGTTCTAGTTTTGCTATATTCTGAAGTGATGTTTCTCTATGATGCATATGCATGTTTTCAAAATATCAGGACTTAGCTGTGATGGAAAGCATTCAAGTGGCTCTAGAAAATGTTGTCAATGCAGTTTTTGATGGATCAAACGACTTTGCGGGGGGCAGTTCTGAAGTTCACCTTGCGTTATGTAGAATATTTGAAGGTTTCTTACTGACTTCCTTTTGTTTTAATAGATTATTCTGATATAATATTAATGCCTGCTGAAAAAACTCTGGGTACTCTGATTGAAGGTTTACTTCAGCAACTCCTTTCTTTGAAATGGACAGAACCAGCTCTTGTGGAAATTCTAGGACACTATCTAGATGCATTGGGTCCATTTTTGAAGTATTTCCCAGATGCAGCTGGCAGTGTCATTAATAAATTATTTGAGCTTCTAATGTCAATCCCATTTGTTGTTAAGGTTGTCTTGTAACACTAATCTTGATTTTTAAATATGATTATCTTTTAAGGGAGCCAAATTGACCTGCTGCTTTGATTCCATTGGCAGGATCCTTCGGTAAGCAGTGCACGTCATGCAAGGTTACAGATTTGTACATCATTTATTCGTATAGCCAAAGCTGCCGACAAAAGCATTCTACCCCACATGAAGGTAACTATTGCTGTCCTTTTTCTTCTTGTTGTTGATATATCTCTTCTACCTTTTGAAAAATTACAGCATTCACTACTGCCAATTATCTTATAACTCAGATATCATCAATAGAAAGATCTAATGTCCTTTGGCTTCTTTTATTTAAATGCATGTACAAGTGTAGCTGGAGATTCAATCCAGAGAGATCAAACTAAGAGTAGAGAATTTTATCCCTGCTTTTGCATAAAAAATGTAGTTTATGTGAAGGCCCCTTGTTTTGCAATTTGAATGATAGTTTCTGAGGAAGGGGCTGTTGTTTCTTGTCTATGGTAAATTTTCTAAGGCTGTCATCAATGTGCCACAGAAACACAAGTACAACCAAATTTTGGAGGCCAAATGTATGCCCAGATTGAAAGAGCCTGAGAATTCCAGGAAGGTCTTGTATTTATTTTATCTACTGTTTTTTTGTAGGGAATAGCTGATACCATGGCATATATGCAAAGAGAGGGTTCTCTACTTCGTGGTGAACATAATCTGCTAGGTGAAGCATTTCTTGTTATGGCTTCAGCTGCTGGGTAATTCCTTGCTTACAATGGACTGACCCCTTTGTTTTTTAACTTCTTGAATTAAGATGTTTTTCTTATTGTTAAAAAGTTAACTGGATGCAGAATTCAACAACAGCAAGAAGTTTTGGCCTGGTTGCTCGAACCTTTGAGCCAACAGTGGACACAGCTGGAGTGGCAAAATAATTATTTGTCTGAGCCACTAGGTCTTATCCGTTTGTGCTCTGAGACAGCATTCATGTGGTCAATTTTCCACACTGTGACATTCTTTGAGAAGGCACTTAAGAGGAGTGGAATCAAAAAAGGCAATATGAATTTGCAAAGCAGCTCAACTATACATCCAATGGCTTCTCATCTGTCCTGGATGCTGCCACCTCTCTTGAAAGTATGCTGTTGCTATTACAAACCACCTTTGTTATTTTTTCCTTCTTTATTTAGGAATAGTATTGGAAGGAAAATTGATATTGAAAATATGTTCTTGTTGCTTTGCAGCTTCTTCGTGCTATACATTCACTTTGGTCTCCATCCATATCTCAAATGTTACCTGGAGAGATCAAAGCTGCCATGACTATGGGCGATGCTGAGCGATATAGTCTCCTTGGGGAAGGAAACCCCAAATTGTCAAAAGGTGCCTTAACTTTCATAGATGGATCTCACGTTGATATGAGTAAGGAAGGACACACTGAAACAAATGAAGCTGATATACGAAATTGGTTGAAAGGTATCAGAGATAGTGGGTGAGTACGAGTGCTTATGAGGTTGTTTTTGACTTTGCAACCAAATTTATGGTGAATTTATATTGGTTCTTTTCTTTTTTCTTTTTTCTTGGGGTTCATAAAGTCTACTCAGGTTCAGCCTTCAACTATTCTTCATGTTGGTTGTACCTTTCATGATGAATGACATCTGAATATCATTTATTAAAGCATGTTAGGGAGGATGAATTAGATGGAATTTTTTATTTTTTTCCCTATCAATTCAGTGCAGAAGAGATGCATTATTTATTTAGTTTTTCTCTCTAGACATATGGATCTTAATGTGTGGAAGCCTATTGGGATAGAAATGTAGAATTAATAATCTATTAATAATGAATTGTTATGCTTGGTTTTCCTTTTGAAACTTGTATAATCTCTCGCTCTCTCTGCTTGCATGTGTTTGTGTTGTATGCACATCATGCTGACAAGCACATGCAACCACTATGGTAATACCAATTATAGGCTAAAACAACAAAACATATTATTAATATGACATGCTAAGTTCACACCTTATGTGAGGAATTGCAGGTTTTTGCACAAGTAAATGGTAGCCTATGCACTATTTATTTTTCTGGTTCATTTCATTCTTTCTCGAAGGATCTGTTGCTAATACATCTTCATTGTTTCCAGATACAATGTATTGGGCCTATCAATGACCATTGGTGATCCATTTTTTAAATGTTTGGATGTTCATGCTGTTGGCGTGGCACTAATGGAGAATATACAGTCAATGGAGTTCAGACATATAAGGCAGCTTGTTCATGCAGCTTTGATACCTTTGGTTAAACATTGTCCTATCGAGATGTGGGAGGTCTGGCTGGAAAAGCTCTTGCATCCATTATTGATCCATACACAGCAAGCTCTTGCCTTTTCTTGGTCCAGTCTCTTGCATGAGGGTAAAGCAAAGGTCCCAGATGTCCTTGGCATCTTTGCTGGGGCAGACTTGAAAGCAGAAGTAATGGAAGAGAAACTGCTTCGAGACCTAACTCGTGAGACGTGCTTACTTCTCTCTACAATAGCTTCACCCGGACTAAATACCGGGCTTCCTTCTTTAGAACAATCTGGTCATGCTAGCCGTGTGGATGCATCTTCTTTGAAGGAGTTGGATGCATTTGCATCAAACTCTATGGTTGGGTACGTGTACAAAAAATAGCCTTTTCTGTTGATACTTTTGAGATGCTCTTCATTGTATTTTTATTTTCTTTCCCCAGCCCTACTTATACCTCACAATTTAATTCATTTACAGTTTTCTTTTGAAGCACAATGGCTTGGCCGTTCCAGCATTACAGATTTGTTTAGAAGCTCTGACATGGACAGATGGTGAAGCAGTGACAAAAGTTTCATCCTTTTGTGCTAGTGTGATTCTTCTAGCAATCTCAACTAATAACGTTCAACTCCGAGAGTTTGTTTCTAAAGATCTGTTCTCTGCCATTATCAAAGGCTTGGCGCTTGAGTCAAATGCAGTTATCAGTGCTGATCTAGTTGGTCTCTGTCGAGAAATATTCATGTATCTATGTGATAGAGATCCATCTCCAAGGCAGGCAAGTTTTCATGCCCCATGTTATTTAGGGTGAAAATACTTGCTAGTTTTATCTTCCTATCTGTTCAACATTTTTAACTGAACGATTCATTTCCTTGTCTCCTCAGGTTCTGCTTTCTCTCCCTTGTATTAAACCCCAGGATTTGGTTGCCTTTGAAGAAGCTTTGACCAAGACAGCTAGCCCTAAGGAACAAAAGCAGCATATGAAGAGCTTGCTTTTATTAGCAACTGGAAACATGCTAAAAGCTCTGGCTGCTCAGAAGAGTGTAAATATCATCACAAATGTTACAAGTGAGCTCTCTGACAATTTTTGGATTCTAAATTCTTCTTCAACTCCTAGCATGAAGTCATTTCTCCCGTCTTAATATGTTAAAGAGTATTTATGTTGTAGAATTTGCATCCACGGAAACTATCTCTAGCTGGAGCATTGAGCAATAATTATAATTTGCATGTTTGGTGCATTATGTTGTCACTGTAGATTCAGCTATAGACACTTACAAGTGGTCAAAGTGTATGTACTTAATGGTCTATTTTCTCCATGTCTCAGTGAGGCCTCGCAGCTCGGTAAATGCTCCAGAAACCAGAATTGATGAAGGGGAAACTGTAGGATTGGCAGCCATTTTGTGAGGATTCTTTTGTTCATTGCGGAGTTGATGTACAGTCTACAGATAGAAGTTTGACAAGGAAAAAGAAGTGACCTATTTAACATATACTAGGCTAGAAGACTAGAAGCCAGCTTTTATTTTGCCCTGTCCATAGATATCGGTGCACCTCCAGAAGCTGAATAGAAATTTGAGTAGTGTTTGACTTTCAATGGTATGTCTCTACAAGATGATGGAGGTGCCCTAAAATCATAGGGAGTGACGACAACTCGAGAAGTCTTCTCTGTTTTTGTTCCTATGGAAAATTGTCGCGTGGAAAACTCTTTTAGATACATCTTCGTCTTCCTCGGAAGATGAAAAGAAACAAAAAAACACCCCACCCTTTGCTCCCCTGTATTTTACCTTCTTGAGCAAAATCTATAGTCTTTTAATTCATTTGCCATTCACTGTACTTTTTTATATTTAAAATTTTGAAAAAATTGCAAAGCATCTAGCTATTTGGCGCTTTTATATTTAGGGTTAATGGCTAAATATATTTGTAAGTTTTTAATCTATTTTATGGTTGTATTCTGAGGATAAATTACTGAAATTAATAACGTGATTCTTATATAAAAACCTTCCTTTGTCATGTTTGTAATAACATTTTGAAAATAAAAAATAGTTATGTGCAAATTATGTTATTAATTTTGGTATTTTGATTTGAAAACCATATTAAAATGATAGATTAAAAATTTAATTTAATATATGCTTAAGAATAAAATAGACTTAACTAGAAATATATAGGAAATGACGTTATTATGTAAAGACATATTGAGTTATTAATTCTTATATTTATGCCCACTCGAGGTTGTGGGATCAATGAACAAGTTCCACCAGCCGGCAGCTAATGCATATGTAGATCTACCGAGCCGAACTTGGTCGTGATTCCTGATAGAATGGATGGTGCTTGCTGCCACTGCCAATTACACTAATGTAATGAGAATTGGTTAGCTTTGACATGGGTCACAGCGGATTTTTTGGGTTTAATGACAAATTACTTCTAAATTGTTGAGATTATTTGGACTCCTAATTATTATTTTTTAGATAAATATTATTTTTTATGTTAAAAATATTGATTGTTAACTTAAATGTTTAAATGTCGTTTTTTAACTATTATTGTTTGCCAAATGATTAGTCCCTCTATCTCTCTCTTCAGTTTAATTAATTCAGTTGATTTTATAATACTTCAGGATCACACTTCGTCTCATAGTAAGATGACATATGATCCGTATTAACTATTGTTATATTTTTTAAAAATATTTTTTTTTTGCAAAAATAAAAATAAAAATAGAATAATTAAACAATATTGTTTAAGCATTCAAAGATAATAATAAAATAATAATAATATTTGTCCAGAAATTAATAGTTTGGGGGTCTAAACAACCAAAATTGATAGTAAAGACTTTAAATTGTCACAACCCCAATAGTTTATGAGTAACTTTTGGCATTAAATCATTTTTTTGGTATTTGGTTTGGCCTTTTAGTTTAATATTAGGATCAATGGCATTGGGGTAAATTACATATTCTTTCTCTAATTATTTTAATTTCTTAATTTAAATATTTTTCCAAATAGTAATTAAGGGTATTTTGGATACAAAAGGAGATTTTATTTTTATTTTTTGATTAAACATGAAGGAGATTTTTGTTAAATCTTAAAAAAAAAAAAAAAGATTTCTATAATTTCACAATATACTTCAGTAGGGATATTGTAATTTACCACGGCCATTACTGTGCCAAAACGAACCCATTGACCAAACTTGGAATCAGGAATGATGCTAGCTAGGGGCAATAGGGCATTAAATTAACATAAACCAACCAAAGATTACCACCTCTCTCTCTCTCTCTCATAGGTCTTCTTTGCTATAATACATTATTTATACATTATCAAATCAAATTGGACTTTTTTAACGAAAGGTATCAGCCTTGAATGGTAGCTTGGAAGGTGATCAGGTGAAAAATATTAAAATCCGACGATTAGATTGAAGGGTAGCTTTGGAAAAAACGTGAAATGGTAGATAGATAGCTTCCAGCCTAAGCAAAGTTTTCCTATTAATTTATATAAAGTGCAAAACCTAATCCTCTTTAAGTTCTTTGATGGTAAGGACTATATATTGAAAAATGTCTGTAGTGTAGTTAGCCAAGTAGCAGGGCATTGGAGTTTCTGCTAAACCCTTGCCTTGCTCAGTATAACCTTCAGTTGCCGTTTCAGTGGTGGTGTTAGCAGCTAGATTTTGTTAGAGAGCTTGGAAGCAATGGGACCAGGAGGACCTGGAGGAGGTCCTGGGCCACCGGGAGGGGGTCCTGGGCCACCGGGGTGGGGTCCTGGACCACCGGGATGGGGTCCCGGACCAGGATGGGGTCCTGGACCATCTGGATGGGGTCCTGGACTACCAGGTTTCTTTGGTGGCATTTGTGACATTATAGGTTCTTGGTATGTTATAAAACTTTGTTTCTGTCATAATTTACTTCAAAACTTTGTTTCAGTGGTGCATGGTTTCTTCGGGGGCTTTTGCTTTCTTTTCACCTCTTTTTCCTTAAACTTTTTAGATTTCCTAAATGCATGGCGATAACTAGAATTTAGCAGCTAACCGATCCGTCTCCTTCTATTTAAAAAATCCCATTTCTAGCATTTCATTAGTCCAATAAATGTTGACTGTTTTAAGCCCTAAAGTACTGGTTTTAACTCTTTTTTCTTTTTTCCTCTGTGTCAGCATCATGTTAAAAATGTATTGCAGAGAACTTATTTCGCATTTTTATAATAATCTTGAGAATTAAACCTGGTTTTGCTGTAATTCTCTGATATTTAATTGTTGTGTGCTTTGCAGCTTGAGCTGCTTGTGCTGTTGCTGGCTAATACGAGACTGCTTTGGGGGTCCATTCGGCCCACCTGGCCCTCCCCGACCATTTGGACCATGATTATCTGCACCAAATGTTTCTATCTTATGTTTCATGTTCGTCTACAATTTTTTGTCATCCCTATTCTATGTGTGCGCGCGTATATAAATAGGGTTTTCTATCCTATTCTCGAATCTTTTAGTGTAAGGATTTACCCTCTAGGGTTTTTATGTAACCTGTTCTTCAGCCCTTTTCTATGGGGAGATTTTCTAATTTTAACTTTGTTTGCACCTTTATAATATTTCATCTATGTCTAGCACTACAGACTTGCAATAATATCTATATATTTCTTCTTAATATTGTGAGCTTCTTATATATATTGTTGAATGTTAAGTTGTTGGTATCAATTGAGTTAGCAAACACTTTCAATGCTAAGAAGAAGTAGTGACTATATGAATAATGTATCATTTTTTTGTAGCTGATAAGTAAACCGACTCATGATGGTTTATCGATTACCATGTCTTAAAAAAAATTTGTACTAAAACAAGAAACAAGAGCACCCTACATTTTTTTTTTTTATTAGAGGAGTTATTGTGCCTTAAACTCTGCATATGAGGTTCTTGAGAACTAAATCAAAAGATCGATCGGCAAGCTAGTAAAAAAAAATAGAGAGCTAGTATTGTAATTTGTAAAAATAACGATCAAAAAATCAAACAACAAATATGCAAATATTGAGAGGCGTGAGAGGAGAAGTAGACGATGCTAACAAGACATTAATCGGATGACTGACAAGTGGATAATCAAAGTTCAAACATATGAAGTTTTAACTTAACGCTTCTCTCTATCCACAAATCTCCACCCATCTCTCCTTGGAACCCAAGATCTCTTAGTAAAGAAAGCTCATCAAATTAATTTTAACATAACCTGACATCTCCTTAGGGAAGTACAAGATTTACATGGTTGTTTTTTTTTTTTTTCTCGTTTTTGAGAACTGTGGTTGTCGTTGGTGTTTACGAAGTCAAAGTTAAGATGGAGTAGATTACTGTCAGAAGGAAAAATTTCACCCGAACATTATTAGAAAGCTACATTTGGCAACAAATTTCATACTAATTACTATATGATTCTAGACCTCAGGAAAACCAAGAAGTTTTATACAAGTTAATTAACTTCGAACTAATCAGAATGTTGCATTTTGGACACGCAATTTCCATTAATATACCTATAATCTTAGACCTCTCTAGAGAGATAAACAAACCCAGTAAGTAAGAGCACGTGTTAACTTGAACACATTAGATAGATGAGTTTGGGCATAATTTTTCTACCAATTAATTATGAAATTGAGAGTCATGGATCTCTTAAAAAACCCTAACCTAAGAAATTTAGGTAGGCTTGCGAAAGGCTCAATAGTACATTTTGAATTTCTCTATACAATTCTACCCTCTGCTAATTCTTCTTGATATTTTATATGCTCACGTACGAGCCTAATTATAGAGGAAAATTATGACCTGAGTTCATACTCATTACTGCATTCCATTATCATTTTATAACGAGACCGACCTAATTTATATCAGATTTTACATGCAGTAAGAGTATTTTTATGTCAATTTTTTTTTAAAAAGTATATTATCTATATCTAAAGTGCTGATTCGTGCATAATAAATTGTTTAATTTTCTCGTAGTGTCTCCATATCTTCAAACGATGTGAAGTGACTTCATTAAGAGGTAGCAATAGCCTTTTGAGACTTCATAATGAGTTTAATGTTATTTCTTCAATAGGTAAAGCTCTGAATTTAGTTAATTTTGTATATATTATGATATGAAAGGTAAGCAATACTTTTCAGATTAGCTGTTCTCAAATAAATAAATAAATAAATAAAATCTAAGTAACAATTGTGCACACAAGTAATTGACAATACAATCAAATAATTAATAAATAAATAAGAGAACACGATAATTTTTAAAGTGATAAAACCCAAGTTTGGGAAACTTTGACGGTCAAATAAATTGTAAAATAATCTACTAACTTTGTAAAAAGATTACAAACTCTCAAAGGATTATCCGATTGATTAAAAGTTTAAAATGCTAAGTGAAATCCAATATATATACATCTTTAAATAAAAATTATACGAGTCTACATTATTTTATACTTAATTAATTAGAAGAGAAAATAAGAGAGATGAGATTCGAAATCTTAACCTTTAGGTTAGCAAGGTTTTGATAATATATCAAAAAACTACCTCACTCAAAAGTTTAAACCGTTTGATAAGTACTCGAGTATATGATTTATATCATATTATTCTCGGACAAAACTTAAAAGTACAAGTCAAGACAAATGTGGATCTGAATATACACTCAAAATAATTATTTCTTAACACTGTTAGGGATGTTTTTCACTCGACTAGTAACCATTGAATTAGAGGTGGCAATTATAGAATTTTCAGATTTCACCTCATAATTAATTCATCATACAAATCAATTTCTGATCTAGCTCATCTGAACATTCAATTGTCTCATACTGGATAACGTCTTATCGATTGGCAATCGCTGCTTTCTGTCCCTTCCAATTCTTCGACTTTTGTTCAGGATCAAACAACCAATAATTATCTTTGATATGCCCGAATTTGCTACAATGCTCGCAAAATTTCTCATCTTAGCGAAAAATTGAATTGAATTATTTTCCTTTCCCCTACACCAATTCTCTCCAGGCTTGTAATGCATAGCTTTAACACTAACATCATCAATATCTAGAACATCAAAAGAGTTAGTTCTATTTGCAACCGGAAATTCAAGCCAACTTTGTATTTCTCAATGTTTCAGGAACATGCGAATTCACACCCAACATAATTAACAACTTGCTTTCAAAATTCAGTAGTATACTCTTGGACACTTTGACCTCTTTTTTTTTTTTTTTTTTTTGACGTAGATATAGTCATTTTTCTCTCAAGTCATCTTGGCATCCAAATGGGTAAAATTGATTTCATAATGCAACTGTAAATTTTGCCCATGTTTGACTGGGTAGTAAATTACCAGCTTCTAATCCAACAGAATAAGCCTCCCACCATGCATACTGGTGGTAAAACCCTAGGGTGGAGAAACATCTATAACCAAATCAATGGCAAAATAATTCGCTAACTTCGAGAAAAGATTATAAACTTGAATCCTCGGTCAAGACAACTTACTCCTTGTAATTGGTCTCTCACTATGTTTTCTTTATGTTTTTCTTAACTCTCCACTAAAAAAGAATAAGAGATATATAGAGGTGGCTTTTTTTTTTTTTAATCCAATTCTAAAAAAAAAAAAAATCCATAGAAAAAAAATAAGGAGGTGGTATGTTGGCTGTCAGTGAGACCCCAGATACCTACTCATCAAATGAAAAATTAAGGATCATATTCTCAAAGATAGCAATGGCATGGTTGATCAGTTAACCAAGCAAGGTCTGGATAGAGATTCTGAGTTCTTGGCTATAAATTTTCGTAACTTACAGGTTTTTCTTTGTCTAGCCATCTCCTTACCGGCTAGTCCTTATCCTTAAAGAAAAAAAAAACGAAATCTCGATTTTCATTAAAAAAATAAAAATTAAAAAAAAAAAAACCTGGAAACACTCCCACGTACGTACTACACTAATGACAAAACCTCCAAACATATATATTTATATAAGTTGATGATTCAAACTCTCGTAATTGAGCCAACTTAGTGGAGCAAAAATTTTATTCCTTCTGTCTAATCATGTGAATAGTAAAGTTAATGAGAAACCATTCATTCATCTGTGTTGTTGAAACTTTGGAAGTTCAACGTTAGGTTTGAGAGTAGAGTGAATGGTAAGGCATCAACCTTATTTATATATTTATTTATTTAAGAATTTAAATCTGTGATTTCTTATTATAAGAGATATTATCATTATTATTATTATCAATGGGTTACAAATTTTTTAGAATTTTTTTTTTCAATCTCTCTTTGACTTTTTTTCTTCAAAATGTTTATAAATTATGGCCTCACTGCACCATGGTTGCGCATTGCCTAATTACCTTCATCGCATTTTTACACGTCCATAAGGCGTTTTATTTGAAGAGTGATCGGAAGATGCCACCACCAGGTTGGGGACCGCAACCAGGAGGACTAACCGGAGGCCTGGGGATTTGTAGCTGCTTTGACTTTATATGTGATGGCATATGCAGGATCGTAAGTTCATGGTGAGTTATGCTTCTCTTTATTGTTAATTAGTTGCGGTCATAATTATTCTATATGAAGCTCAGAAAACTTGCGCTCTTGATCCATGATTGGTGCTGTTAGTGGATATTCCTTAAATGACACTGATTCTTTGAACTCTAATATTATGTCAAAGAATCATCTCATCCGAAAGCTTAAGTTTATTAGGTAAGGATACGTAATATGATTTATATTATTTTCTAAGTCTTAAAATGGTTTTGAAAATTTTTTATAAGAGATTATACAAAAATAAATAATTTTTATGTTTTTAATTTCAGATTTGGTTTGTAAAAACAAAAAATGAAAATAATATCAAATAATCCAAAAGCTTTCAACCATATCTAGATATAGTGCATCAATTATCAATGGTGTTAACTAATTGATTTTCTAAAGTTGGAATAATTAGCACATTATATACGATTTTTTTGAAGATTAAGACGATGATAATCTTTTTCTCATAAAGAAAAAGGTGCATACGTTTTTTTTTAATGTACATTTTCCATAACCATTATGAGGAGAACTGAGATTTAATTTACGATAAGGTTTTCAAGCAGTGAGCCAGTAACATGGTTTTGCCTTCCCTGTTGGCAGTTTCTATGTTCTGTGCTGCTGCTGCATCTTTGAGAGCTGTTGTGGACCAATTGTTGGTGAACCGCTGGGTCCACCCGACCCTCCTTGGCCCCTTCAATTCTGATGATCTTATATTATGGCATATCATGGTGATTACAGTGGTTGTGTCAAGTTATGTGACTTCTTAACCCTCTCCTCTCCATACTTTAAGCTTTCGTATACTGTAAGATAATAGAGAGAGTGGTAGCAAAACCAGAGGAATTTTAATTCTTATACTTGTGTGCCTTGTAACCTTATCATCATATGGAGTACCGCTTCTCTTTACTTTTTTCAAGATATTAATTGGGTTTATTTCTTGCAAAATCAAATTTAGAAACAGAGGGCATTCATAGTTGAGCAACGCCCTACCTGATTATCATTACCTTCATTAAGAAGTTGATAGTGTAATTAAACCCTAGACAACACGGATGGTGATTAAGAGAACCTTACAAATTAACAATCAATTACCTCCATCAAAGGACTAGGGCTCTCCCTCCGTTCAATGTGCAGGTTGCGGGTTTCACCAAGGAAACGAAATAACCAGAGGGGGATCAATTATAAAAAGATGTAAAATTAAAAGTGAAGGGTGTCATTCGGACTTCTGCAATGGTATATTCAAAAAAAAAAAAAAAAGAAAGAAAGAAAGAAAGAAATCTAGTTCTTGTAAAGGAACAAATTCAGTAAATTATTGCAAACCATTCTAAAATGCTTCAAGAATCATTACTCGTTGTCACATGGATATATAAGATAGAGAAGACCTCAATATGAAAAATATCAAAAGATCATTTTATCTAAAAATTGAAATTTTTACATACCCATATTACTTTGTGCTTAATTAATTAAAAGAGAAAGTAGAGTGATAGGATTCTAACTCGCAACCATTTGATCATCAAAGCTTTAATATCATCTCAAAGGATTATTTCACCTAAATTTAAACTCGTTAGTTAAGACCTCGGGATATAATTTATACTATTATCTAACAAAAAATTAGTAAAAGTAATTCACCAACTTCAGGAAAAGATTATAACTTGAATCCAAGTCAAGACAACTTACTCCTTGTAACTTGTCTCTCACTATGTTTTTTCTTAGTATTTTCTCTCTTTTTCGTCTATGTTTTTTCTTAAATCTCCACTAAGAAAAATAAGAGATATATAGAGGTAGTTTTTTTTTTATCCATAGAAAAAAAAATAAGGAGGTGGTATGTTGGCTGTTAGTGGGACCCCAGATACCTAAACATCAAATGAAAAATTAAGGATCATATTCTCAGATATAGAAATGGCATGCCTGATCACTTCACAAAGCAGGGTCTGGATAGAGATTCTGAGTCGTTGGCTATAATTTTTTGTAACATACAGGTTCTTCTTTGTCTAGCCATCTCCTTACTGGCTAGTCCTGATCTTTTGTTTTTAAAGAAATCTCTATTTTCATTTTAAAAAAAAACCTGGAAACACTCCCACTTACCTACTACACTAATGACTAAACCTCCAAACATATATATTTATATAAGTTGATGATTCCAACTCTCGTAATTGAGCCAACTTAGTGGAGCAAAAATTTTATTCCTTCCTTGTCATCATGTGAATAGTAAAGTAAATGAGAACCATGCATGCATTTGCGTTGAAACTTTGGAGGTTGATCGTTAGGTTTGAGAGTAGAGTGAATGGTAAGGCATCAACCTTATTTATGACAATAACCTACGTGCATGACTTTTTCTACTTACCAGTCCAAGGTTGTTCTTTACAATCCTTAACCATTAAGCTCTCTTTTCCTTTCTTGCTTCAAAGTGTGTATAAATCATGGCCTCACTGCACCATGCTTGCGCATTGCCTAATTACCTTCATCGCATTTTTACAGGTCCATAAGGCGTTTTATTTGAAAGAGTGATCGGAAGATGCCACCACCCGGTTGGGGACCTCCACCAGGAGGACCACCCGGAGGCCCGGGGATTTGTGGCTGCTTTGACTTTATATGTAATGGTGTATGCAGGATTGTAAGTTCATGGTGAGTTATGCTTCTCTTTATTGTAGTTCTTTTTAATTAAGTGCTGTCATAATATTCTATATGAAGCTCAAAAAACTTGTGCTCTTGATCCATGATTTGGTGCTGTTAGTGGATATTCCTTAAATGACGCTGATTCTTCAAAAAGTATTATCCCATTTTGAGCTCACATCTTCATGGTGGGTTTTGTCTTAAAAATACAGTGGCGATATTTAGACTGTATTTGAACTTACAAGCTTTCCAAGAGGTTGTTATTTCGTGTTTTCGTTTTCAAATTTTTTGGAAACAAAAATAATATTTGATTGTCTTACATGCTTTCTTTTAATTGAAAAAAAGACTGAAAAAAGAACCACTGTACATACTTTTAAAATTATTTTGTTTGTTTTTGAAAAAATTCTACAATCGATTTTACATTTTTAAAAACAAAAATAAATAAATTTTATGTTTCTATTTTCAATTTTAGTTTTTAAGAACAAGAAGGGGGGGGGGGGGGGTGGGGGTTGGTTATCAAATGATCCAAACTGGTCAATATGGAATATTGGGTATCAATGGTCAACTAACTCATTTTTTTATATAGAATAATTCACACGTTATATATGATTTTCTGAAGATTAAGACGATGATAATCTTTTTCTCATAAAGAAAAATGTACATAAGTTTTTTTTTTTTTTATGTACATTTTCCATAACCATTATGATGAGAATTGAGATTTAATTTAGATAAGGTAACACGGTGTTGCCTTTCATGTTGGCAGTTTCTATATTCTGTGCTGCTGCTGCATCTTTGAAAGCTGTTGTGGACCAATGTTTGGTGGACCGCCGGGTCCACCTGGCCCTCCTGGGCCCCCTCCATTCTGATGATCTTATATTATGGCATATCATGGTGATTACTGTTGTTGTATCAAGTTATGTGACTTCTTAACCCCTCTCCTCTCCATCCTTCAAGCTTTCCTATAATGTAAGATAATAAAGAGAGTGGCAGCAAAACCTGAGGAATTTTAATTCTCATACTCGCATGCCTTGTAACCTTATCATCATATGGAGTACTGGTTCTCGTCTTTTCTTTTTCCAAGATATTGATTGGGTTTATTTCTTGCAAATCAAATTTAGAAACAGAGGGCATTCATAGTTGAGCAACGCCCTACCTGATTATCATTACCTCCATTAAGAAGTTGATGGTGTAATTAAACTCTAGACAACATTGATGGTGATTAAAAAAACCTTACAAATTAACAATCAATTACCTCCATCAAAGAACTAAGGCTCTCCCTCCGTTCAATGCGAAGGTTGCGGGTTTCACCAGGGCAACGAAATAACCAGAGGGGGGTCAATTATAAAAAGCTGTAAAATTAAAAGTGAAGGGTGTCATTCGGAATTCTGCAATGATACATTCAAAAAAAAAAAAAAAATCTAGTTCTCGTAAAGGAACAGATTCAGTAAATTATTGCAAACCATTCTAAAATGCTTCAAGAATCTATACTCGTTGTCCCATGGATATGTAAGATAGAGAAGATCTCAACATGAAAAAGAAGTAAAAGTTGCAATAGTTAAAACAATAATTTCGAGTGCATTTCTCTTGTTCCAGAGAGGCCATCGAGAAGAGTTCTGCAGCACAAAACATCGTTTGTTCTTTATTTCCTTCCACAGGACACCTACAAGGTTTTAAGTTCTCTGATTACTCCATAAACATATAATTAAGACTTACAATCGATGGGCAACATCCTGATCCGCCACCAAATTCCAAAAAGCCCGCAGAGGTATTATTTAAGAGAGAGAAGCATCCTTCCTGCTTGACCAATGTGTATATTCCACCCTAATTCTCAAAATTACCAAAAATTGCCTGAGTGCCTCTGCTACACTAATATCTACATATCTTGCATTGCACAAGTTTCACCCAAAAACTGGGTTAAAAGCAGCAAAATCGAGAAGAAGAAAGTAATAACTCAATGAGATTAATTTCCTAGCGTGGGTAACTAATCATGTGTAAGTCAAAAGTCCATGGATACAGCCCCGCTTTACAACATGAGTACATCCATTCGACCTACATGGCTGTTTCAATTTCAAAGCCACAGCCTGGAGCACGAAATCAACTCTTTTCCAATCTCAATCTTCTTCTTCAGATGCCTCCCTCAACCACTACAACAAAGATATATATATATATATAAAATGTGAACTCACATGTTATATGGTGCAACAATAACATCTTACATCAAGTTTTAAGGGAGCTATACAATAGAAAGTAAAAAACAAAAAACAAAATAAATCATGCTCGGCAAGGCTTCAATAGCTTGAGTATTGCATAGGACGCAACCCAGAGCTGATCTAATTCTACATTAACACCACCTCTATCCTTCTAGCTCTCATATGTGCATGGGCAAACAAACTTGTTTCATCCATGCATGTTACCTATCAGAGAGTGAGTTATGAAGGCCAGCTGCTCTGAGTTTATATATTACACAGGCTAGTATTGGTGTGAGAAACAACATCGAACTCATGACAGCCAACTCAGACAATTGGCATCCAATCATAGAGGACGCGGTGTGATTGCATATAAGACTAATTGACTACGACAGTAAGAATTGTGTAGTAAATCTTACTTGAATAAATTTTTCTGACCGCTTGACAAAAACTTTATCTGATTCTTCTGCATCTCTTTTCTCATCAGCCCATTTCAATATGGCATCCTCTTCTAATATGTCTTTTTCATATAAAATTTGTAAAATCTGAGAAAATATCATACGATGCAATCAGCAACATGATAAACAACACTTATTACAGTGACTTATTGAGGCACGATAAAGAATAATTTTTTGAGTCAAGGCCAGGATATCAAACTTATATGCATGGAGATCAATAAACACAATCCAAGACAATAAACATACCAGGGCAAAAAGTGGCGAGAACTCCTTAAGAGATTCCAGACACATTTCTTCAAATTTCATTATCACTTCAATCTGTTCGCCATTAGATGATATCAAGTTAACAACCATTTTACAACTGAAAGAGCTGTTTATGAAATGAACCATCTTATCCATCCAAATTCTTTACAAAAGCAACTAACAGAACTATTTTATAGATCCTTCAAGCGGTCGTATGAAAATTGAAATGAGAAATAGCCTTAGGAATCAAAGTGTATGGCAAGAAGAAACAGAATCAGTGATTTAGAGTAAACACATATATCTGTTCCCTATAATTTAGAAAATAAAGGTTAAACTCTTAACATATTTACTCTAATGGTAGGATATTACACTATAGTAATAAAAAGATCAGCAGTAGAGAAGAAATCTATAAAAAATTGAATTAGAAGTCTCTCTGGAAAGATGAAGGAAGACTGGTAATATGTGATGATAAAGATCTGTATACTAACTAGTCAAGAAGATCAACAACGCAAACCTGGTCATCTATAGTAATAACACTTTCAGCATATTTACTCTAATGGTAGGATATTACACTGTAGTAATAAAAAGATCAGCAGTATAGTAAGATCAACATATTTACTCTAATGGTAGGATATTACACTGTAGTAATAAAAAGATCAGCAGTAGAGAAGAAATCTATAAAAAATTGAATTAGAAGTCTCTCTGGAAAGATGAAGGAAGACTGGTAATATGTGATGATAAAGATATGTATACTAACTAGTCAAGAAGATCAACAACGCAAACCTGGTCATCTATAGTAATAACACTTTCAGCATATTTACTCTAATGGTAGGATATTACACTGTAGTAATAAAAAGATCAGCAGTATAGTAAGATCAAAATATTTACTCTAATGGTAGGATATTACACTGTAGTAATAAAAAGATCAGCAGTATAGTAAGATCAACATATTTACTCTAATGGTAGGATATTACACTGTAGTAATAAAAAGATCAGCAGTATAGTAAGATCAACATATTTACTCTAATGGTAGGATATTACACTATAGTAATAAAAAGATCAGCAGTAGAGAAGAAATCTATAAAAAATTGAATTAGAAGTCTCTCTGGAAAGATGAAGGAAGACTGGTAATATGTGATGATAAAGATACGTATACTAACTAGTCAAGAAGATCAACAACGCAAACCTGGTCATCTATTTCCTTTGAATAGAACTCTAGAAGTTTTTTCCATGCATTTATAACACTTTCAGCATTATCACGCAATTCACCTGAAAGGTTAGATGAAATATCCATTGAAGCCACATAGAGTATGATTCATCCCTCTCCAGCCAAATAAAGCATTGAAATTGACATAAAGAAAAAAAAAAAAAAACAAATAAAGCATTGAAATTGACAAAGCCATTCAAACTAGATGCACTGAGTTATTTACAAAATAAATAAAAGCAAACACAATTATGAAGGGGTTATAGCAGGACTTAGTTTTTGAATCATGACATGTTCATAGCTTCATTTACTATGTTCCATCCTACCTTGTTTAACAAGCAAATGAAATAAGTTCATCTGTGTGTGGCTGCGCCCATCAAATATTACCACTATCTAGACATAATCACAAAAATTCCAACATATTTTCACTCATAAGAGCCAATTTTTATGTCTCCATCATTCATAGAAAAGAAGATATTTCCCTTTCATGAATGTGCAATACACTAGGCCGAAGTAAAGAACTAATTACCAGCAGTAGAATGTGGAATCTCTAATGCCTGTTTCATCATTGCATAAAATATTGCTCCAGCACAGTCTGCAGATGTCATGTTGTATGACAACCTCAAAATTGAAATGGAAAAGGACGTCAAAGGTAGAATAAATAACTTTGAGCAATTATATGTTGATAATGTAAAACAGGAAAAAATATATATATATATAAGAATTGTTAAGCAATGAAGAGGGAACGAGTAAAAACACATCATCCATAATGCTAAACAGGTTGAAAAAAATATGGCAATAACTTAAGATTTGTAAAACAAATGTGTCAACTACTATGGGTGACATGGTAATTAACTACTTGTCCACATTTTAGAAGCCATAGAGAAGAAACACAGTTAAACAGGCAATGGTACCTTGACAGCCAGCCAAAAACAACAGTCCCTTACAATAATTCCTAGCACCTTATTTATATGTGTTTCAACAATTTTGTAGGAACTATAACTTAATAATCACATATCCACATCAAATTATGAGCTTTTTATAGATCATTAATCCCACTTCTATGTGAAAGTTTGTTCACCCTACATAAAATAGAAAGTACTGAAGAGAAGACTACTAGTTGAAGAAGAGTGAGTGATGTCACCGGCTCAACCGAAGCTCAAACCAGGATCTCATCAAGCAAGCAAAAAATTAATTAATACTAACGCATAATTTTATTGATTACATCAGCCATTTATTGAATTACATTTACCTAGCTGATTCCATACCGCCTACTATATCTGCCCTAGCAGAAAGCCACCCAAAGGTTCAAAACTGAAATGTTATTTCTTTTATTGAATCGGAAATGGCTGGGTATCATGACATGTGCAGTTTTGTGCATAACTAAGCAAAAAAACTAGATCAAATGGTTCTGTGCGAGCTTGCAGCAGGGAAGTATGAACCTGGAATCTAGTCTGTGTTTCAATAGCAACTGATCATAAACCATAACTAAAATAAATTATTTAAAAATAAAAGAAACTAAAAACCAGTAAAATGTAGAAGCAAACCAAAAGAATTTAACCAAAGGAAGGTGAACAGGACAAAAAGGTAAAAAATTATCAACTTTTGATGATGTGCCTTCCTTTTTCATATGTAGATTATTATGTATAAAACTGAACTTAATAAACTTATTTACCATGTGAAATATTGTTAAATAAACATCTATGTTATGAGCATCATCAGGAGGTCTATGGCATAGGTTTAATTAAGGAAAAAAAAAACAAAAATTAGCATACCGGAGAGAGTTCATTTCAAGGATTATGTCAGGCACTTTGATATTCTCATTAACGGCCCTCAAAAAAGTTGCTTCAACCTGCCGACCATTAAGGAATATTCAAGGTTTTGTAGGAACCACAAGTGAAATTTTCATCACCATCAAACTTCAAACATGTTTTTCACCTCTTTCTCATAGTAAATGGAATCGTCTCTAGAATCTTCAAAATCATCGTCTTCAGAATCAGTACCATTACGGTCAGGCTTCAACTCCGCAGAAGTTGAGAGAGCATTTCCATCTAGATTTAACAATTCCAAATCATCCTCTAAAGCTTGGGTGGCCACAGCAAGTTTTTCAGCAGGAATGGGTGCAACTGAATGTCTCCATTCTTCCTCATGACCTCCTTCACATATTGACCATACATGGCCAACACCACCAGGCCCAAGCTGAAAGCCCACAAAAGATATCAAGATAATGCACAAATGTACTCAGATCAACAATAACATATCTGTTATAGATCAAAACAGCAAGGCTCAATGCTGTGAGGTTTTCTTTCATTGTCACATAGAAGAAAATTTTCGAAAATAGTACACTAAATGTGCAAGATAGAAAACCACATCCTATTCTCTCTTTTTTTGGACAGAAAAGATCCTTATTAGAAAAGAACAAGAAATTTTACATAGATGGAGGATGAGAATTCCACCAAGGCAGAAATAGAAAATCTGAAATACAAAACATGAAGCTCAGAGTCTTTTTATACAGATTGCCATATCTGTTATTACTAGGTACACTCTATGCAAAGTTCTCCACGCGAACCTCAGCTTTGACTCCAAAACATCAACAGCAAGGACAAAATTGATGACAAAGGTCGCAAAGTGAGCACTAAGAGAAAACTTGAATTCATAATCCAATCTGACCAACATCCCACTTTGCTTGCCGAAAAAAAAAAAGAGAAGCAAGTAACCAACATATAGCACTTTTTACTGACAAGTAACCAATCAACATGCTTAAAAACCCTGTCTCACAATAAAATTAGAGCAAGGGATTTTTTGCTCATGCACAAACAATAAATTAAATTCATATCATCTCTTTCTTAGAAAATTATTAGGAATTCACTAACTCTATCACCCTAATCGATACAGTAGCCCTTATCACCATCTTGCGCCCTCTGCACAGAGACTATATAAAATCATTGATAATGAAAATCATAAAACTCAAGCAGGAATTATAATAAATAGTTTCACAAAATTCCATTTACCTTTAACCAAAATGCTACCCTATAACAAGGCCGAATAACCATTTGAACTAAGGCTTTTAGGATGATTACAATAAGGTCTCCTGGACTACCGTTTATTTCATCTATCTTTGGCACCTTTTTCCCCTAAGAAAAATTTTCCCCAACTCCCACTACAATTTATTTCACATAGAATGCTTTCAAAGAGAGGTAATGAGGAAAGGAATGATAAATCTACAATAAGGCATAAATAACATAACTAAGAGATAGCAGTCTCAGGAGTACATTAAAACCAAATTCAAAGCTCACCTGTGATACAGGCAGCATCTCAGAAATCATTTCCCCATTCAATGTATCCACAGTACCTGTAATTGCTGCATATCACACCAATCCATTAATGAATTAAGGAAAAGAGCAATTGTCAATATATTGAATAGTTCATACTAAAATGCAGCACTCGTATAAACATACCCTCGGATAATAAATTGCATCCATATCAAACACTGCTGACAGAACATTAATAACAACATGGTGAATAATGTCCAACATAAGAACTGCAAGGCTGCACCCTAAATAGTAAAGACAAATATCTACAGCTTTCATTTCATGCTTATGCAATGCCAACCAAACAAAAAACACAACATTTTAGCAAAGCTAAAATACAAGCTAAGGCAGATAAAGTATCAGGACTTACAAGAATCTAAGGTTCCAAGGCTATTGTCAGCATACTCCAATTCTTCATCACTATCTTCGACAGTTGGCTGCTGAAACAAAGACACCTTTGAGTAGGAGGGGACAACACATTTTTGTCCGATCACAACCTGGAGAACAGAAGATATTAATAAAAACAACTTGCAAAAAGAATGCATACATAGTCAATGAATCATAATTCATAAACATACCATAATAATATTCAAAAGACATATAAAACAAAGAAAACTTAGAAATCTTATTTTCCTATTGCATAGACAAGAACTAGTTTTGCATGAATCCTTGAAACTAAATGACTCTCTCTCTCTCTAAGAAAAAGGTTTATAAATTTCACTAAAAATTGTTGTTCCATCACAACCTAGACAACAGAAAATGTCAACTGAAAAACCTCATGAAACTAAAGAAGGCAGAAGTGGTCAATAAATCCTTAAGCACCATAAGATTATTCAATATGCACGTGATATAAAACTTAGAAACGTTACTTTTGTAATGCCACACAAGAAACTAATGATTCTCATAGGAGAATGCAACAGCAATTTTTTACATTAACATCTCCAAAGTCATCTCTATGAGGAGCCATATATTTCAGCTAAGAGGGTTGCAAGTACAAACTTCCAAAGGAGATAACCTAAAGCAATTTTATTAAGAGAAACAAATCCTCACTAAAAGAGGTTTAAAATTTTCACAATAGAGGCGAGGAATACACGGACATGCCTGCTAAAAGCAGGATATAGACTATAGAGATAAACAGCATTTAGATAATAAAAGAATTTCTTGACCTGAGATAGTTGAGAGAATTTATGCTTGATTAGAAAACAGTAACTTAACCAAGAATCACTCTTACACAAAGAAGATATTCCTATAGACCAGATCTTTTCTGCAGGAATATAATTACATGTTGAACAAAAGCCCTGGAGTTATTTGCAATATATAAAAACAATGTTATCTCTTCTTTAGAAAACACAAGTGAGCTGCTTTAGTCATGCCCCGTCTTACTAGAGCAAGCCTATAATATACCTTCTTTTATAATCAGGTGCTAACAATAAGGTTTTTTTTCATTTCATCTTTAAAATTTAGTTAAAGAAACCAAAATATATAAAAAGAACATTAATTTAAGCTTCAGTGTTCAAGTCATGCCACTATTTACACTCACATCCTGAAGCAGCAGAACCTGGAAGGCAGGCAGCATTCTTTTTTTTTCTTTTTTTAAATCATAGGTAGGCAGCACTCTTGGAATGAAGAAGGATGAGTAAATCACATGTCGATATGAAGAAATGTCATAAATCTATAGTTAATTGACAGCTGGAGTTACTTCAGCCTCATTTGAGCCCCAGGGAACCCTTCGTAGAGAGTTTCCAAATGATTAAAATTCACAGTTTGCATGTCGATATAAATCAAAGTTAAATGGAAACATTGACTTCAAAATTGTAATATGTATAAAAATCAAAAATTGAAGGACCCACCCCATCAGTCAAAGTCAACAACATTTCTATCACTTCCAGGAGCATTCCTAAAATAAAATCTGTTTAGTTCAAGTTTTTTGTTCAAAATATTACTGCATGTGAGTCCATGAAATTCTTGGTAACATGTCAAGTTCAAATCCAATAGAAGTCCTGCAATGAAATTCAGCTAAAATTAAACAAGATGGCGGCCTTTTAGTGATTACCTTGAAAGACAATACGACCCCAGATTCCAACACATCTTCAGATTTTATTATCACTCCATCACATATTATCGCATGCCTTATGTCACAGCCATCTTCAATAGTGACCTTATCCCATATATAGGAACCTGTTATTAAAACATTTGATCCAATTGTGCACCCTTTTCCAATGACAGAATTTGAAATTTTGGAGTTGTTCCCAATTCTAGTGCCTTTTCCAATAACAGTAAAAGGACCAATATGTGCAGAACGTGATTGCTCTATTTCTGCCAAAAATCAAAGTCACGAAATAGCATTCAGCAAAAATGATGACAAAAACATAAACCAAATAGAAATCGTAACTGGTTGCTCCTCTCAATGAGATAAAGGGTGTTGAAAAGGGAGATGGCGAAGCAGAAAAATAACATGCAAATAATGAGCACAGTCACAATAAATGATCAAAACAAGTACATAGGGGAAGAAAAACCATTTTATCTTCTCATTGTGCAAAACCACTGGCTAGTACAAAAAAAGAAATAGGCTATAGGAAATGAATTCAACCCATCAGGGCCATAAGATATGCCTGATGTTTCCACCACTAAAAAAGTACACGAGATTCTACTGCCTAATCAAGTCTAAACACAAAGATTTCTTGAATTAAAAAATATATATATATATATATATTTTTATTATGGAAATTAGCAATATTACATATGGAGAACAAGAAAGCATCCTTTTACAGAAAAAGAAAAATAAGGGCTCTAGAGCAAAGAGCTTCCCAAAATATCAGATAAAACAACCCCTAAAAACAGCCCCAAGCAGAAGGCCATAAAGAAGCTAAGGACAGTTCGACCCAGGAAGATGACAATACTGTTTGGAATTTATACTCCAACCCAAATATCACCTTTCTATAATTATTCCCATTCTTACTTGTGCACATCCTCCAAATGCAATAACAACTCCTCCACCCTCCCCACAATAACCCGATACTCACAGAGAAAACAAGCTCCAACATACAAATTAATTAATAAAAATGGACTAATTAAATGTAATTCTGGCCATCCATAATAGGTGCACCAACAAAACACAAAACTTGGTGAAAACTGCTAGGCACATAAATTGCATCACGTGGATTGATATTTAAGACCAGGGAAAGTTAACTACTGGGAAATCAGTAAAGGATGTTTAATATCCATACCTGATGCTCGGTACATCCCCTCTCTTTCAAGTTGAGCAGCAGAATTTCCAAAAAACATCACATCTGGTACAAAAGGGTAAGTCCACCTTTGAATTATGTCCTTACTGACAGTTCCGTAGCTTCTATAGTTATCAATCCTAGCCGCATAACTTGAGTGGATTTCATGAGTGAATATTTTGTAACCCATAATCTGAAACACATAAATAGAGGACAAAACAATGTGAAAATTATCATAGAAATTCCAACATCTACTGAAAAAATACATTCAGTGGAAGATAATGAGAAAAATTATAAGTGCAATCAGAACTCTGAAAATAATCATCTTTATATTAAATTTATAATAAATCTGCTTCAATGGGACAAATAATTTTCTGTTCTTTTCTATTCTTTTAAGTGAAACATGATATATATATTTAAAAAAAAAAAAAACAGACATGTATGAATATGTTAATGAAGGGAAATGACTTTGAGTGCAAAAAACCATACCAAGAACAACAATGAATAGAAGTGAAGAATATAGTCTATCATTAATTCTCTTCTTCAGCTCACAGATAGAGAGCTTTGTATTTCCTTTACATTCAAAGGCATCCGGATAAAATTATGAAATTATTTTTGACAAGCAAGAGAAAGCAATTAATAGCTAGCTAAAATAAATATCCCGAACCTTATTAATAAACACTGAGGGAGTTACAATATAAGCCTGAGCTTGAGCTAAGCTTTTCATTTGAGAGGTGGTGTACTCGAGCAGCAAGGTTGTGGATTATCTTTCTAAACATTCTTCTTACCTGTTTAACTCAAAACCATACATGTGCATCTGTGTGCCCATCGATGTACGTAATTCAAACTCACGATGATCTCAGACAGAGGATGTGTAGATACATATAACCATGCATATTATCTTTAGTGATTGTGCATTTAAAATCCTATAAAAAGACATGAAAGAAAAGAGCATACATCATCAACCAGCAACCCCTTTACAAAATGACGGCGTAGGTGTTGATAGTCAAAGTTGTCAGTGAAAAGACTGAGAACTTCCGGAGAGCAGATGTCAATATAGCAATCCTGTGAATGGAAAATTAATTCTTTAGGGAGTCGTAATAAACAAAATAATCAACACCATGGATCTTAATCCTGGAATTCAAAATAAAATAAAACTAAAGTATAAATCTCAACCCATCAAGTGAAAAATAAGCTAAAGCGGTCATTGCATGAACAAGATGCAGGTCAGAGACAGAGAACACGGAATTAAGGGATGCACCTGCTTGTCATTGTGCAGAGAAATGGAAGGATTATCAGCAAGCAATGCATTATCAAGAGGTATAATCCCTTTAAAGTCCTTTTCCTCATAGTAAACAAGCTGCTTTGTTTGAGGATCTATTGCCATAAAAAGCTCATCAGTACCAAGCCGTGATTGATGGGTAACCGGGGATAGTTTCGACTGTTTAATAACCATAGTCATTACAGCGTTATTGTCCTTCTTCCTTCTCTCTTTATGTTCTAGAATCACTTGTGTGAGAGACATGTTGCTCACTGTATCCCCACTAATAAGTACAAAATCTCCGTTTATCTTCAAACACCAAAAATAGAAATGAAGAACAATCAGCACCTTCAAGAGTTAAAAAAGTACAGTGGAAACCATAACTTGATTGGTCTCATTCTACATAGACCACATCTATGCAAACTACTCAAAAATTTGACCACAACCATAAACATGACAATCATAAAACAAAATCGACACAAGAAATTACTTTTCTACCTTCAAATCACCAAATTAAGAAACTACCTACTCGCATGTTAACAAAAGAGCAATTGCATTACAAATCAACAATAATTAACCAATGCTAATATTATAAAAACTTCCAAAAACAGACCAACACGCCACAATTTCACAACCATGAACATAACTAACAGAACTTCACCACATTCACGAACACAACTACAATCTACTTATATTTCCATAACTACTTCCTGAACTAACTACAATATCAACAATTCCATTCAATATTTTCACATTTTCTTTTACTGCATTGAATCTCCAAAAAAAAAAAAAAAACTAATAAAAAGCATACCACATTGCGCTCATAGATCCATCGCAATGCGTCCCCAGCGCTAACAGAATTATGAGACTCGATAGTTACAACGGAGAAATTCGGTTGCGAAAGCCACTGGGATTTCTCCAAATACTCAATAACTTGTTTAGAATGCGCGCAACAGAAAACAAAAACCTCCTCGACACCAGCAGATTCTAGCCACGCCAATGTGTAATCTATCATCGGCACATTCACCAGCGGCAACAGCACCTTCGATAGTACAAAATAATTATTTTACTAAAACTATCATAATAAAAAATACAAGTACGCGTATTTTTACATGAAAACGTACTTTAGGGCGTTCGAGAGTGATTGGACGGAATTTGGTGGTGAAGCTATCCGCTAAGAGAATGGATTGGAGTGGGTGACGGGTGAGGTCCTCTGTGTCCTCTGTAACCCTAGCTGCTGCACCTTTTTTCTGTGGAGCCATTTTTTCTCTTTCTTTTGTTTTGGTTTCTCTTTCCCTTCTCTTCTCTCTTTTTGGTTTTGATTGCAAGGGGGAAAGGATTAAAGAGGATAATTAAGAAATTAGTAGTGAAGAATAATTGATTAGGGGGTTTGAAAAACCCTGCTGCTGTCACTGTGGTTTGATCAAAAACTATGTTTGTGTTTTGCAGTTTTGTCTCTTATTTTTGGGTTTGCTTCTCTGCGGTTGTGTTTAGAGATACTTTTTGGGAAACTAATACGAGGTTGGAACGTGGGAGGAAATTGGATCCTGTGCTGAGAGATGCGAATTTGAAGAAATAAAGTTGGGCCCTGGGGGCCAGGTGGTATTTGTATGGGGTGTTGGACATCAGGCCCAGGTTTCATATTTGGGCTTATGAAGATTTAGGCTTTGTTTGCCCAAAATACTATTACTTGGGCTTTAGATTTGAGCTCGACAGGAAAATGGCAAAGGAGAGGAAAGAGAGAGAATTTTTAAGCAAAAAAAATATTCGCTTTGTTGTGCTGTTTTATGGAAAATATTTTTGAAGAAACTTTTTTCTCAAAATTTGGGTGTAAAAAAAAATAGAAAATTGATCTCTCAAAATTTTCGATCAAACTCCAAATAATACTAATTTTAATATGCAATGTGTTATACTATTATTGTTTTACTACAATCATCACTATTATTACTATCGATATATTACACTCGTTACCATTATCTTGTTGTTAATATATCGATGATTTACTGTCAAATACCGCCACATCTTTTTGTCTTATTGTTGCACCTATTATTTTACTATCATTAATTCAATTATCATTATCACTCTTGACATCATCTTTATACTATCATCGTTTTATTGTCATTACAAAATCACTACTAGTTTCACTACCAACACAACTACCATTGTTAGCAAAATCATTATCACCTTCATTGTCCTTAATATATTTACTACCACCATTCACCAATGCTATCACTTTCACTGATATATTGTCATCACCCAACAATTATCAATGAAAAGCAATATATTTTTTCCCAAAAAAAAAAAAAAAATTTTCCTTAACTTAAAAATATTAATTAAACCTTAGGTCATGTATGATGTATTCGACTAAATCATTTGAGATTGATTAGTTGACACTTTCAAATTTGTTTAGTTGAATCTTAAAAGCAATATGAGAGTTGGTATAAATTATTTTTGAATCTTCAAAGAGTCAAATCACAACATACTTTATTATTTTTAATCCTTTTTGTTATCTTCTTTATTAGTAGTGTGTATCTATAGGTCAATGACCTAACATCTGAATATATATTTTAAGTTTTGTTCATAGATACACGATACATGTTGAAATTCAAAACATCAATGTACAAACAACTGGTCAAAACTCTTGATCAAAATTTAATTTCTGAATACCCTTCAATTGGTTAACACCCATGCGGGTAAAGAAATTGCCTAACAACCGGAATATATATACATGGTTAATACTTTCATCTATCCATATATAAAATGTAAAGTTTTTAATCTATTTTTAAATTCAAAACCGCCTCCAGTCTATCCATCTTATTTGAATTGATTTTTAGTCTATCATTCTAGTTGAAATTTTAACGAATTCGTTAAAAATTAATTTTTATATTTATAAATATAGATCACTTATGTCAAATAATAAAAATAATTTTATCAAATCGCGTACTTAATTTAGTCAAAAATTTTCATTAAAATGATAAATTAAAAAACAGTTCAAATGACATAGATAAACTGGAAGCATGTTTGAATTTAATGACATATTAAAATTTTGATATATTATATAAGAACAGGTAAGTTAATAATTCAGACACTTTCTTATTTATTTATTTTTAAGAACTCACTGACAATATTTGTGTTTTGTTGACATATATAATAAAATAACGTAGAACGCGGGAAAGAAAGAAGAGGAGAAGAAAAGCAGGCATAGATTATTGCCAAATGCCAATAATCCAAAGCAATTATATTATTTTATACACAAGTTCAAATGAACTGATTAAGGCGGTCTAATGGACCGACCTATCAGCGTCATCCATGTTTTATAATTTTATTTTGCATATTGTTAATGTTATCCTTGTTCATATAACTTCAAAAAATAACATTATCATTAATGACTCTAAACGATGGCATGCCACAGAATAGGGTTTCGACTCCTCTCCACTCCAAGAATCCTCCATTTTCCTCGGATTCTTACTCAAATTTGCTACACATCATTCATAAATACCAAATGGCCGGTGGAAATAAATCCATTTATAACTTTTATAAAGGGATCTGACACCATTTATTTATTACTACTAATAGGCTTTTTTATTCAGTGGTAGTAAATTTTGAATATTTACAAAAAAATTACGGATTCAAATTCTTCATTTGGAGTATTTAATTTTATTTTTTAAAAAAAAAGCTCTACTATAGAATATGTTTAGAGTAGCCCCTTATGTTTATGATGAAGCCAATTGTCTGATCCCTCTCTTCTCCTGCTAAATACTAATATTGATCTCTCAACATCTAATGATTGATTTCTACTTTCTAACGTCTATAATTGATGTACACCATAGGATTCTATGCGTGGCCTGAAAAAAAAAATCCATTTATTAGTATAAACTAACTAAAATCTCCTCTTCATAAGTTACAGCTCTATGCTTATTTTTATTCTTTTAAGTATGTCCTTTCATCTCGAATTTTAGAAGTTTTGCTCTTTGGATTATCTACAAACTTAAGTGGTTTTATTCCACCTAATCGAATATGTTTTAATTTAATTTAAGATATATTTCATATGTCACAGACACAAAAATAAATTATTATTGTGAATTGGTTTAGAGTTGGCAAATTGACTTTTTAAATTAATTAGACAATATATATATACACACACATTATTGCACCATGAAACCAGGACTTGTTTATTTATTTATTTATTATTGAAAAGTGAAACCCAGGCAAGTCTGTAATTATTCGTTTATATGGGTTCGATTTTAAATTTACTATTCTAAAAGAATCTTAAAAAAAAAAATCACATGTTTGATCATATATAGTACCTTTAATCCATTTATGTAATTTTATGGTTTTTTAAATGAAAGATTAATCGAATCTGAAAGAACGCTTTTATATAAATTAAAATTACCATAAAAATTGATAAGTTAACGGATGATTGATTTTAATATGAAAGAGTGACAACTAGTGGGTCAAAAGTTTTAATTAATCGGAAATCCAAAAACAATATATATATATATATATATATAATATTTTTTTCATAAAATTACATTAAAAAAAAAGCAACAGCTAATATATAAAGAAATTGCATAGATTTTTTAAAAACTTAAATAAATTTTTATCCTTATTAAGCATTGATGAGAAGATAATTTTTGAAAGCAGGTACATGAAAAATGAAAAATTAATTTTGATAAATTTTCAATACATAAAAAAAGTTAGCAAAACACTTGGATTTTATTTTTTTCCTTCTCAATAGATATTATTGTTTTTAAACTATATATGTTTGGTCCATGTGCACAAGTCTCATACTCATAAGAATAAAGTGTTGTTTGGTAATCATGAATAGAGTGATGGGAATGAGAATGCGGGAATCGGAATGAAATTAAGGAATCGGAATGGTATTTGTATTCCAATACTATGTTTGGAATACTAATAAGGAATCGGAATACAATTTAAATTTTTTAATATCTAATTTTTTATACAAATAAAAATAATGATTAAAAAAACAATTTTATTAAACTATATGCTTGTAAAAATAATAAAGGTGATTGTGGTTATGATAGTGGTGGTTCTAGTAATGGTGGTAGTGGCGGTAATGATTGCGGGAGTGGTAGTGATGGTGGTGCTTGGTGGTTATGATTGTGATAATGATAGTGGTAGTGGTGATATGCTATTAGTGATGATAGTTATGATAGTGATGGTGATGATTGTTGTGATAGTTGCAATGATAGTGGTGGTGGTTGTGACGGTAGTAATAGCGGTGATGGTTGTTGTGATGGTAGTGGTGGTGATTGTAGTTGTTGTAATGGTGGTGGTGGTGGTGGTGGTTGTGGTGATAGTGATTGTGGTAAAAGTAGTTAATAGATAATAAATAAATAAAATATATTATTACTTTGAAAAAAAATTCATTCTCATTCCTTGTTTTTTATTTCCACGTATTATGTAGGAATGAAATTGTGTGTAAATTTTCATTCCCATTCTCACTTTATTCCTTTTAATCAAACGACTACAATGTGGGAATAAAAGTTTCATTCTCATTCCTACCACTCTATTCACGATTATCAAACAACGATCTAACTTTTTTTATTTTTAATTATTAATTAATTGTTTTTTTTCAAAAACTAGAGAAAAACATTTTTTGTTTAATGTCCGTTGATCTAATTTAACTTCTTCCTTTTTTGTGTAGGAACCCATTCAGTCATCATTTTACGTGAAGTGAACAAAGAAATTGAAGCCAAAATTAGCAAAACACGCTGTCAAAATATAAAGTTTTTAGTAATATTGGTTGTCAAAGAAAGAAAAGGGATATACATGTAAGACTTTTTGCTTGATGCACATGCAAATGAAGATTGAAACGTGATGTATTTTAGTTGGGTAAGATGACAAAAATGGGCCAAAAAACCAAAATGAAATAGGAATCATAAAAGAACAACATGGTAATTTTGCCAAGAGAAAATAAAAGGACAAAAAAAAATCATAAAATGGCAATATTGTTGTAACTCCGTAAAACTACTAAGTAGCATGACAAAAAACAAGAATAAATTAAAGGGCAATAAGAAAAAAGAAACTCAAATTAAAAAGGCATTGCTGCAGTCTATGAACAGTGCCAATAAGTGTTAACAAATAGTGAAAAGAACAATAAAATCCTGTTTTAGTGTTTTTGTTTGTTTGAGAAAAACTTAGGAATGGGAGAGAAGCCAGTTTCCTCGATTAAGGAGATGACGACTCGATGATTCCAAAAGAGATTAGCCGTATATGTTTTATTTTTCAAATGGAAAGAATGTTTTTATTTACATTAAAATCACTACAAAAATTGATTAGTTACGAGAATGATTGATTTGCAGCACGAGAGAGTGACGGCTGACCTTGATCTGTTTGTTGGAAAAAGAAAAAACAATCAGTATAGTAGAAAGCAATTTTGAAATGAGATGGCAATTAATGTATTAATCATTAAATTATTTTAGTGACGTGTCTACTATATATGTATACAAGAAGCTAGTACTCTAGATTAAGGAGATGATTATATTATATCAGGTGTTGTTTGGTCATAAAAATGGAATGATAAGATTAATAATCAAAGTTTTGTTTTTATTTTATAAATATTTGATTAAAAATAATGAATTTAATATACCAATGAAAATTAGTATGTCCACATTATTTTTTAAAAAAATATTTAATTATTATTGCTACTACAATCACCTCTCCTTCCTCCTTCTTCATCGCCGTTGCCACTACTCCAATCAATTTTTTTTATTGCTATCATAGGCGATGAAATTATTATTTTTTTATTATTTTTTTGAAAAAAATTAGATATTAAAAATTTTAAAATTTATTCTGAATCATTGTTATTATTCCAAAAACAATATTGAAATGAAAATATCATTCGATTATCTAATTTTAACATAATTTTTGTATTTTTATTTTAAATTTTTCATTTTTGATAATCGAGATAACAATTTAAAGATTAGATATGTTTTAGTTTTCAAATTGAATGGTCATAATTTAATGTATGATAGAAATAGAAACAACATAAATTATTATTACTATTTTATTTCACTCATTTAATATAACTTATTAAATTCAAATTCAATAATGTGATTTGAATGACAATTTGAAAACATGACCTGCCATGCATATTCTCTTAAAAACACGAAAAAATTTAAATTTAATAAATCAGTTTTATGAACAATATCAATTATTTTTTATTTTTTTATATTTACAAATAGTGGATATTTTTCAGATAGTTCATCACTTTTTGAATTAAGTCGGTATCAACAATATTGATTATCGTTGGGTAGTCTCCATAGATTTCATGGAATATATATATATATATATATATATATATATCAAGTAATTGGAATCTTCTTTAAAAAAAATATTCCAGACAAGTACTGCAAGCAAATAACATTAATATTCTTGTGAAAAATATTTCCCATATTATGTTTTCTTTTTTTTTTTACCATGTTATGTGAGAATATGACATTGCAATCAGGCGAACTTGCTTGGGGGTCGGTGCAAAGAACATGGTAAGCAGTGCTTTAATATCGATGGAAGCAGCCAAAATATTCCTGCTAGCTAGCTACATCAGATCAGATCAGATCAGATGCAATCCACATTCCAGCTCAACAGCTTATCAACCTCATATAACCAGTGTAGACTATCAGATCTATCTTATCTGTAATTTTACAGACAAGAGTATCAGCAACACAAGCTTCTTCGTCCTTCTTGTTTTTTTCTGCATCTTACAACTGTCATCACACCAGGTATGATTGTCATCAGAAATTCACTCACGGATAAGCTCATGAATTGTCGTTACTCAAAAATTTAATCTGGAGAGTACTGCTGATGGTGACTGCACATACAAATTTCGTGCATTCAAAATAATTGGATTTTTTTTTTTTTTGTGTGATCCTTACGTGCACAAATTTTCTGATTAAGGGTCAGATTTGGATCTTTAGTTTATACTTAGAGACATTCGGACAAATTTGAAAACTCTAACTGTGTGAGATCTCAATTTGATCTTTGTTTTGACTGAAGAGATATCCATACCAATTTGAATTTTTAATCGTGTGGGATCTCAACTTGACTTATTTTGGTTTGACAAGGAAGTCTTTTTCTTCCTTCACAGACTTGATCTTCTGTTTTGAGACAACCTTCAATCGTTTGTGCCTGGTCTTTAGTCTCTCGTTTTTCTCTTATTCTGCAGAGTTAATGATTTGGCGGCTTTGTTGGCGATCGGCGATTTATAGACCTACCAAATACATTTTTACCTCAAAACGTTGTTCATTTAAAGGACACTTTAGAAAAATCAATGTGAAAACTACTTAAAATACCTTAAACAATGACTTGGGATAATTGGCACAAATAAAAGAAACAAATACTCCTGAACAATATATATTGGCATAAATACTAGATTTAATTTATCTGCTAAAAGAAATCACCGGTTTCGATTCCACTCTACACTAAGTCTAAATAAAAATTTAATTTCAATTAACATATATATATATATAAAAGTTAGGTAAAAGATATATTTTTTAATTAAATATAATAAAATAAAGAAACAGTGATTTGTGATAATTGACACGAGCTCATAACTTCTTTTTCTTTTTCTTTTTTTCTGGTTAGGATGTGAATGCTAACACAATGAATGGATTAGGTTTCTCAGTCTTCTTTCAAATTGCTTGTACATGACATTATTTATGAACTATAATAATAATAAAGTGCTTTTAATCAATCAATCTCACAAGTCGACATGAAATTACAACAAAATGATTCATCGATCTTTGTCAATGTTCTTGACATCTTGTAATTTGGTTTTCGTGGGATGGGAAGAGAAGGACAATTTTGTTATCATAAGCACTTCTCTTTCTCAGCAAGGGAAGTTCAAAAAACTTGGCCAGCTCTTGACTCAGACTTGACCCAGTTGTTTACATGATAGCGATATTCCAGAACCACTTGCAAAACGTGGAGTCACATGGACCTCTCACGTTTTGACAAAAAAACAATGCCACCTCTCATTAGTCAATAATAGGCAATATTGTCAAAAAGAAAAAGAAAAAAGTAATGCTTAATTAATGATTAGATTTGTATTTAAATACATAATTATTGTAAAGCTAGGCAACTTGGTCTAGACAAAAGGTAAAAAGTTCACCAACAGCGTTTCTTTTTTGTTATATCATAATTGACAGCCAAATACTTGTGACTAATTTAATTAACAGTTAAGACATTTTCTTTTTTGTTTTTTTCGATATCTAAATCTTACAATAAAAATAATACTAATTATATTCAAAATAAAAATCATAAAATTTAACTCATTTCAATATATATGATTTCAAAAGCATATAGCTCTCACGTTTTGACAAAAAATCAATGTCATTTTTCATTAGCCAATTATAGGTAATATAGTTATAAAAAAAAGTAATGCTTAATTAATAATTAGATTTATAGTTAAATACATAATTATTGTAAAGCTAGGCAACTTGGTCTAGACAAAAGGTAAAAGTTCACTAACAGCATTTCTTTTTTGTTATGTCATTGTTGACAGCCAAATACTTGTGACTAATTTAATTAACAGATTAAGACATTTTCTTTTTTGTTTTCTTTGATATCTACGTCTTACAATAAAAATAGAAATAATTATATTCAGAATAAAAATGATAAAATTTAACTCGTTTTAATAAATATGATTTCAGAGATATGTAAAAAAAAGTAATTATTAATTAATAATTAGATTTGTAGTTAAATACATAATTATTGTAAGCTAGGCAACCTGGTCTAGGCAAAAGGTAAAAGTTCACTAACAGCATTTCTTTTTTGTTGTGTCGTTATTGACAGCCAAATCCTTGTGACTAATTTAATTAACAGATTAAAACATTTTCTTTTTTGTTTTCTTTGATATCTAAATCTTACAATAAAAACAGCACTAATTATATTCAGAATAAAAACGATAAAATTTAACTCATTTCAATAAATATTATTTAAGAGATATGTACCTCTCATGTTTTGGCAAAAAATCAATGCCACCTTTCATTAGTCAATAATAGGCAATATTGTCCCAAAAAAAAAGTAATGCTTAATTAATAATTAGATCTGTATTTAGATACATAATTTCTGTAAAGCCAGGCAACTTGGTCTAGACAAAAGGTAAAAGTTCACTAACAGCATTTCTTTTTTGTTATGTCATTATTGACAGCCAAATGCTTGAGATTAATTTAATTAACAAATTAAGACATTTTTTTTAAAAGATATCTATCTCACAATAAAAATAACGTTGATCATGTTCGAAACTAAAATGATAAAGCTCAATTTATTTTAATAAATATAATTTTAGGTTTTGAACTTATATATTGACACGAAATTCATATGAAGACCGACTTATTTATTATTGTACTAATAATTTGTTGATAAGTATAAAAAAAAAAGCTATCATAAGATTAAATTGAAAAGAAAAAAAGGCCACCTACTTTTTGTAGTTATAATTTATACTTTAATATAGCTAATCATGGGGAAAGGGGTTGGCTTCTTTTCTGGAAGAATTGCCTGTGAAATGTAAATTACAATCATGCTTGCGCTACAAAAGGACAACTGAACTTCAACTTTATTTATAGATTCGTGACGACCCAGCAACTCCAAAGAGGCTGTTGTTCATGAGATTTCCATTGATTTTTTTTGCTCCATCGATCTGAACCAGATGCAGCTCCTCGTAGTCAATAATGTTACTGTGTGACAAGGACAGCGAACATTATGAGAACCATATAAATATTTAATTATAAAAAAATAAATGTACAAACTATATTCTGATTAAAAAAAATTACTTTTAAGACCAAAATTAGGTAAACTGATTGTTTTAGTTTTATTAAGATCATTTTTGTTATCCACGAATAATTAATTATAATTATTTTTTAATTATATCAGATTTAAGCTATTTTGTTTTAAAAGACAGTAGTTGATTAAATATTAGACGTGTTCTTGTACTTGTTTTAGTTAAACGAGACGATGAATGGTGAATTTATTCTTGATTGATATGAAAATAGGCTAAAAAAAATACCTTAATATCTATAAGTATATATAAAAAGAAAGGAAAAAAATAGGCAAAAATCTTAATTTCTTTTAATTTTACTTGCAATCTCGCACCAAGATGTAACATCATGATGTTATTGAATAATAATTTTTCGCATGGTATTAGTCTGCTCCGTTCATATATGATGATAAGATCAAAACATATACACATGGTCCATGATCGAGACATTTCAACAAAAAAACAAGTTAAACATTAAATTACCTGGTTTTAACATTTTAGGAAAAAATCAATCATCCAATTTTGATCAAATTATCCAATAAATAGAGCTCGTTCCCCGTATGAAAAATACCAAAATTAAAGGAAATGATGAAAAAGTATGATTCAAATTTGTTGTTTAGTTACCAAATAAAAAGAAAATAAAGGTGAATTTAACTAAATATATGTATGCTCTTTTTTTATGAAAAATTATCTAAGTGCTATGTAATCTTATGTTTTATTGTGTTGGACAAAATTCAAAGATTACAACAAATTCTCTTTTTCTTATGTCCATTCTAATTATTTATATTTTGGAAGGATTTTGTTTTGAACACAAAAAAAGAAGGAAGGACCGCTCTTTTCCTTGGTTTATTTTCCACGAATCAAATAAGAGAGATTGAACCTTTATTTCACCTTATCCTTTTCCATGCTTATCGTTATATCCATTAATAACAATATACTCAAAAACACATCAAAGATGCATTCATCATGAATTTGATAATCATGCCAAAATATACGATTAAAAAGAAAGTAATCTATTACCTAAAAAAGAAGAAGAAATCAATAAAAAAAAATTTGTTTTTCCTTTTACATCCACAACATTAAACATGTTAAAAAACAAATCAAATAAGAAAATAGAGTAGAGAAACAATAACAACCATGCAACATAAAGATTTACGTAATTTGGTAATTGTGCATATTCTATGATTGTATTAGGATTTTTATTATAGTTTTATCAAATAGCGATTGCAAATACTAGCAATGTTATCTCTATTTATACAATGAACAATCAAGGTTACAATAAAAAAAGCTTAACGTGTCTATACACCTTATTTAATATTTTATAGACCTTTCGGGGATGGAACTCCTTAAGTTTCTATAAAGGGCGTTGCCTCGTTGACTTCCGCTCGTTTATTGGCTAACTAGACCATCGTATGCGTAACGCTTAATGCTAGAAGACCTCGTCTACAATAGTCTCCACAACTTAACAAAACACTTATTAGGTTACCAACCATCATTCACCACCAAACTTATGAATAACACAAAAATTGTTTTTTCTAGATAATTTTGCGTTTTTGCTGGAATGTGAGGCAGTAATTTAATTAACAAATCTTGATACATGCATGATAAATTTTAAAATACTCAAGTAATAATTAACAATATATATAAAGAAAAAAATATTTGTAGAAATTGACAAAAATATTTTCACACAAACTCAATTAATTTTGTTAGTTCTCTTTCTCCTTTTTTATCTATATTTTTTTTGTATATTAAATATTATTAGCTACTCCTTAAACAATATAAAATTTATACCTTGAACATTTCAATTTAATTCGAGTTTTTTTAAAATAATAATTACTAGAAATCACATTCTAAAAAATTAATTAATAAAGATTAATAAATCTTCATATATAAATGACAAAACCATAAATAAAGTTTCTAATTATATAAATAACATAACATAAAACAAAGCACTATATGTATCAATAAAAAAGCACATAAAAAACATTTAAAATACCAAGTTGGGTGTTGACAGAGTGAACCCCTCACACGACATTAAAACTAGGCCAAGTTTTATGTACATCCTATTTAACTCTTCAAATTCAATAAAAAACCAACCCAACTAAATTCAGATGATTAAAAATTATTTTCTAAATCATGTGAAATTGCTACCTAGATGTCTTCTATTAGATTTTCTTAAAATAGTTTCTAAATCTAAAAAATACAGAACTGGTTCGTTGAACTTTCCCGTCATCGTCAAACAAAAACAAAACCAAAAAATATAAAATAAAATAAGTCACTAAAATATTCTAACTTTCCACTTTTAAATTTCTAAATTTCCTATCACAAGAGAAAAAGACATTACTCCCTTACCGAATTTGCCTTTGTCTCCATTTACATAAAAAGGAAAAAAATAAAAATAAAAATTCGACACATCCAATTCCACACCAAACTACCATATCAACAGTGTATCAGAAAATACATTGATATGAAATATGTTTTTTTATATGGTAGTTGCAATTATTTTTGGAATGTTGACCGCCATGAAGACATATACGTTGACCTGTGGACATGCAGACATGTTGCTCCAAGTCACCAGTATAACTTGCACAATTGCACTAATTTAGCGTTACGAAAAAACAAACAGTCAATAAATATGGTAAAAATTCTGAAAAAACCATATTTTTGCATCAAAATACGGCCAAAAAAAAAAAATGCCGTATCTTACTAATATAAATGGGACTAAAAGGAAAAAAAATAAATTATCAGCTTTCCACAGCTAGTCCGCTGTAGTTTCTCTGTTTTCCCGCACCGTACGTCTCTCTGTCTTTCACTCTGTCTCTCTCTCCCTCTCCCTCTCTTTTAAACGCAAACGTTCTTTCCTTCTTTCTAGAGCTTTCCAATTCTCTCTCTCTCTCTCATTTCTCTTTATTTAGATTTTTGGTTTTTTTTGATAATTTACTGTTACGAGGTTTATTTTTAGTTACGCGAGCTTGCCCGGCTTCAATTTTGAGAAATTCGAAGGGGAGATTGATTTCTGTTCATTTCTCTCCTCGAATTCTGTATTTGCTTTATAAAACTGAAGTTATGTAAGTTAGTTTCTTTCTTTTTATTGAATTAATTTAACTAAAAATTTCATAGCCTTTTGTTGCCCTTTAAATTTGCTTTATTTTATACTTTCTTTTTTCAAAATTGAGAATTTTTGAGGATATTTTTGGTGAAGCGAGGGGTAATTGGCTATGAAATGAGATTGATTTCATGGTTTAACGGTTCAGATTTTGGTGCTAAGAAGCTTAGATTTGTGGGATTTAAATTTTTAATACAATGAGGTAAATTTAATGTTTTTTATCGGGCGGAATTTGATTTTTTTTTTTTTTTTGTTTTTGTTTTTGCTTCATTTCAATGTTTAGAAGCTTAAATTTGGTTAATTTATAAAAGGTTCTTTTTTAATGCATTTTCTGGGATACCAATCGGAGCATTATTGCTACTATTATTGTTGTTGTTGTGTTATTGCTTTTGTAATTCGATGAGTTTAATTTAATACTTTCTTGATCAAAATCTGATCTTTGTTTTTCCTTCTTTGGATGTAGAGATCACATAATTTATGGAAATCGCCCGTCTTTAGATGGACTGTTCAGAGACATAAAAGAATTTAGCTCTGTTGTTGATTTTGCGTTTTCAGAAGGGAATATATAAATTCTCACATTGATTTGTTTAGTTGCGCTAAAAAAAGAAAGATTACGGGTGTCTGTTTAAGATGGAAGCTTATATTGGTTCAATTGGTTCGAAATTGCAAATGCTGACCACATCTGATCATGCCTCCGTGGTCTCTATGAACTTGTTTGTCGCACTTCTTTGCGGTTGTATCGTAATTGGCCATCTTCTAGAGGAGAATCGCTGGATGAACGAGTCAATCACTGCCCTTATAATTGTGAGTTTTTCCTCTGTAAAACTATTAAATCCATTATTGTGGTTTTGTTCATAATTAGATTGAGACAGTGCACATTAGTAAAATGTTTTCTTTTTCTTTTTCTTTTTATGTATGGCTGTATGTTTACATGATTCGAGATATGAGTTATGTATGGTTTGGTGTGGGGTGGTGACCCTGACTGGGTGCTTATAATAGAGAAGAAGAAAAAGATAAATTTTTGGTGAAAGTTACAATTTTTGTTTGTCTTTTTATATGCTTTAATTATGTCTGATACTGTGTGTTTGATGTTTTGTGGATTGGTGGCAGGGTTTATGTACAGGGGTGATTATCTTGCTGATTAGTGGAGGAAAAAACTCGCATCTTTTAGTCTTTAGCGAGGATCTTTTCTTTATATATCTTCTCCCGCCTATCATATTTAATGCTGGGTATGTTTTTGTTCCATTCATTCTTAATGCAGTTACATTTCAAGATCAATGCTCTTTGTGCTTGGTTAGTTTTAGCTGACCAAGACTAATGCTTTTTGGTTTGGTCTTGAACCTTACTCCAGTAGTTTTATATCATGCTTTTCTGGTTATGAGCAAGGCACCATCCTTATCTCTTGATTGAAAATCTGTTCTTTATTTGACTTTGATTAATGATGATATATCGCTGGTATATTTGAATTTCTACTGACCGTCTTCCTGTAGCCTAGATTTAATGTTTGTTTGTCTTCTTCATCTCTCTCTTATTACCAGGTTTCAGGTGAAAAAGAAGCAATTCTTCCGTAATTTCATTACAATTATGCTATTTGGTGCTGTTGGTACATTAATATGCTGTACGATCATATCACTAGGTACGCACAGGAACTCCAGACCTGCAGTTGATTTAATTCTTTGTAATGCTTCTCACATTTTATGAAGGCAAAACATCAGGACCGAAATTTAGAGGAAATTTTTTGTTCGAAGGTTGCCCCAGTGCTCTTTTTATTATGGGAAATGCATGGATGAATGGGCAAGATTTGCTTCCCTATGTTTTTTTTTTTTTTGGGCTGATTGATGGTGCTTAATAATTCCTTTCTTCCATCATTCAATTTTAACCTTTGTCATCAACTCTTGATCTTTCAAAATGGAAAATATATTGCAAGTCCTTGTGTTATAGGAATGCTATTGACACTCAAACTGCAGGGTATCCATTGGAAGACCGTTTATGGGTTTGAATCTAAATGTAGAACTAAAAGATGGAATAACATTGTGTCGCTTTTGAATGGCAACAGTAATTGAAATCTCAGGAAATTATAATCTATGCCTAGTCAGCATGCTCCTTGTTGACATTCGAATAACTATGTTTGAGTTGGCTTCTGATAAATGCAAATAAATTTGGTACTGATTGTTATTTTATTCTGGCAGGAGCTATGCAAATCTTTAAGAGAATGTATATTGGTCCCATAGATATAGGGGATTATCTAGGTAACCCCTTTACGCATTCCTTATGTTTCAGTACATTTTCCTCTTGCTTTTTTTTTTTTTCCTTTTTTTGGGGATCTTACATTCTTGTTTTACCATTTTCAGCAATTGGTGCCATATTTGCTGCAACAGATTCTGTTTGCACATTGCAGGTCTGGTACATATCAAAGTAATAGCATGTGTCAAATTTCAAACAAATATAGCACACATACTTGTATACTAAACTTGTTTTATTTGATGGTACAGGTGCTTAATCAGGACGACACACCTTTACTCTATAGTCTGGTGTTCGGAGAGGGTGTCGTAAATGATGCCACATCAGTGGTGCTTTTCAACGCAATCCAGAGCTTTGATCTCACTAATATCAATGCTGTAATTGCTTGGGAGTTTATTCGCAATTTCTTCTATTTATTTCTTACAAGCACTCTGCTTGGGGTGTTCGTAAGTCTCCTCTCTCCCTCCTCTCCCTCCCTCCATCTCCAGCACAAATTTGTTTATTTGTGAGCAATATTATGAAATATGCATGGTTCATTTCTTGCAGACTGGGCTACTTAGCGCTTACATCATCAAAAAGCTCTATTTTGGCAGGTATGACATGGTTCAAATTCAAGTTTCTAAGTTGCATTTAGTTCTTGCATGACTGTAAGCTATTCTTACAACAGCCAAATTTTTTCGTCAACACCAGATGTATTCTAAGACTGGCAAGTTGCCTTGTTATGGCTAAATATTAGGTAGATGGGATTGAGTTAGTGAAACCAAGTAACTGAAGAAGATAGTGATACCCGGTCCATGGAAATTTTGCAAATTTGAGGTCTATCACGGATGTATCTCTATGTTGGTACACATAAATTCTCATGTGTGTGTGTGTGTGTTGTTTTGGATTGCAGACTTAATTATGAGATACATTCATTTCCTCATTGTTTCTAGTTCTTGAACCAGTGATCTAACTAGTATGAGTCCTCCAATTTTTTTTTTGGCTCATTTCTTAGACATTTATTTTTGTGGTTGTTTGTAGTGCTGGATAGGTGATCTAACTAGTTATTCCTTGTTCTCCTTTTGTTTTTTTTTGGTTGATATCTTGAATCAGAATCCACTGTGATTACAGTTTTATTTCTGCTCTTGAGCACAGATAAACATAAACATAAACATAAAAAATCTGTTTGTCAATTCGATTAAACCTGATTGTCATTACGTTGAATCTTAATTATTGAAAAAAAGGCTATAATATACGGAATGAAAGTTCTGGATGGCAGACTAAATACTTTATATGTTTCAGGCACTCAACAGATCGTGAGGTTGCTCTTATGATCCTCATGGCATACCTTTCATATATGCTGGCTGAAGTAAGATTCCTAATTCTTCTGGTGGCCCTTCTTTTGTTCTATTCTAATGCTCCAGGACTTCCGTGGTTAATTTTGGTGGTTATGTAACTGACTTTTGGTGCCCTGCAGCTGTTTTATTTGAGTGGCATTCTCACTGTATTTTTCTGTGGGATTGTGATGTCCCATTACACCTGGCATAATGTGACTGAGAGTTCAAGAGTCACTACCAAGTATGTCTTATCCAAAATTTTGTCTTATGATGTGTTAGGAAGTGTTCATTTTTCAATGCTCTAAATCTTACACAAATTACTACAGGCATGCTTTTGCAACCTTGTCATTTGTTGCCGAGATTTTTATCTTCCTTTATGTTGGTATGGATGCCTTGGACATTGAGAAGTGGAGATTCGTAAGTGATAGGTATGTTTGCATTGATATTTGTGTTTCATCAATTCATTCAATGTCATCTGTTCTCTTGGAATTTATTCTTTCAGTATTTCATTAAAATTGTGTGATATAACTGCTGTGTTGAAACTCAGTCTTTTTATTGATCCTTATGTCTAGCTTGTGACTTTAATCTCACTTTTTACAGCCCTGGGACTTCTGTTGCTGTCAGTTCGATACTACTAGGTCTCGTTATGGTTGGAAGAGCAGCATTTGTTTTCCCTTTATCCTTTTTGTCCAACTTAGCTAAGAAATCGCCTAACGATAGGATTGGCTTCAGGCAGCAAGTACTTTATTGTTCTTATTATTATTGTTTTTGTTCTGTCTATTATCAGTTCTTTTTCTCTTAATTGATTGACCTATCTGATAACATAAAACATTGATTCTTTTTTAGTTTATCATATGGTGGGCTGGTCTTATGAGAGGTGCTGTGTCAATGGCACTTGCATACAATAAGGTATTGTGTGGACAGATTGTGATATCAATAGTTCTATACAGATTGATTTTATATGTTTTTGCATTTATATACTTTTTTATATTAAATAAATACAGTTCACAAGTTCTGGGCACACCCACCTGCGAGGAAATGCTATAATGATCACCAGCACCATAACCGTTGTTCTTTTCAGCACAGTGGTAAGTGATTTCCTTCCTAGCTTAGTTTTGAATATCAGCAAATTGCATAGGCTTGATTTACCGATCTGCAGAATACTTAAGAATTTTCTTTCACCCCCTCAACAACTTCCATCCCAGGTAGCTTCTTTTGCAAACTTGATTTGCCTTGGGTTAGAATTGGAACTAGTTATGCTGGGTTATTGACTACAGTGCAAAGAAAAGCAAGGAATATGAATTATAATGCAATACTATTTTTAGTTTATGTCGAGCCAATGGACTGTAGCAGTCTAGCTGGGTGTTTAACGATGGCTGCATCAATGACTCTTTCATCTGTGATGATTCTTTTTCTTACTAGGAAACAGTTTTTGGGTGAATTAAAATAACTGGCAATATTGATTTTTTTTTCGTTTTATTGGTTGGTATCCTGCCTGTCATGCAAATTCTACGAGATGCTGTTCATTATGGTAACAATTCTTCTCTATGCTCACAGGTGTTTGGTTTGATGACTAAACCTCTTATAAGTATTTTGCTGCCTAATCCAAAACACCAATCAAGAAGCTTATCAATTTCGTCAGATCCAGCTACGCCAAAATCACTCACATTACCACTTCTTGAAGAGGGGCAGGACTCCTTAGATGATCTAGGTGGCCATGAAATTGCCCGTCCAAGCAGCATACGTGCACTCCTAACAACCCCAACACACACTGTTCATCACTACTGGCGCAAATTCGATGATGCCTTCATGCGTCCTATGTTTGGTGGCCGGGGTTTTGTTCCCTTTGTTCCTGGCTCGCCAACAGAGCGGAGTCCTCCGAATCAATGGCATTGAAAGAAAGCCAAGCAAGATGTACAAAATATGTAAAGTTGTATGCATTATGAAGATAATGAAGCCATACACGTATTTGAACCTACTGCTGAAAATTTTGACAAGATTTTGGCATTTGTGTTCGGAAAGCAGTGTATCATATTTTGTAATTAGCTCTGTGATGTATTATATGTTAGTTGTCAGATTAGGTTTGCCTATTCATTTTTCTTATTGACGTCGGAATTTTGTGACGCTGAAAGCGCAGAATTAACTGATATTGTCTTGCCGTTATAATTATATTCTTGTTCTTTGTTTTATGTACTTGTATTGCTCTTGGCTTTGATACAAGTTGAAAATTAATTGTCATAATCTCTTTATTTTTAGCAGGATGCGGTCCTGATTCAGATGGACAAGTAATGTTGGCTGTCTCAAACCATCTCTATCTGATATTTTCTTGGATGTAGCTGAAAGATTGGCTCTCAGACAATTCACTATTATTGATTAGTGCTCTCGAGAATCGAGCTATTTCTCCAAGTAGCATATATAGCTGTGATTGTTGATGTTCTTGAGCTGTTGATCCTGTTCTTTTAGCTATGCTGGGATTTAGGAGGGATGGCAATAGAGATGCCTATTCTCAAGGTAGCCTAGCTGAACCTTCTAGTCCTGAATGGTTGGAGTGGAAGAATTTAACCACTGTACTTTCAGTTTCTACTTCAACAAGATGAAAATGACGCATCATTTTGGCAATTTTATTTACCCAAACCACATGCTCAACACACGCACACATCGTGGGAGTCAAAATCGAAAAGCAAAGGTACTAATTTTCTACAATTAATCTAAAAAATTCAAGGATAGGGTTTTGAGGTTTGATGATTGATGGAAGTGGGTTGCAATGAAAAAAACTAGGGTTTGTGATTAAAGCAAACCAGTGTTAGCAAAAATCTAATTAAGGATGACAAAATTATCTGCTTCGATGGTTATCAAACAAAATCCAACCAGATGGGAACAAATATGGAGGGCATTTTCCCTTGATAAGCAAATGGGGATGGAGGCGGAGAACATGCCTTTCATCTTGCTAGGAACCTGAATCCAGTTATATGTATTTACATATATTGTTTTTGATCTTTCTTTACGCATGTTTCTTGAATAATTTGATCTTTTAAAATAAATTTGCTATTGGATTTCTATTTTGATTATCTATATATAAGTATGAATGAGAATTATAATAAATTATAATATTTATATGGACTTGATATTTATTTTTCATTGGTTATTAACTATTAAATATTAATTATAAATACAATTTTTTTTTATTAACGGCGCCAAACCCGTCCCCTTGCTATTGGTACTCATAATCTTGATAAAATTTATATTTTAGGCATATGGAGGAGTAGCTCATTTTTTATTTTCTTTTTCTCCAAAGTCCAGGATCAGAAAAAGAAAATTGAAATTAGATTTTTGGGTTTTAGGGTTCTTTAAGTTATTCAAATCGGCATATTAATCGATTATCGAATTAAATTTATTAATTAGTGAAACTTTCCAATTATAGTATCAATTAGCATGTGTCCTGGCAACACATTAGAAAAACCCGTATCGTAAAAAAAAAAAAAACCATTTTTTTTTTTAACTATTGGTTAAAAAAATGTTTCGGCCCGCAGAAATGAAGGAGGCCGTAGATGGGCCACTATACCTATATGACTTCTCAAATAAAACCGAGATGCTAACTAGGCCAATAATGTGAGAGCTTACCATCGGCGGCCCAAGAAATTGAAGGTCTTTTGTCACTTGGGCCAAAATCTGCAGCAATGTGAGAGCTTACAATTACCTATAAAAAATTAAACGGTTGTGTAATTAAATTTTTTTTCCTCAACGGTAACGATATTTTTGAAATATTTTATATGCCAATTGAGATTAAGTTTTGTCGTTGATAATTTTAAGAACGCGCTCCCCCACATTATCTTGGTGCACTTAAAATTTTTTAATTAATTCTAGTGAATTTGAAATTTTTTTAAAAAAAATGAGCAAACTTCTTTAACTATAGACCAACCCCTTGAGATTTTATGTAATTAACACCTCCCTTTCTTAAATAAATTTTAATATAATAAAACTACTACTGGTTAAAAGAGGTTTGCTATGTTTCTTGACTTTCTCGGTTCAAATTTTAAAACCATCATGTAGAAAAATTTAATAAATTCTTTGGAATGCACCAAATTATGTAAGAAATGTATTTTTATAATCTTACGAAAATGATTGACATGTAAGTCAGACGAAAAAAAATCACATAATAAGAAGTACATATTCGCTATAATTTTTTTAGGTTTTTCATATAATTCTATAAAAGATTAAAAGATAATATCATTTTTTGATTTGATAGAAGATCTAGTAGACCTTGGGATATGCAACAGGGATATATATAGCCTCCCTTAAACCCAATTAATTGCATAAATCTTAAATTAAGTTGAATTCGAAACCCTAATTCTTAAATCATATTCCACAACATGCAATAATCCACGAGCTAAATGTAAGGTAGAAAATAAGCTTCCCCCTTTCTACTGGTTATAGCGAAGCAAAAGATTTATCTTTACACTTCTCATGAACTAGACTAACTAGCTTATAATTTGCCGTTGCAGATTGAGTAAAATTCAAACCACAAATTAAATTAGCAAAAGTTTTACCCTTACTTACGGAAATGAGAGTACTGGTCTATCCCTAGTGTTAATATAGATTTCATCAAAAAAAAAAAAAAAAGGGTTTTGAGCAATAAATATATGCAATAAAATTCTTCCTCAAAATTAATAATCTGGTTTGCAATTTTATTAGACTCGGGAATCAAGAAACCGTGAAAAAAAAAGAAGACGTCCCGATTCTACAAGGATAGACTGACCTCTATATGTTTCCATCCAGTTTTTTCACAAACCCCATTATACTCACAACTGAGTTCTTTTTTTCCTAATTTCAAATATTTATTGAAGAAAGGAAGAAGTTGAAGAATTATATAATTAAAGATGGCGTGGGGATCTTGCAATGAAGGGCTTCTTGAAAAAGATACAGAAGATGAAAAACAGGAGTTAAATCTGGTAGAAAAGGAACTTGTGGATGCTCTAATGTGGTTCAAGACTAGCTAATTGTCCTTTAAGAGAGTCTTTGAAGGCCAAGAGCAACTGTACCATGGCCAGTTACAGTGACCATCAATTTGTGAACCCAGTTAAGGGTTTTGCACCCAAGAAAAGAAGAGGATGTGGAGAAGGGTTTCTTTCCTAGAAGGCCCCCCAAAGTGGTACTGATCATGAAGAAAACACGAGTACTGGTACTACAGCTGCTGAAGAATTTGGGTTTATTATTTTCAAAAAAACCGAAAGTTTTGTTCAAGAAGATGCCAGAAGTACTAATAGAAGGAAGTGTTAATTAAGTTTTAAACCCGTTTGGCATTCTTGCATCCAAGAAAAAGAGGAGAATGACGAGACAAAAGTTTGTCAAGAAAAGCCATCATTACTATATCAGTTCTTATCAAGATGGTCTGAAATTGAAGATTGAAAGGTAAGAAAAGAAACAGAGTGCAGCAGTTGGCAGAAAACGAATCTTTAAACACCAAAGGGTGGATAATGAAGATGATCAGAAGGGTCGGGGAGAGAGAGCATCAAAGAAAAGAAAGAAGATGGGAAGGGTAGATTTCAAGAAACTGGGTTTGGATCCTGCACCCAATTTCTCTTCCCAAATTAAAGCCCGGATAGATTATCAAGAAGGGCATGATAGTGCAATAAAGAAGATGATCATGAAACAAATATTTATAACTGATTTAAATATGCACCATGACTGTTTCTCAATGCCATTGAATCAAATGAATGATTTCAATAATTTTCTAAAGAAAAACGAGATTGAGGGTATAAAAGTGATGCTAGTGGAACTGAGTCCTAAGGATGATAATGTTCATCAAAGCACAATGAGATTGAGAAAGTTGAACATCAACAAAAATATTTCCTATGTGTTAACCACCAAATGGAATGATGTTTTGAAAAGGAATGAAGGTGTACTGAATGAGAATGACATTGTGGAACTTTATTCCTTCAAACGTGATGGGAAAATCTGGTTTTGTTCTTATCAAGGTTATGGATGTAGATAAAGTTGACAGACGTGTTGCATCTAAGAGAACTACTTCTCAAGAAAATAACAACGTGGATCATGGTGCTATAGAGCAGTACAGGTTTTTTATGGTTTTGGTGCAAGTGGGAGTCAAGCCAGCGAGGAAGGTGCTAGCACAAGCCAGGCATAGAGGAGATGATCTAAAGGAGGCAATTAATGTTATGGAATTGCTATCTTAATTTTATTTCATTTTTTTCTTTTTCCATATAAGGATATGTAGTTTGCTTGTAGCTGATCACATTTGTTTATTAATATTGAACTGGCTTCATAATTAGCATGAAGCAATTCATGGCCTCACTCAATTAATTAATGAATTAGCTAGGTTTTCTGTCTGTTAATTAAAAAAATTGTTCCAAGGATTATTGACAAATACGAAACGGTAAATATATTAATTAAAGAAGTTGTAAAAAAGGGCAATGAGATGTTAATGAGTAGTTTTCCGTACCGGTGGAGTTTGAGAAGGAAGGATGCACATTTATGAGATTTTAATTTTGACGAATATAATATATTTGTACCTACTTTCACTTTTTAAGAGATGCTGTTTCAGGTTCTCTGAAATGAATTGTGGATAGGCAGTTTTCTACGTATTGTAATTACTGACGTCGTAAATCTAATTTTAAATTTAGGTACGTAGTACGTAGACTGATTGGGTTCCATCGTGAACTCTTTGTTGGTTATATATAGGAAGGGTTTTCAATGATGTTCCACCAAAGGAGTACAAATTGGATTCGTGGAAGACTTTTTACCCAACGAATGGAAATGGCAGAGTTATTTCAATATCAGAAGCTCTTGAGATAATATGTAATTTGAGTTTATAATTAATCTGCATTGCTTTTGATGAATCCATTCACCAAAGGGTACAAAGAACTTTCTAGATGTTTGATTTTGCAAGGTTACCGATTATATATATATATAATCATTTTTTTTAATCTTATTTAGTCTCAACTGGTACGCATATAAAACAAACAAAAGCTTCCATCTTTGGAAACGCAATCCGTTCTTCGTCTTTTTTCTCTCCTTTTGTTCTTCCTTGATTTATTATTTGGGATGTGAAAGTTTGAATTTGTATCCTAACAAAGCAATGGAGAAGAGTTCTTTACTTCAAAAGGCGATTTCTTGGCAGTAACCTAAGAGTAACATGACTTTTGTGTTCTTTGATAGGCATACATAGAAGATATCTCCCTCCGTTCGATTGTTGCTCGTTTTGTGTATACATGCAACAAACAGACAATCCTGAAGTCAATCCCCCAGCAGCAGAAGCGGGAGCAAGAAAACTTGGACAAACATACCTGATCCCCTGGTATTTCCATGGAGCATTAATAGCATGATCGCTTGCTTCTATCCTTTTTAAGTTCTAACTATGAACAAACCTGGACAAGGTATCTGTAATGCCTTTGTATTCAACAGCGTAAAAGGTATCCAAGCACGACACTGACAAGCGCAATCATAACAACAAATAGAAGAGGGAATCCCACGTAAACTCTTTTTACGCTTGTCCTCCTCCTCAGTACATCCTGCCGATGAAAGGAACGAATCAGTCATCAAATAAAATTTGTATAAGAACAGAGACGTGAATATTTGCAGATTAGCAAATCTACAAGTAGCACAAAGAAGACAGCTGAAACATTGCATGTTTGCATTAGATGAAGAAGCCAATTTTGAGAACTTACAAGCTCTTCTCGCAAGATTTTCCTTTCTTGACTGCTTCGTCTCTTCTCTTCTGTTAACTTTGAAATAGTAGACTCAGCCTGCACAGGAAGGTCAAATGGCCCTATTAGATGCTTTATTAAAGTCAATTATCGTCAAGGTCAATGACACAAAATCAGGCAGACCAAATAAAAATTTGCGGTCTTTCTTTTAACAAGATAAATGCGGCCACCTATCCTTTAAAATGGACCCTTTCAGTAATAAAGAATGGGACCACTACCACAATGGTTTTCAGGGCAATGCAATTTCAAGTCTCATAAAACAAGAAATAAAGGACCAAAAAAGAGCTATCCAGAAGCCAACCGCTCAACGGACGGTAAAAATTTACATCACATGTGTCTAGTCAGAGCCCCAGTATCTTGAGCCAGAAGATTCTGAGAAAACTAACCTCATTTAGTTTTGATTCAAGTACATGCAATTTTGATTTCATCTCTTCAATATCACTGGCCAACTCCAGCTCCTCCACAGCGTTCACTGTTATGACTTCCTCATTCTTCAGTTCAGGGAACTCCATATCCTCCGCTAGCTTAGAGTGATCATCATTAATGGCATCCTTATCTTGCTTCAACTCTTCATCCTGTTCCAGCTTCAACTCCTTCTCAATGACAACGTCAGTATTTGGTGGCCACATAGTGTAATTTGACAGCTTAGACTCTCGATCATGAATCACATCCTTCTTTGGCTTCAACTCTACATCCTTAGCTGTATTGACCTCATGGTCATTGGTCATTTTGAATTCGACACTCTTGGCAACCTGATGCTAATGTAGAGGAGAATCACTATTAAGTACTTAAAATAAAAAAAATTAAAAATCAAGGGGGAAAAAAAGAACACTGCTCATGGAACATCAAATTGAAATCATGGACATTGAAGTTCAATCCTACAAAAACTGAGTAATATCAATATTATCAAATCAGAAGCAACTTTTTCACCGTTTGCGGTGGAGTGAGAATTTCAACTCTGTCCAGCACAGGATCTTTCAGTACAGAAGGTTCAAAAAAAGGCCCCTGCTTACGCACTCCACTAATTGGTGACAGTACAGGTGATTCAGGTGGGCTGATGAGAGCCACTCTCATCTTCACCTCTTCGACATGCTGGGCACCATCTTTGGCAAACTGAAAATAAAACAAATAATAATCATAAGAACTAAACTAGAGATTCAAAATAAATTGTAAAATTCCACACCACTTACCATATTAGGTGTGATGTCCTTTTCAGTTGTCCCAATGGGAACAACTGTGCTTTGGATTAAGAACTTGTCTTTGCATGCCATATCAGGAGGAGCCACCTTTTGAGCTTGCATTGTGACTGCATAGCATTTAACAAACAAAACTAGGGGGATTAGAAAGACTATAATAGAAGGACATAACATCTACTTAAAAACTACATGGTACAGAAAGAGTGAATTTGTGGTAAATAGAACGCATTTTGTTTGCTGGGGGGGGGGGGGGGGGGGTTGGAGCCAATGAAACAGCAATGATACGCGCACAATATAATCGAAAGCAGCTTCATTAGCCTCTTTTCACATGTTTCTCAACTCAAGCAATATATGAGCTTAATCACTGCCCTTTATCCTATAGTTGCTAAGTCAAATTACCTCCAAATCTCATTTTTTAAATCAACGGTTCAACCAAGACTGGAGAGTCTATATGCAAAGTTGCAAATTTGAAATTCAAAGAGAGAATCGTTCCCATAAACCAGATCAAACCAATAGCATATTTTATTTTTTGCTCCACTATCCCCCACTCCCACCCCCTTCATTTTCTCTAAAAGTAAATTCACTAAAACAATGTCCATTATTGAATTGCACCAAAGGATAAATTAACAGAAAAACAAAACACAAAACAGCAGCAGTCAGATGATAACACGGTCTTAAAAGCCACCAGTCCAAATTACATGCCAATTGTAGCTTCAACTCAAGAACACACGATGTATTATAGAGCCTAGCATGCAAGCATGCACAACCACATGCTTTCAACATTCTAAAAGGATGTAGTTCCAATTAAGAAGATAAAAATAGAGATGCCTACCAATAAATTCACAAGTTGATTTTGGATCGATAATGCCAACATTTGGTCGCACACAGTACTTCTTAGGTGAAGTTGTTTTAACCTGCCAATACCAAGCCCAAATGATATTGCCACCCAGCATTACATCTCTTGAAACACAAATCAGACTCCAACAAAATCATATGAAATACAATTCAAACCTTGAAAGCAACATTGTGGTGGGTATTATTGGTAAGCCGTATTGAGCATGAGCTTTGCTTCTTCACTTCAACTACAGAAAACATTGAAACATGACATAAGCTTGACGTCCAATCAAACCATCACAGTTATTACATATCCAATTTACACGGCCACATAAACAATTCCCAGATAGTGTCCAAGGCTACTCTGTCCAAAACTATTAAATTCTTTTAATTATTAAAAGAAAACCCAGAAATGATTATTTTCTTGTTTCCACTCCAGTTATATCTTCAAAACATTGCATGAAAAACTTTTTCTCCAACCAAAAGCAAAACCCGCAACAAAGAAAGTAATAAAATTGAAAAACAAAATTCATAACCCTTTTCATTATCTCCTTCACCAACTTTATTCTCTTTCACCAAACAAAGCATAAAATATGTTTAACAGCAAGAAGAACAGAAACTCAAATGCGAACAGAAGTATAAAATCACACATCAATTATTCAAGAACAAGAAATGATAAATATGGGGCCATGTATGCACTAAAAGTCATTATTACTCACAGATAAACTTGAGTTCCTTGGGCAGGATTTCCAAAAGCTGTGTCATGATTATTCTCTATCTTCTTTCTATCAAAATCAAAAGGCAATCCTCATAGCATCCAAAGCTCTATGACTTCTTTTTCACTGCATTACATAAATCAAATGAAAAGGTAAGTATTCATAAAAATCATACCCAACGCACATGCCAAAAATCCCCAACTTATATACCTACACTTTATAAATATAGTATCTATTATTTTTTTTCAATGCTAAATATCCATTTTCTGATTCATTTTCACACGATCAAATAAAAATTATAAAAAACAACTATGCCTATGCCATAATCATAACATGCAACATCCCCTGTTTTAATCGAATACTAAACAATTAATTAAATCAACGCTCGATTCAATCACCAAATTTTAAAAACAAAAAAGTACATGTCAATAATAACAAAAAATTTAAAAAAAATCACAAAATCTCAGTCAGTAGAATCAATACCGACTCCAGTAGAGTCTTCTCCTTTTCCATTTTTTTTATTACTAATGCAGATCGCAATCAAAATCAAAATCATTACACACATGGGAGTACAAGACATTGAAATTGACTCGAATTGCATTTGGCTCGGTTTGAAGTTAACGCAGTAACACGACAACGTGCTGACTGAGAGAGACGGATGAAGTGTAGCGATAGAAACGGAAACACCTACTGGAAGAAAACTGAGTCTAATTTAAATTAATCAGTCAGCTTTTAATCAAAGTAAAAGAAAATCAAAGACTAAAGTCAAAGCGAGTCATAAGAAACGATACCGTTTAGATTCTCTAAAAACAAAGACAAAAAAAAATAGAGGAAAAGGTATCAAACATAAAACCGTCTTCTTCTCCGATCGAGTCAAGCACAGAGTGACTCGAAAACACTCCTTGACTGAAATGAGTCAAAACGACATAGCATACAATCGGAGAGAAGGAGAGAGAGATTACTCACAGGAAAATTGCGGACTGGATGAACGGTGAAAGAGAAAGGGAGGTGAAAGTCAATTTATAAAAAGAGGAGAGAGTATATTATTGAATTGCGTGTCTCTGACGTTTATTTATTTATTTATCTATTTTCTTTCTTTCGGTGTTAAAAAAAAAAAAAAAAAAAAACTGATAAATTTCCAGACCTTCACAGAGAAAAGACAGAGATGAACCCGAGAAATTCTTTGAAATAGAGAAAGAGAGAGGAGAGAGAGTATTTGGTTAGGTGATCTGAAACGGTATATGTTGCTTGCTGCAGAGCAGATTATATTGTTGGGAGTGAAAGCTAAGTTTTTGCTTGTGAAATGAACAGAAAAAGATTTAGAGAGAGAAAGTGGTGGAGCTGGTTGTGTTAGGATATATCTTTCTCTGTCCTGCAGATATAGGGAGTGTAGACGGAGGAGGAGGAGGAGGATGAAAAGGATGGGTTGGGTTGGTGGAATTGACGCTGATGGAGGTTGTACCGGCCGTTGCTTTTTCTTTTATGGAATGGTTTTATTTATTTTTTATTTTTTTCTTTTCTTTTCTTTTCTGATGGGAAAATGTCAATAATATAATATCTATCAGTTATGTTAGCGGTGCTGGTGGGGTGATTAAGAAGCATTTGACTATTTTGTTTAGTTTTGATTGTCTGTATTATCTGTCAGTTTTTGGATTTCTCGAAATTAAATTTCTTTTTGACTTATTTATTGTCGGTATAAAATTAATGTATTTATAGAAATTTTGAATTCTGATTATTTAATAATATTAGAAATACAAGTTGAATTACACATAAAACAGTAGCTTCCTGATAATTACGTAAGCATCTATTTATAAATCAAGTCTAAAGTTCGATTTTTATGTTTAGATTTGATTTATATGACTAATATTTTTAAAAATTTATTTTAAAAATATTTGAAATCATACGAAAAAACTAGTTTCGAGATGCATTAAAACTAATATGAATATTTTTACTGTATAAAGATAAGTTTGATTAAATTGAGTATGGTTGTGTGGTATAAGATTTAATTATATTGCTAAGCTAATAAAATTAATTTTAATTAGATGACAATAACCAAATCGTTAAAGCTATCACAAATCATTAAATTTTGTTTTCCTTTTTACTTCGACTAAATTAGATATATATCTCACTTTTGATTATTGTTTTTAAATTTTATTTTCTCACTCGTAAATAAATATCTACTTATCTACTTATAAATTAGATTTAGAGTTTAATCTTTGTATTCAGATTTGAATCTTATTATCAATACTTTTGAGTATAAATATTTGAAATTGTATAAAAAAATTAGTCTCGGAATGATTAAAATCAGAGGGAATATTTTACTATTGAACACAATATATATATATATATAAGTTGGATTAAATTGAGTATGGTTGTGTGGTATAAGATTTAATTGTATTGCTAAGCTAATAAAATAATTTTTCATTAGATGACAATAACCAAATCGTGAAAGCTATCACAAATCATTAAATTTTGTTTTCTTTTCACTTCCTATTAAATTAGATACATATCTTACTTTTTAACCATAAATCTTCTATTCTAAGGCATATATCACATTTCTTGAGAAAATAATCTTTTTCTTTTTTTGAGAATACGAAAAATGATCTATTCGAGTACCACTTTTGTTGTGATTATAAAGTTATCTATTTTTCATTTGTCGAACTTTCTTTTTGTAAAGTTTAAATTATATTCTTTTAAAGGGTATCCTTATCCCCAAAAAGACATGGATTCGTCTTTCGTGTTATCTTATCCAAGTTTATCTCTGTTGTAGTGACGATACGTGTACACTTATAATAATTGCTTTCTTTCCATCCCCATGCAGGAGGGAATAGAAACTTTTTTATGAAAATTCTGTTTGTCTGTCCCGCTGGATTCGTTATTCTTGATATGAACTTTGGATCTCTGTGACCATGGAAGATTTTATTGAATAATGATTCTGATTTTCTTTCCTTTCTGCAAATTTTCCTTTTAATCATGGCAAAGTCAATCTCCTTTCCTTTTTACATACTAAGGTTCCTCTAAAGATGCTTTTGAGAGAGAGATTTGCTGCATCAATTATGATCCCTGACCATAGAAATATCAACAAAATTGCAATCTTTTTCTAGTTTTTGGGATTTTTTTTCCTCAAATATTTGTGATTTTCTTCTTTACATTCTCATTATCAATTTTTTTTCCATTAGAAGATGCAATGCAATAGATTTTGGACTAAACAATGAAAATATTATTTTTCTTTTTTCAAAAATTTTTTTTTAAAAAAAAAATCTCAGAATTCAACCTTAATTTCAAGGAGTTTGCATAATAGTTAAGAAGATTTTATTTATTTATTTATTTTACTTTTTTATTCAAATTTTAGGAACAACAACATCCGAACTAATATAAAAAAATAAGTCTTTAAATTAACTTGAAAAAACCAAGTGAATAAAAAAAGATTAAATCATCCAAAAAAGATTAAAAATTTTCTTAAATATATCAATCAATATAAAAGTCGTGTCCTTAAGTTAGTTTGAAAAACATAAAATCGATTTAAAAAATATATTATCAATGTCATCCAAAAATATTCTAATTAATGCATAAAATAATCTAAAAATTCATTTACTGTTAAAAATAAAAAAATAAAAACTCCCACTTTAAAATACCTTTGCCGACCAAAAAAAAGTTTGATTCAAAAGTAGAGAATCTCTAATCTTTCATTTTTAAGGAAGTCCACAAAGAACTTATGACCATTTATATATTTTTAAACGAGAGCCATTCATTAAGGTTCCATTAATTAATTAGATTATGACTACCCACGTGAAGGGAGGTGATTGCAATCACAGTCAATTCTTGTACTATCTGGTTCTTGGATCTCAGTCTCTGAAATATGGTTTTACTTTGTTATCATCATCATTATTGTTTGACTTTCTTATACTATAATTAATGTTTTGCTAACGAAATTACTAACTAATACTCTCATGCACTCCTTCGTCTTACTATTTCTTAGGCTGATTTCATCGTGGAAATAATGAAACTCAACCTATATTTAATTGATGTTAGGTTATTTCATATTTATTGTAAAAGAAATTGTACGCGATTTGATTAAAAACTAGTTTAATAAGTGAAATTTTATCAAATACTTATAATCAAGTACATAATATTTTTTACCATCGATATAGAATAACCTAATAATATTCTTTTTTATCTATTTAACTTTAAGCTGGTCATTTCTTATCCATCTGTGTGACATCGGTATATAGAAAATTATTTAACCTAAATTTCATTATCAACGTTGGATATTATTCGGCTTTCTCAATCTCAAAAAAATAATATAAAGAATAAGGTTTTTTTTCATACTTATAACCAACAATCTAATCTCTTTTATGGTTGATGTGAGATAACCTACCAATTAAATTTTAAGCAACAAAATAAATTATTTTTTAGTCAATTAACGTACTTAATAATATAAATTTAAATTTAATGAAATTTATTAGTAAACCTAAATTGCATTCCCCGTATTGTTATTTCCTTTTGTTTTCCACTAGAAATGGTAATGGAGTTCATGGATATTTCGCTATCGAAGAGGTTATTTTTAGATGTCTTCGTGGTGACAAAAAAATACAGTCTCGATTAACTTGTAAATGATCAAAAAATACGTAAAATAAGGTGGAGTGGACTCAATTTTCAGTATTATTCGAGAGAGAGAGAGAGAGAGAGAGAGAGAAGAGTTTGATATTAGAATTGGAAACTATAATCTTTGCGTCGTCTAGCTTGCCGGCAAATTCTATTTTACGTTTTGAATTTGAAAGTAGTTGAGCCATTGCTTTTACAGTTAGCATTTTATCACACCTCCTCATACGTCCAATCCATGGCCATTAAAGTGTCATTTTCTTCCAAGAAATGAGCTTTCTAGTATCATGAATTTTCCTATATCATTACAAAAATTGTGGGTTCTCAGGTTCAATCTAACTGTTAACATGGCAAACTAAGAAATTGAAAAGTGGAAGCCTGAAAATGAAAGAAAACCAACTGGTTGGTTGGGAACTTGAGAGGAGGCATCGAGAATTTAAGAACTGGGCCATATTTTATCAAAGAAGATCAAAATCACGAAAACTCTTCCTCAAGTCTTCTTCAACTGCCAGTCCAATTTGGACCACTCTGTTTCGCACAGTTGTTGGCTAGCTGCATGGAGACAGTCTATCCGTTTCTCATGACCACTTTGCGATCCTTTGTGGATACAATACAAGCTGAAAGTTATGATGGACAGAACTCATTTATGGTAGATATTGTACTTGCAGTGAAGGGAATCTCCCACTTACAGGAGATCCACGCAAAATTTGCTAACACAAACGAGGATCTTATAATAATTTGAATACAAACATAACTAATAAGATCTTTTAAGTAATTGTTAATCAATTTACAGAGTTTAAATCTTAAAATCTCGCTTGTCAGAAGAAGTTAAATTTTATCATTTTCATCTCAATCATGATTAATCCTTTTTAACCTGGAATAAAAATACAAAAAAAAACCAAAAAAACATGAGATAACTCACTTGTCTTTCTATTTTCATAAAAAAAAAAAAAGTAATTTAATTGTAGTTTTTGACGATGTCTCTTTTGTTTTAAGAAAACAAAAGAGTGTCGATCACTTTCAAAATAAAACGATAAAAGTCCGTATGGTTTATTACTCTCGGTTATTAATAATTAAGCACAGTAATAATAGTTTTTTTTTTACAATCTCTATGAATTCCACAGGAATAATTGGAGTTTCGTGGCAAAGCACATGAGAATCGACTTAAAAATAATAGACATGCGATTTTTAGAGATTTATGTGACAATTATGGTATATGGTATTTTTTTTTTTTTAGAGCAAATTTACAAGCAAACATTCTTTAATGCACTGTGCACAGTTGATATAGCTTACAGAGTTACAGGTTGGTTAGGGACAATTAGAGATAAGAGGATGGCATGTCGTAAAATTAACTAATGCAAATTTCGTAAGGTAATCGAAAGGAGAGGAGCTGAATCCTTTCGATGGACTGGTGGTTTTCTTTTTATGGTTTTATGGGCAGGAAAAGAATGGTATCTTCAAAGAAAACATGGGGCAGGGTCCTGTTTAGGGCCCATCTTATCTATACCCCGACGGACTACATAATCAATCCATGGTGGCTCTAACTTGGCTAAACTGTAATGGGCTGGACCAATCCAAGTGAGCCCATCTTGGAAGTTGCCATCATTTCACTTGGATCTGAACATTGAGGGTTTGTGCACCAAAGTTTTCATTTTCTATCTCTGGTTTTTATTTTTGCTCCTTTTTTTTTTTTTTGAGAATATAAAAAATGAATTTAATTAGTGAATTTGAAAATTTTTATTTCACTTTGAAATTTGGAAAAAATTTCCAAAAAAAATCTGATTGGTTTTTGTTTTTACTTATATATGATTATTTATTTAACTTGTCATGATATCTTTTTCCCTTACAATATCACACTAATTAATTTTAACATATTTTCATGTAATTATTTATCACGTCGAGGAGAAATTTGATATTTTTTTATATTTTTTTAATTATCAACAATATAAAGAAAAAAAATCAGATGGAAACTTATAATGAAAGAGATTAGTATGACTTGTTAATATCTTAAAAATAAACTCTTGTGTTAATATAAACTAGATATAGGATGAGTTTAAAATTTTGTATAAATAATAAAGGATATTTTTTGTTATCTAAAAAAAGAAGAAGAAGATAGAAATGCATGTTTTCTATGGGAACATAAAAAGACATTTGTCAAAATTAGGTGAATAGATAACCTAATTTGCATATCCCTGTAGAGATATGTTTTTTTGAAAACATAATTATTTTCTACATAGAACATTCTTCCCGTCCATAAAAAGAGATAAGACAAACCTCAATTTATCCTTAATTTATAAACTCACTTTCAATTGAATTCCAAACTTATGAAGTTTATCAATTTCATTTCTAATGTTTCAAAAAATTCTTAATTAGGTTATTATTTTAATGTTTGTTAACTTTTGCAAATTTCAATTCAAAAACACGTTGTTTTACTGCATTGGTATGCAAAATAACATGGGACAAAAAAGCATCCAATTAAGAAATGAGAAACGTTTGGGACCTATATCATAAACCGTATAAGTTTGAGATTCAATTGAGGATAGTTATGTACATTGGAGACTAAATCTAGGTTTCCTGAAAGACATAGAATAGTTGCGAAGCCGAATCTTGTCACCGACCCATTCCGTCAAAATTCAACCTAACGTTCATTTTACGCCTAATATTAGGTTGAGATTCAATTGTGAATTCTTCTTCTTGCAAAAATGTATAAGTTTGGGACCTATGTCATAAATCTATAAGTTTGAGATTCAATTATGAATTCTTCTTCTTGCAAAAAATGGCAGGCCCACATATAATTTTAGGCCTAATATTTCTTCTCCCAGCTTCCACAGCATGAAAGGTTATTCCTGTCATTTTATAGAAAGTAATAAATAATAATAATAATAAAATTTTGGTTCGGGTATAACTAGATAGCCTTCTTTTTTAGTATGATTTTAGTTGTTTAAATGGAGACCCAAACTAGATTTTAACATAAATAAATATATGTGTTGGAACAATTTATTTGACTACTATACTATGTTTTTTTTAAGTATATTTTTAAATTTATGATTATTTGATCATTGATGTTGACCTATCTTATATGTGGTCTTGTCAAAATGTGATTACTTAAATTTATTAAATTAATTATTTATTCAACAAAGGTTCGTTTTGAAAATTAAATAATCGAATGAGCAATTGTTAGTGAACAAATACTTGAAATCCATTGTTATCATCCCAAATATTACAAAATTTTATTCTAATCTACCCTCTTAAACTTTTAAAATTCCAAGCCATCTCATATACTTATCAATTTTAGCTACTGATTTTTTTTTGTTGTGGAATGACTCGGAGAGTACAGATCGAATGTGATAGTTTTCACAAGATGATATTTATCGTCCATGTGAATCTAGCTCTGATTTTAATTTTCCTAACTTGCGCAAATCCAATACAGAGTGCAATTGATATTTTGGATGCTTCATCTTGCAAAAGCGACAGTACTGGATTTTATAATCCTACGTTTTATATTATTTCTCTCACCTCCCACGATATGGAAGGTCATTCCTATGTCGTTTTGGGCTTTTTCGATCCGCTGAATTTGCAGGACTTATGCCGTTTAAATTGGATCCACTTCATAAGCCCAATATGTCCTTTATAGATATCCATAATACTTTGGTATATGGTTTTGAGCTTCGATGGGTTTCATAAGCCCAATACCTTGTTTTGAAAAATCAAATGAATTTGACTATTTTCTCTTCTAAAATAAATGCAGGCACCACTACTCCATTCGGAATGGTAACAGGTAAGCAGTTTTTTCATATGGCCATTAGCTATTGAAATTAGATAATTATAATCCTTTTTATTTTGCTTGAGATCCATTTGTTTTTGTTTGAAATATTAAAGAAAAATAAGCACAAATTATTTTATCCTATTTTTGTTAAGTAATGTCATAGGTAGAAATGACCACGATGATGTACTTAGCGATGGTGCTGTAAATGAGCACAAATTTTTAAGGAGGCGTCAGGGTGACGTTGGCCTCCAAAAGTCAAATATAATTGTTTTTCAAAATCCCTCTTAATTTACCAAATAATAATAATAATAAAAAATCCAAGTCGGATAAAGAAAAAAACTAGAAAGGCGCAAACTCATTTGGTATTGAAAAAAAGGGTTTGAGACTTTCTGAACTCTTATCTATTTGAAATTAATTTATTTAATATATATATATATTAAGTTTGAGTCCATCATCTACTTTTTTTTTTATTTTTTTTTTAATGAGATTTAACAGTACAAATACGTGTACATTGTGCAAGACTAACTGTTTATTTACTCAAAGAAAAAAAAAAAAAAAGCGTGACAAACAACTAAGGACCTTTCCTCAATTTGAAAATATGTACATATTGCTTTGTTTTATTTGATCTCGTATCTCAACTTTATTAATTTTGAAAAATCAAATGAATTAATTTTTGTCTTTACATTTTGCTATTTAATTCATATCTCCTCTGCAAAACATAACTTCTGGTTCCTTACGCATGCCGATTGATATCTCAAGAGACTTTAAATCAATTATATGATGTACTAAATTACAATTAATACAAACTTTAATAAATAAAATTAATTTAAATATTTTTCTTCTAGATAATGCAGGCCTAAGTGGTGGTCCAATCAGAGTTGCAATAGGTAAATAGCTCTTACATATGGCTATTATTTTTTTGCACAAATCATAGTTTTATAAAGGCTGTCAAGATGATGGTCCGCTCTCTATCAATCATAAATTAAAAAATAAAAATCAATTCAATCAGATTATTTTCTTTGAACTCCCTAAACTTGTAGCAAACTATGTATGTTCTTTCCTTTCACTAAAATTATAAGTTTGTAAACACCATGTTGTTGATTTATCTACTTATTAAAGCAGAATATAAAATTATTTTTAAAATCTTACTTAACAATTTAAATTTTAAAATTGAATTTTTATATTCGCACTAGTAGAATTATTCTTCAAATATGATTATTTGTTTGTTTGAGTAAATATTTTTTTTGTGTAGAGCAGTAGCATTATAGTAGAAGAATTAAAAACATATGAACAGCAGCTCAATGAGCTGGACAAAAATAATGCTATTAAGTGTCAAATTAATGAATGGAGACTGTAATTAAATTTAATTGTATTGTATATATCATTTGGTCGAGGATGATTTACTATTTTGATGTGTTAAAAACATAGAGTTTGCAGAAATTTTAGCTCAAACTCTTCTATGTTAGGCTGTATTTTTTGTCTATGCTGAATTTTTTTTTTTTTTTTTTAAAGCTGCAGAAACAACAAACCATGCATATACATAAAAGACAAAAAAATAAACAGAATTCTAAAAACGACACAGCTCACAAAATTCATGGATATCACCCTCGTTGAAAATCAATTAATGAAAAAAAAAACACATGTAAAAAATCACAAAAAACAAAATCAACACATCAAAATAAAAAAGAAAAGAAAAGAAAAGAAAAGCAAAAAAAGAAGCACAGCTACTAACTCAAGCCAACATGCAGAGCAAAATACAAAACTAAAGAAAACGACCAAACAAACCCAAAACAAAAAAAGCTAAACAACATAGACCACTCAAAGAAAATGAAAACCTTTTCCAACAGGAGAAAGAAAATAGAGACACTGATAAAGAGAGAAATAACCAAACATACTACTCTTATGACAGAGATAGCAAAGGAGAAACCGAAGAAATCGATAATCATGACAATCAAACGGCCACAATTGGCCAGAAGAGCAAGTCAGTCAAAAACAAAAATCAAGAACACCTAAAATAATCGAATGGCAATAGGCAATTACAAACAATATTGAACCAAAAATATACTTATCTGATTGAAAATAAACGAAATGAAGGCAATGAAAAGTGGGAAACAAAGCTTAAGAACCTAAGAAAGTCGGGACATAATTAATAGCAACACCAACGGAGAGAAATAGGTTGGAAGCATTCACAATAACAAATCCTTATCACAATCAACACTACACCTGCCAAGAAAACAAAGTCAACAATAATGTTAAGAGACCGACAAACCAAATCCAGGAAAAAACTAAGGAGTGAGAAAACCGAGAGAAAGAAGAAAAGAAATCCAACAATAATAATTAAAAAAAAAGCCAAGAAAGAGGTTGTGTGAACTGTGAAGCAGCATTAAATGCGTCATACAATGACTGAAAAACGCACAAGAAAGACGAAAGGGATAGGAAAAAATAAGGGTATAGAGGTATTTACATAAAACCACTAATTGGCAAAATGAAAAAAAAAAACAAAACTCGAGGGGAAAGAAGCAAGCCACCCCATCATACCAAACTCAACACTGCCAAAAACACTAGCTTGAAAACGCAAATGGGCATAAAATAATTGAAAAAAACCACAAACCAGCAGCTGAAAAACAACAATTTATCGAACGGCTCCAGTGTGAGGACGAAAGAGAGAAAGGAATACTATGAAACAAACAGTGTAAATGGGTGTGAATCAACAGTAATATTAAATCTCGATCGATGGTTAAACGCACATGCACAGTAACACATCATTTTCTTTTCATGTTTTTTTTTGTGGTTAATTTGGTTATTTTATTTGTTTATTTTTTACTCTTTTAGACAAACTTTAATAATATTAAAAAAAGATTTTAAAAAATAATTTATAAAATATTTATTCATGTCTATATAGTCAATTTATATTCACACTACACATAATGAAAAAAAATTAAATTAGAAATAATTCATAATAATATAATGTCAAATGAAAATTTCTTAGTAATTATAATTTTTAAGAGCCATATTTATTTATCTTAACTATAATTGTTTACTTTTGAAAGCTAATACAATTTCTGTCCCGAATTTTTACTTAAACTAGTTAAAAATTATTTTATATGATTCAAAAGTTTTAAATTTTTTTAATTATTATTATCAAATTATATTTTAAAATAAAAAAATATTTATTCAATAAAATTTTAAATTTGTTCGTTTATAAATAATATTTTTTATTTCGCGTATTCTCGCTTTGAGTTTATCTTCTTAATATATTAAAAAAAATAGATACTAACCTTATTAGAATACTTATGTTCATCCTTACACATCCCAAAGCATTGTAATGGGCAACAATAATCACTGAGTCCAATCCATTTGTTATGGAGCTGTAATCCCTACCAATTTAACAAAAAAATTATGAAATAACATATAAATTGATTAAATTACTTAATTATTTTTTATAAACAAATCAAACATATACAATATGAATAAGTAGTATTACGGTTTGTTTTCCAACCAAATATATACATAAAAAAAATTATTTCCCCATTTTTCGTCATCCATGAAATAAACATGGCATTTGTTTTTTTTTTTTAATTAAATAAAAATAGTTCTTTTTTTTTCCAACTAAGTAATGTTATTAGACTATATTAAAATTAAATCTGCTTCTTCAGATTGGGCAAAGAAAACTACTACTCATAGATTAGATGGCTTTCCCCCATGTTGTAGCTTGAAGTTTCGTTCCATTATATATAGTCTTGAAAAAAGCTAAAAATTAAGAATCAAAAAATATTTTTAAAAAACTTTGAGGACCACAAAACTTAAAAAAAATTGACTAAAATGCAAAAAAATAATAAAAAAAAATCTTGGGATAAAAAAACTTTTTTAAAAAATTATAGAACTAAAATGAATCTTTTTTGATAAATTAAATTTAGCATGTGTTTAATGGGTATTAAATGGGCGGACAAACTAATATGAGTTATGTATAAGTTAGGTAAAAATTTATATAATGATATCTTAATGAATAATGGATAGATAAAAAATTAAATTAATAGGTCGAATACTCCTTTGTCATCCCTAATCTGCACTTTTATTACAACAAATCTCAGCGAAAAAAATATTTAACAAAACCGCTCTATCAAACCCTAGCTATCCCTCTTTCCTTTCTCTTGAGTTCCTCCCGGGAAAAAAAAAAAAAAAAAAAAAAAAAAACCCTAATCACCGACAGTATTTTTTTTTAACCAGCTATAGTCCTTCATCTTCCTGGTTCTTCTTTATTTATTTAGTGTGCTAACAATTTTAATCTAGATTTGATTTGTACACAAAGTTTCTATTTTGTTAGGATCTCTTCTCTTGAAAACAAGACTTTGATATTTATTTGTTGGGTTGTGGTGGATTTTTTGTTGGTTGAAAAAAATTAAAACTATTTAAAATTTTTGGATGGTTGAGATTTTTTTGTCAGCGGAGCCTGGTAATGCCGCTCGTTCCTCCTTGACTTACAGTGATGCCAAGTTCGATTGTACTGTGCATGATGTGCATAAAAAGTCTCATTTTAGGCCGTCCTCACTTGAAAATTTCGACCTTTATTAACATCCACAGAGAGGCTATTCGCTATTTGAAAGATTGTTATTCATCATTATTGTAAAATGGTTTTATCTGATTTTTTAATATAACAAGTTGTAATTCTATCCTTAATTTCTAACATCGTTGTGTCCCCCAAAAATAATGATATAGTTCTTTGATTTACATCGTCAATTAAATTACTATATCTATATATTTGCACATTTTTGCATGAAATTATTCATGAGCTCAATTTGCAACATATGGTATTGGTTGTAGAACTGTAGTAATGTCTAGTATCATGATATTCAAAATTGACTCATACAAGTTAAATCAAGCTCGGTCTCGCTCACAAACTTAAGAAATAAAAAAAATCATGAATATTTTTAATATAACAATTATTTGATTTTTTTTTTCAATTCTATATGTTAGCCTCAATTTGAATGTAAAAATCATTTGCTGCATCATCTTATGTGTATTTTACAATTACTTTTTGCATTCACTATGTAATAAAATATATTTTATATTCATAAACATTGCAATTCGAAAGGTAAATGGCTCAAACTTATTCATAAAAATAATTAAGCTTTAAAATTGCCATCAAGTTTGGTTTGTTTATCTAATGATCGAAGGGGAATAAGTACTTTATCGAGCCCATCTCAAATCGAGTTGGAGTAGTTTGATTTGTTTTATGGACCTAGTTGGTTATATCATGATTGATTTGGTTTGTTGTTATTATTATTATTATTTTGATAAATAAAACTTTGTTTTCCATACCTATATATATTTAGAGGGTCTCCCGGTTTTATGATGGGACCAAAATCTAAAATATTTATGATGATAAAACTAGTTAGATACACCTTATTTTTAAAAAATCAATGATAATATTTGTATCCAAAATAGTATATCCAACTTGTATTTTCTTTATCATATCAACCTAGTCTTGAAAAACTTAAAATTTTTATAGTTACACCATATGTGAAAAAGATATTACTAATATATTTCTTTCTTTCTTTTTTTTTCACGAAAACAACGTTAAGTTTGGTCGTACACCTCACTTTCCATTCCTGACTACAAAAAAAATTTCTTTCATCAAAGCATAAGAAAGATGAAATGGCCAACTTGAACTCAACGAATGTTTCCAATGAGATTCATGTGATTAGCAAACCTCAAAATAAGAAAACTACATTAAAATTATTATTCAATTCAATAAAAAAAACAAAAAATAGAAAACAGAATATCCCATTTGCCACTACTCTCCATTCCTAACCTTCAAATACAGGAACAGAAGTTGCACAAATGGGAAGTCCATTGCTAACTTGCTATCTTCCCATACACATCATGACTATTTAAGGCGCAATTCCTAGTTTTCTCCGTCTTGTCCCAACTTCACTGATCCCTATGTGCTCAAATCGAACGGCTATTATGAGCTCTTAACACCACCGAACTAAAACACCACTTGGGTCACCAAACCACGAACTACTTCCCTTTCTTTTCCCCACCCAATAAATAAACTCCTTTCTCCGAACCAAACTCTTACTTCAATTTACCCAAAAATTTAAATTAATGGATCATTTATTTTTATCCCTTATAAATATAGTAGTATTTCAATTTAGTCCATATACTTTATATTCTCGCTAAAATGATATTTCTACGATAATTCAATGTGGCTTGGTCGTAAAATACTTCACAGAAGTCAATTTTTCACATCCTTTACTGCCACCTTTTTGTTTTCGTTTTTGCTTTTCCTTCAATCAGCCCCACTATTCATAAAATCTACGAAACATGCCTAAAAATTTGATTTTTTAAAGAAATAATACTTTGAGAAGATAATTATTTTGAGATAAACAAAAAATAGAAAGACAAACCATTTATTTGAGATGAAAAGAGTAGTATTTTAGCAATATATATTACTCAATACCGTTTGCGAATACAATTATAGCTAGTGATAGAGTTCAAATAAAATTTTAGGACAAACTAAACATGTATAAACTCAAAGTATAATCATAAATTATGTTTAATGACTATATATTTTTTCAATTTTTTTTAGGTCCAATTATTCGAATACGTAAAGTTTCGTTGCTTGATGTTATAAATTGCATATTGTTATCAAATTGTTGGATAACTTGTTTCTTATGAATTATATCACTTACAATTGTTTTTTTTTTTTTCTAGAACAACTAATAACAACATTTGAATGCTAAAAAATAAAGTTTAATGCATAAATTGTTATTATATGAGTAGGAAAAAAATTATTAAGTGGATTCCAAGAATAATTAGAATTTAACTCTAACAATAATAGTTAATCTTTATCCTTTTAATATCACATAATGCTCCAAGTTATTTATTTATTTATAAATATTTCACATTTAATTGAAGAGTTAAAATTGGAGAGTAACACAAAAATGCAAGAAAAAGAATGCAATCTTAATTTTCTTAAAAGAACAAGTAAGAATTTTTTTTTACGATATAATGAATTTTATATCGGTAAAAATGCTAAAAGACACGAATCAACATTTATAACATTCTAGGTTTTATAAATAAAAGTATAAAGTAATTCAGATCACATATTCTAAAATAACGACAAAGATAAAAATTTATTTTTTATATTAAGAAAATGGTTTTGAGCTATGGCTGGCAATGCGTCCTCTTTTGCAATGATTCGAAATGACCAAATTATAAATTGGGAAACATCATATCTGATGTTGGAAAATTCAAAATACGAGGACCAAAATAAATTAATATTTAGTCAATAAGGGTGAGAGTATAGTTTACCCAAAATAAAAACACACACTTCCTTGACGACATCGAAATCAGACCTCCTATAAATAACTGTCAAATGCATATCATATTCACTCTTAGTTTTCTCCGTCTCTCGCCGATACGCACTCTTTCTCTCTCCAAAGGCTTAAGCTTTTTTTTTTTGTTCTTTCCTCTCTTGAATCTCTCTAATGGCAGCCTCCACAGGTTCTTTGATCTCTATGCAATCCCGTCCTGGAATGGTACGAAGGTTACTTATTTAATGTCATTTTGCTTTACAGGCACATAGTTTTTCTCTCTTTGGTTTGTATTTTTTAGATCTGTTGTTAAGTTTGAGCTCTTGATTTGATCCGGGAATTTTGTGATTTGATATTTACTTTGCATGTGATTAGATATCTTTAGTTAATGATAATTATTTGTTCTTGGTTCTTAGTGTAGTTTTAGTGTGGTTTTCATGAATATCTTGTGTCAATTTGCAGTCCGTTAAATGTTAATTTGGATTCAAAGTTTGGAGCTTTTTTAACAACAGTGACATGCATTTGAAAATATATTTGTAGATAGGGATACCCTTTTGAGATTTAATAGTGGGTATGATGTCTCTTGTCATCTTTAAATGGGACACACTGCAATTGCTTTCTACATGAAACAGAAATCTCTTGAGGGGTGTAGGTGATGGGTATTCTTTTTTCATAGGATTCTTATTTGGTGGTTGCTTTTGCTTATGTTATTAATGATTGTCTAAAGCTTGGATTTGGATCCGTGTTAAACAGGCTGCATCCAGGATCTCTAGCTTGAAGCCAGTTTCACTTTCAAAACAAGGAAGAAGCTTCCTGTCTTTTGGGTTTCGGTCTGTGCCAGCTCGCAGCCTTCGGGTTTCATGCGCTGTATGTTTCTTTGTTTCAGAATTCAGACTGCTTTAACATTGTGGGTTTTTTTTTTGTCTGTGCTGTCTTGTTTATGGGAGATGATCGGTTGTTAGATTTTTTTCTAGAAAATCAAACTTGATTGAAATGTTGTTGTAATGATTGGATGTACTTCGTGGTTTCTTTTGCTTGTTTATTTTGTTGGAAGTTTAATAAATTTTGATTTGGGAAAAGTGATATAAACCTAGTGAAGGTGAACACATTGGCTAAGTGTTTTTTTATGCTTTGTAGCTAAGGGTTTTATTCATCATCTGCTTCATGTAAATCAAAGGGGTGCAGAATTGCTTAAAGCTAGATGCTCGATTGAAACATGAATGTGCCCTCCATTTATCTCTCCTTGGATAAAACATGAGTTCTTGCCCTGAAGTATATGTATATGTGATTTTACCTATGTCATTCATGCTCATAACCATGGAAATAACATGGTCTATTCTTTTACTTCACAAGGTTTTCTGCAAATAATTTTTGCAAGGCCTATGATATGGTTTGTCAATCTGACGATCAAATGTGGAATTGTTTGCAAATGTGCTTGTTGGATTTCTTCACTTGTATCCATTTATGATTTTTACACTTTAAATGTTCTTGAGCAGGCCAAACCAGAAACAGTTGCAAAGGTGTGTGACATAGTGAAGAAACAGCTGGCATTAGCAGATGATACTGCTGTTACTGGGGAATCAAAATTTGCAGCACTTGGAGCTGATTCTCTTGATACGGTATCATACACTTTTCTTTTGAAATATAAAAAGGACAATTTTCCCCTTGACTGTTGATTGCGGATGCCCTACAGGAACTTGTTTGTCTCGTGCATTTAATTAATTATTTTCTTTCCTAAAAAATCTAGTATGAATGGAAATTAGTTCTAAGTTTAAGTTGTTTATCTTGTTTCTCTTATCACTGGCAATGTGTACTTGAAACATTTACTGTTAGATGGTCCTTAAAATGCCTTCTTTAATAGAATAGAGGGAGACATTCAAGTGATGGGGATGGATGATCTCAAACAGATAGCTTGAGTAGGAAAAATTTAAGAAAACTTTTACTAAATGCCTTCTTTAATAGAATAGAGGGAGACATTCAAGTGATGGGGATGGATGATCTCAAACAGATAGCCTGAGTAGGAAAAATTTAAGAAAACTTTTACTGAAGTGGAACAGAATGGATGAAAATGAGACATTGTTTGTTCAATGACTTGATAAGTGGAAGGAACGTTTCTGTTTGTATGAATTTTTACCTTGTTTTTTGACCTCGATGTAATTTCTCCATCTGTGTTCTGTAGAGGGGATTTCTTAAGAATATAACCTGAAAATATCATCTTAGGGTTTTAATTGGTTGTTTTTAGCATCTGTAATCACTCGCCACTTCTTTCAGGTTGAGATTGTGATGGGACTTGAGGAGGCATTTGGTATCAGTGTCGAAGAGGAGAGTGCCCAAACCATTGCAACAGTTCAGGATGCTGCTGATCTTATTGAGGCTCTCGTTGAGAAGAAAGATTAGAAGGAAAAATGATCAGACTTGGAGATCATTTTTCGCCCGCACTCAAGTTTCTTGTTAGTCTACTTAGATGGAATGCTAGGCAATCTTGTTGTGAACTCATTATGTTTTGTTGGTTTCATTGACAAGAATTCATAAGTTGCTAAGCTGTGAACTTGCGTTTTTACGCATGAACTTGGCATTTCTTGCTTAATATTTGATCAGAATTAAGTTTTACATGATATATTTTACATCGCATATTTTTTGGTCCTGTTAATTTTTTCGTTGGAAGGTGAACCCTGGGGTAGATGAGATGTGGAAACTACGGGGATGATGCCCTTGATACTTGATTAAGCCTATATTTGGATTCCAATATTTAGGCCATATTAGGTGTGACCATCCCCGAGAAGCCAGTGCAGTCTGGAACTTTAACCAACCTGACAGTGAGCTAATTTACCTAGTTCGTTCAAAAACATAATTCAACCAATTTACCTGAAGCCAAGCTGAAAAATGACCGTGACTGACCAACGGGGGTTGAATGCTTAAATGGGGAGGGAATGTCCAAATTTTAAGAAATATGTAAAGTAGTTATTCTATGGGTTCTCTTCGGTTAAGAAGGTCTATGGATTCACTTTTAAGGAGATACTCTATGGATTCTCTTCTGTTAAGGAGGTCTATAGATTCACTATAAGGAGATATTCTATGGATTCCAAATTCTAAGAAATACGTAAGTAATTATTCTATAGATTCACTTACTTTATAAATTTATTTTAAGAAGATACTTTATGAATCCACTTTAAGAAGAGATAGAGACATAAAAAAATAAAATTAAAAAAAAATTAAGTAAAAATAAAAATATTTTTATCATTTTTGAGAAATCTGACTCTAATTCTCTTATTTTTTATGTGCCTATTTTTTTTCGTAAAAGTGAATCCATTCAGTAAATTTCTCTCCAAATCCCTACGTAAGGTTTCGCAGCTTTGCCATTCGTTTAAGTTGAAACAAGGGGGGAACTGACAAGAAAATTACCATCTTCCTATATTAGGCAAGCCAAATGTCAATCATCCTCGTGTTACCCAACCATGAAGAAATTAGTAGACCAAAGATTTTTAAGGCATAACAGTCCTTAAAAGCTCACTTATTCTTATCATACACTGTTGACATCAAATGCAGCCTAACCAAGAGTCAGATGCTAAGAGGTGTCCATTAGCATCCCAAAGGATCCAAACACTAAATATCCCTTCTACATAAGGTAACACATCTATCAGGAATGATCAAGTTGTACAGAATTGATCAAATCTCTCTTACATTTTAGCATTTATGCCTTCCAGAAGCATACTACTATTTACATTGTCCAGCATATATACTTCCGGATGAAACAGTAGTAATTTCCAATTTTCAATCCCAGTCATCATCAAAGAAACCAGCATCTTTCATCTCTGAATAGTATACATTCTCCAGATGCAAATCTTCCTCCTGCGGTCATCAAAAGCGCAGCCACTAATTAATCACTGTTCTAGCATCTTACAACATGTTGCAAACAGAAGAACATAAACAGTACAAACAACATTTGGAAAATAAGGAAATTGAACAAATTATTATGATTACCTGGAAGAAGTCCGCCAAAAAGGTTAAATACAGAAGAGGAAGGTAAAAAGCATGGTAGCATACAATTGTGGTGCTGTACAACCTGCACAAGGAAAATTTAGAGAAGAAGAAAATAAAGCACTTAAGAGAACAAACTCCACACAGTTACCGAAAGGTATAAATGGAATATTGTGATAAGGAGATTGATCCATAATTACCAGTAACCAAAACCAGTCCCATGTCCAGTAAGCGCACAAGCAAACAGTGCCAGTGTATTCAAGATGAACATAATGACAATGTACTTATAGAATGCAGGTCTTGCTGTGTAAAGAGTAGACATAAAAGGTCAAATAAAAACAGCTCTGAAATTGACAAGAAATTAATTGTGCCAATGTGCATGTTTAGACCAACTTACCAGGTAGCCTCTCCCTCCACTTGGAATGATACATGAACAGTATCAACCCATAGACAGCAGTCAGCACAAGCCTGTGGACAAACCACAAGCCCCACTTCATTTGATGGGAATGCTCACTGCTATCAATGAACAAAGGAATCCCAAATCCAAAAAGGTACAGAGCCTGTAAGAAAAAACAAGTAAAATGTAAGGCTCATTGCATTACTGTACAAAAGCCAAAGGTTTTAACAGATTAAATATCGGCAACATTCATTCCCTTTCTATAAATGCAAAAAAGCTTAGACAAGTACATTCCACAGTCATTTCAAACTTGAGTGGTGTAGGGGTTTGCATTTGTTTGATCATTCTAAAATAGGGCAAAACAATGATCTGAATTCACTGTCAATGCAACACATTAAAAAGGAGACTTGACATCTCTTCCCTGACTGATGGTGGCATCCTTTGTCAATGCCAGAAAAATGCTAATAACAGAACACCAAAGGTGTTTTCAGGGAAAAAAGGAAATACCTTGAGAAGAATATCCAAACCAACAATGAGAGCTGAGACACCAAAGGGCCGTGTCAAATCTTCCAATCCACTCCCATAATTTCCTTGCAGTAAAAAGGCAATCAAGCTTACTTCCAGAAACAACATTCCTGATGTTGTAAACAATGATAAGATATTCCATGCTAATTCCTTTCCAGGAGTGCACTCCCATGCCTGAATCAACACAAACAAAAAGTAATGTTGTTGTAGTAGCCAGAGGGCCTGGCAGGACACACAAAAAGGAGCTCCAAAGAATAAAGCCTTATACTGCCATAGCTTGATTTACACTATCCTCATTAACCTAATTGGTAGTGGCTACAAGTCTTAACAAGTGTTGATCAGCAAATAGCAAACATGGGAAAATTATCTAGGACTACTGGAAACAGAGATATGAATATCACTTAGTTTATTATTGGAAAAGTTGGCCAATCTTATTTTACAACAGCACGTACTCTTATGCATTCTTATGAAGAAACATGTTTGGTTAATTTATGTTGAGTGCTATTTGAGCTGCATTTGAAAGATGTAAAAAGGAGTTTTTATTATGGCTTTGAAAGTCGATTTTTTTTTCCTCCAGTATCATGATTGCTTGGCCTCTAGGGAGTCAACTCAGAAATTTATGAACATGCCAGCCATCCCCAGAAAAAGATACGAGATACTGCCAGACTTAAATATAGTTGCACAACCTACTAATTCCTGATTGCATCTTTTATTTCGTAACCGATCACAATCACTTAGCAAACTCAAACTTAAACTATAGTTCCAACCAATTTTCCACACACTGAGGATAATTTCATCGAAAAGATTAGTTATTAACACCTGAAAATAGTTTGCTACTCCATAGTAAGCCACCTATGTGGGTACCCACAAACATGTTATATCATCTTTCAATACACCATCCTTTTAAATCTCTAACATTTTAAATTGGCATTTATGCTTCTCCAGGGAAGAGAAAAGGGCAATGTACAATGGAGACAAACACATATTGACCCATGATAAAACAGTAAAAACAATAAAGCTCAGTAATCTCTGACCACATTAAAACTCATAGAATGAAATCTAAATTCACCACTTTATGCGTTTATGAACCATCAAAGATCACCCATATCAGGAAACATAAAACATTAAACATTTTACTATAGACATAAACCTTAAGACATCAATATTCCTTATCCATCAGTATGATTATATGCTAACCACACATACCAGTACTCCAAAAGGATTCAAATGAGATATGATCACACTGCCACCAATAACCTACCGTGTATGCACGAATAAATCAAAGTTCCAATTGACTGCTTCCATTGATGATGGGATGCTAAATAAACCTAAAATGTATAGAATCCAACACATTCTAGATTTTTTTTTTTAATTTTAATATTATCCAAACTGATATCCAAACAATTTTGATCACAAACCTAAAAGCAGCATCAAGCAACATTGACCTTTCTACTAATTCGGAAACAACCATTCAAAATCTAAATCAATGAAATATTAACACACAATCAAGTAATACACAAACAAAATGATAATTCAACGACAAATTCATAAAGTTGAGAACTTTTTTAGAGACAATAGTACTACAATAACAATAAAACAGTGACATGAGTATCCAAAATCAGATTCCGAGTTGCAATTAGCATTCAAGAAACAAAAAATTAGATAATACATTAAAAGCCCAAAAGAAACAAAAAAAAAAAAAAAAACATTTTGACCCTAAATTGAAGAAACGCACAAACCTGAAAGCAAGACCAAGCAAGGTTAAGCAAGCTAACAAGCCAAAGACTGCCATAATAAGCAATCATAATAGAAGATCTCCCATTTGAAAGCTTCCTAAAGCACTTCTTAGCTTGAAATGCTAAATAAAGTACAAAAGCAAGAGAAGCTAAGATCAAAATCGCATTATGCAAAATCCCATGACATTCATTGAGCCAATTGTGGAGACTTGGCCCAATAAAGGTCCCTTCTTTGAGAGTTGAATTAGGGTTTTGTGAGATGGGGATTTCTAACACAAGCCCCTTTCTATGAAGATTGGGCATTTTTTCAACAAATTTCCTTCGTAGGGATCAAAGAAAAGTCCTAATCTTTATTTTTTTGTGGAGAACTATGTTGTTGGATTTTGTGGAAGTGGAAATATTGATGGTGTTGCGGATGCCTGTGTTTTTCAGTTTGAACTTTAAAGTCTTCATAAATGTTGGATAGTTTACGCTGGGTAGTTTCCTGTGTTTAGCTTAAAAAATAAAAAATTATTAAAAAAAGAGGGAGAGAATATTAACTATTACGTTTATCTGTTTTTCTTTTGAAAAAAAAGGGAAATTTATATATTTAGCCTCATAAAATTAAAAATATTTTTCTTTAGTTCATACTAGTTTTTCTACTCGTGTTATACTACGGGTTGGATAAAATATATAAAATTATTTAGAAAAATTATTTTAGTTTGATAGTTTGTTTTATGACGTGAATTTATAAAAAAATATATAAAATAAAAGGTGTAAAAAATCATAATAAAAAAAATTCTATTTAACTCTTTCTTATTTGTGTTTTTCATAATTTTTCCTTCAAAAAATTTATCCTTATTAATCCATGGATTATTAACTATAAAGAAACTTAAGTAATGTTTTTAAAAAATGCTTTAATATTTCATAAGATTATGTCAAAAAACAAAAATAACAATTATTAAAAGCTTATGCAGAATTGAAAAAATAATTTTTTTATTTTTATTTAATGCTCATGAGAATATCGGTTTTTGAAAAAATATGAATTTAATTTTTATATATTTATTTACAAAAGAATGAATAATATTAAAATAATATTATATACTAAGTAGTTAAGCTAAAACATAATTTTAATTATTTAATTTAAAACAAGTTAATTTTAAAATATTTATAAATAAATAAATAAATAGTAAATGCTTAGGATAGTAGTTGCACGATTAATTTCTAAAAAAATAACGATTCAATATTTTATACTAAGTGAGTTCGAGTTTTCAATATAAAACAAAAAATATTATAAAAAAAGAAGTTAACTTGTAATGAATCTATTGACTTAATTTGAAGTTAATAGACTAAAATAAAAATTATTACAAATTTGATTTCGATTAATTTTGATTATATAAAGAAGAAATAAATTAATAAAACATGTGAATTCTTTTTTTTTTCCCTCCTTTTTAAATAATTTTTTATTTCTATGTTATGCATGGCTAGTCCTTGAATATAGGCCTCACGCGTAGAGCAACTATCTTCTTTTTATTTTTCATATTTGACTTTCAACTATTAATTAATTAATTTGAGTTATTTTTAAAAAAATCGAGAAAAAAATATTTAAAATAAAATTTTAATCTAAAAAAGTATTTCAAACAAATTATATATATTAATCATGCCATTATAATTTAAAAATTATCTAAATCTATTTTTTTAAAAAAAAATCATGTTCTAAAAATTTATTCCAAAATCCATACGTATAGAAAATAAATCAAAATTATCAATAAATATAATTTTAAATTAATTGGATGAGAATTTTTTTTTAAAAAAAGGATAAATTAAAGTAGTAAATTTGAAATAATAAAAATAATTTACAAAAAATGCTAAAACAAAATGGGAACAAATCACAATACAATTAAAGTTTGAAATTGAAAAAAAAGCATAGAAAAATTGAGGACTAAAAAGCTATTTCAGACAAATTATATATATTAATCATGCCACTCGTAATTTAAAAATTATCTAAATCTATTTTTCAAAAGAAAAAATAATCATATTCTAAAAAATTATTCCAAAATTCATACATATAGAAAAATAAATAAAAAATATTAGTAAATATAATTTTAAATTAATTAGATGAGAATTAAAAAAATGACAAATTAAAGTAGTAAATTTTAAAAAAATAAAAATAATTGATAAAAAATACTAAAACAAAATGAGACCAAATAACAATACAATTAAAGTTTAAAATTGAAAAAAAGTTTAGAAAAATTGAGGAGCATATAATTTTAAATTAATTGGATGGGAATTTTTTAAAATGACAAATTAAAGTAGTAAATACTAAATAATAAAAATAATTAATGAAAAAAACTAAAATAAAATGGGACCAAATCACATTATCATTAAAGTTTGAAATTAAAAAAAAATGATAAATTAAAGTAGTAAATCTTAAATAATAAAAATAATTAACAAAAAACACTAAAACAAAATGGGATTAAATCAAAATACAATTAAAATTTGAAATTGAAAAAAATATATAAAAAATTTGAGGACCAAAGTATTAAAAAAATGCTATGAATAGCGAAAGAAATAGTGATTTGTGAGTGTGTGAATTGTGATTTATGAGTCTATGAATAGTGCTTCAAATGGTGAATAAATAGTAAAATCAATGATTTTAATTTAGTTTTATGTATAATTTTAAATTAATTGGATGAGAATTTTTTAAAAATGACAAATTAAAGTAGTAAATACTAAATAATAAAAATAATTAACAAAAAACACTAAAATAAAATGGGACCAAATCACATTATAATTAAAGTTTGAAATTAAAAAAAAAAAGAGAATTAAAAAAAAAGACAAATTAAAGTAGTAAATCTTAAATAATAAAAATAATTAACAAAAAACACTAAAACAAAATGGGATCAAATCACAATACAATTAAAATTTGAAATTGAAAAAAAATATAAAAAATTTGAGGACTAAAGTGTTAAAAAAAATACCATAAATAGTGAAAGAAATAATGATTTGTGAGTGCGTGAATAGTGTTTCAAATAGTGAATGAATAGTAAAACCAATGATTTTAATTTAGTTTTATGTATAATACTCTACACTTTTTATTATCAACTTTACAGTTCTAAAAAAAGAAGAAAATACAATGTGATCACTGAAGTTAAATAATTATCAAGAGATAAAGTCAAAATGAATTCTTTTAAGTATTTTTCTTGTGAGTTCTTAAAGGTTTTGTGGGATATTAATATTTGTATACAAGTCTGGAGAGTAAATTATAATTTAGTTTCTATAGTTTTAAAAAATAAATTAATTAGTTTTTTTAAAACCTAATTATTTAGTTTATATATTTTTAAATCTATTTATAATTTAATTTCAAAAAACACGAGAAGAGACTTTTGTCAAAAAAAAGAAAAAAAGAAAAAAACTTATCTCCAAAAGTCAAATAAAGCGTTTCTCTTTTTGCTATTTTGTGTTAAGAAGTAGAAAAAAAATTTAAAAACTATGAAAAAACCAATAAGAAAAAAGATATTTTGTAAAATAAAATAATATTAAAATAAATACGATCAATACTGATAAAAAAATTAAATAATAATCTTTAAAACAAGATGGGCTAATTAATTTATTTTTAAAACTAGAGGGACTAATTTATAATTCAATCATGTTTTAAGGTAAAAAGACAACAAAAAGGCGCATTGAAAAAAAAATGTGAAGAAGAAAGATAAAAAAGAAGTGGAGGAAGTGGGTATTTCTCGAGGTTTCGTTGACTATTTAATTCTTGAGTAGTTAAGTGAAGTAACTTCTTGGAGTTATTATACTAATTTGATGCCTGGAAGGCCAAATCATTCAAAATTAGGGACCAATTTTTCAAGATATACAAGGTGATTGTTAGAAGCAAATTAAAAAATTTTGGTGCTTTGCAAATTTTATTAAAGGAAAAGTTATATAACAAGTAAATCCATTTTTAACCTTTTCTCTATCGATTATATCATTTTTTTTCTTTTCAATATATCAATTTTTTTAAAAAAATATCAATCAAGTTTTTCCATCTAAATAACTACATTATTTTTTTCTCCTCCCAAATTGTTATTATTATTTAATTATTAATTAAAAAAAGTGTTTTGATCAATAATTAAAGAATAATAACAAAAAAGAAAAGAAAATGACAACATAGTCATTTAGTCTTTTTCGTTAACTACCACATCATCATTAAACCAAAAATTGAATAAAAAAACTTGACCAATATTTTCGAAAAAGTTGATATATTGAAACGAAAAAAATAAAAATTAATGTGGTCGGTTAAAAGTTAATATATTTATTATTTGGTTTTTCATTTTATTAAAGGGGTCATCAAATAACCATAAGAAAAATAAAAAGAGTAAAGGAGATCAAGAATTATAATTAGCTACGTTAAGTTTCTGCTTAGACCTTCAAAAAGGGTTTTCCAAAACCGACCGTTAAAATGACCTCTACTTTCGGTTCATTTCTTCCCTCCTTATTTGCCTTAACAATCGGATCATATCCTTCCATTCACTAGAATTAATCCATTTTTCATTTCCAAAATCATAACAATTACTCTTAAAAAAAATAAAATTAAAGGGTTCTTCATTCTTGTCATAATTAATCATCTTTCCTTCAAATCAATATTATTATTACCTCTTCACCTTAATTGACTAGAATGTTCAAATTGACCAGTTCTATTACAGACTAGTCAATGATCATCATTTTCTAAATCAATCTGGTTAGTCCATCATCTTCTCTAATCAACCTGGTTAGTTCTTTTTTCCTTTTTCCTTATGAAATGTAAATATCATGTGATCGAAGTTTTTGATTGAGTTTTTAACTTGCTAATCTAAAAATGTTTTGTTGCAGTTGGTATGGATCGTAGGATGAAGCCAGTATATCTAAGGCAAAGGAGCATAGAAGGAACGCCGAGGACACCAACATCACCATCCATGTCCCCGCTGCGTATGCACCATGCTCGGTCAGGATCAGCAGGCACAAACAATATGAAGAAAGCACAAACAAAGGCTGCGGCGCAGAGGCTTGCACAGGTGATGTCACACCAGACAGGTGATGACGACGACGATGGAGATGATGATCTTTCGTACGATTATCAACCAAGCGGCATTGGAAGCATTGGACTTGCTGGTGGAAGACGAATGCAGCCTCGGTCACCAATGGTAATTTGAAGGTTTTTCATTTCTCGGATAGAATTATGTTTGTCAATCTAGTGTTAGAAAATACAAACACGAAGCATGACTGTTTGTTTAAGTGAACCTGGCCTCAACTAGGAGGATTTTTATTGAAATATCGAATGCTTTGATTTAAAGTATCTGAAGTTTTTGATAAAATTCTGCATGCCCAAGTTAATTTGAGGCTGGAACTCTGGTTTTGAGTGTATAAGTTTTGCTGCGAGAAAGGGAGTGTGAACATGGCATGATCTGTATTTTAGAAGATTATGCAGTTGAGAAATGGTACTTGTTAACTCTTTAAGTTGATTGGAAATTTAAAGAATTTGGTGGCTCGGTATGATTTATTGTTAATGTATTTAAAAATTTGAAGAATTTCAAAGGTAGCTTCAAATGTTGCAATGCTAGTGAGAAAACTCATTGATGAAGATGATGATTATTCAAGTAGTAGTAGCTTGTGATATTATCAGTTCTCTTCGCATTTGCATATCGATTTTGAACTTCATTCAAATACCATCACCAGTTCTTGCTAATTTTGGCCATGGGCACCTATGCATAACTGCTCCTTTCATACTTTTTCTGAGGAGACGGCTAATGGAAATGTATATGTTCTGGTATTGATTTATATTATGAAATGCAGACGAAACCTGCAGCTCAAGTTCGTGTGCCTGCGAAGACATACCAACCAGTTGATGAGGACAGCGGTGTGCCCGCAAAGACATACCAACCAGCTCAAGCTCGTGTGCCCGGAAAGACATACCAAACAGGTGATGAGGACAGTGATAATGATGAGTTTATACACGATTATGGCTCCAGAGCTGGTGGGGTGAGCATCGGACGTGCTGGTGGAAAGTCAATGCGATCGCGGTCTCCTATGGTGATTAGCTATTTAACTACTGCATGCTTGAAATATTGATAGATTTTTGTTTGTAAAGCTAGTTTTGTAGATGAGTTCTGGAGTTAAAATCTGATTAGACAGCTGATGTTTGATGCTGATTTTCCTTATCAATGTTATTCTAAATGTGAACTTCTATTAGGTAGTTCGTACTGGCCGACCTGAACAACCTCCCTCTACACATTCATCAACAAGTAGTCGATCGTCTTTATCTGTCAACACAGTGGAACAACCATCACCAGCTCCACCATCTCAGCCCACAAATTCTGTAGAACAACCGGTATCTGCCCGTTCCCCAATAGTGGGACGACCATCCTTCAATTCCATTGAACAACCTCTATCTTTTCGCTCTTCAATGGCTGCTCGATCAGCTAGTAACTCCGTAGAACAACCTCCATCTGCTCGTTCTACTTCAGCTACGCGCCTGTGTGTCAAGCCAGTTCCCATGCCGTCTAGTGTACCTATATCACTAAGGCCAGTCTCTCCTATGGTTTCATCAGATCATCCGAAGGATAAAAGGTATCATGAGGCTCTAAACCTGCATATATTCACTTAGAAGAGTTATAGCAACACTACTTACTTACAATGCACCTTTTGTCTGGTATAAGATTCAAGCATTCGTCGCACCTAGAAGAAAATAAGGATGACTGATGTTATGTCTTTGATTGGCAGTTCTAAACGTTATGAGTAATTTTCTGTTTTATCTGAATTTCATATTTGAGGAAAGGATAAATAGTGCCATCAATAAATTCAAATTCCAGTCTAGGAGAACATAGAGCATGGAGTTCTTGATGACATCTAAACATTGAAATTCCAGTCCGCAACTGTGATGATTTTTAATCTCAAGATCTCGAAGGCAAAGATAGATTCTATGAGTTAAATGCTACTTATTCCTTCAACTTTATGGTTGACAGGTTGTCATTAGATTGGGGAAGTATGAACTTAAGAGATACTGGCAATCAACAATCAAATTCTGCTTTACAAGATGAGGTATGGAAATATTTCAAAGCTGACGATAATATATATGCTATCCATGTTTCTATGGATGTGTAGTATATTGTCAATTTCAAATAATTGGGAAAACGAGGAAGATTTCGCTTTTTTGGAGATTCCATTTATTGTTTGTGAATTTTGTTGCAGATTGATATGCTACAGGAAGAAAATGAAAGTTTACTTGACAAGGTGGGTCAGCATTTATGTACTTCATTTGCATGTATTTTTTCAGTTGGTACTCCTCGGTATAATAGACAGTGACATCTCTCACAGACTATCATAAGTCATAACAACATCTTTACTCAATAAAGGATGATGTCTATGAAGGTTGGAGAAAAAATGATAATAAGTGGTTCATATTGATTTTGCTATTATATATTTATGTTGGTTCTCCATCATAATTTGTGCCCATTCAGCTTCGACTTGCAGCTGAGAAGTATGAAGAGGCAGAGGCAAGAGCTCGGCAGCTTGAGAAACAGGTACTTTTCTTACAGTTGAAAGCAAAACCAATGCATGAATGTGTCTGCAATTGTGTTGGTGTAGTTAAATTTTGCAGATTTTTGCAGCAGTCGTATTTGAATTTCAGCTCTTCGTTGATCTTTATTCAATATTTTTTGTTCAGGAAAAAATGAAAAAAAGAAACAGGGAGTTCTGTAATTACAGTTGCTTATATTTTGATCAATAAGTATTTGCTAATATGGTTTCCAAATGGCCAATTTTACGATACAATTGGTCGCTCCTTGGAAATATTGGTTTCTCTTAATTTTCTGTATTGTTTTTTGCTGTCAGTTTACCATGCCTTTCTCCTCCTATTATTGGCTGCTTCCATTTAAACATTTATATTGGCAAGAGCATTTTGACATTTCATACAACTCCCTTTTGCTAGTCTCACGGTATGTTTTTCTTCAGGTTGCTAGTCTCGGTGAAGGTGTAACCTTAGAAGCCAGACTTTTAAGCAGGCAAGCCTGGATATTGAAATTTTGATGTATTATGTCACTTTATGTCTTAAGTTTCTAATTATCAGTATTTGTTTCAATTCATCAGAAAGGAGGCAGCTCTGCAACAAAGGGAGGTTAGTGTCTTTAGCCAACATCTCATGTTAGTTTGGAATCAGAATATGTTTATATATATATATATATTGTAGTTATCACAATACAGTTAATGCTAGAAGGTAATGAATTAAATCCCCTGGACAAACACAATTTAACATGCTTTCTTGCATGCCTGCATGCTATCATTGGTACTTATGAAGGAATATGAACTACGAGTTCGATTATACTGCAGGCTGCTTTGAAAGTTGCAGAACAAACTAGTAAACCAGCTGAAGAGATTACTGCCCTTAGGTTGGAAGCTGAGGTATCGACAAATTTTATCTAGTATGTTAATCCCTTTTCTTTTTAACTATACTTGAATGATTCATGACAAGGTACTGTCAGTTTAATTCACACTTCCAAGATTATGATCTAGATCGCTAAGGATGAGGCAGCATCTGTGATTGAGAAACTCCGTGAAGCTGAGTCTGAAGCTAAGTCACTTCGAGATATGACACGACGAATGATACTGACTCAGGAAGAGACGGTTTCTCTTCAGCCTTAGCTTCTTAGCATCTCTTTGTTTTTTCCTTTGTACTCCTTTATGTCCTAGTAATGTGATTTGCAGTTTTCATCTTAGGAAGAAGTTGTTCTAAAGAGGTGTTGGCTTGCACGATATTGGAGCTTGTGCGTTAAACATGGTAAAATCATCCGAGTTGTTAGCCTTTCGGAACTTCAATTTCACATGCTTTTGATTGTTTATCTAAATGTAACTTCTTGATTCTGCAGACTTTTATGTAAGAAACCGATCACAATCCAACATGTGCATTGCCATTTTTTTGCAGGTGTTCATGCAGAGATTGCTGGAGCAAGATATGAATACTGGTCATCATTTGCTCCTCTTCCTGTTGAAGTTGTATTATCTGCTGGACAGAGAGCTAAAGATGAGAATTTCACCGGTAAGCATTTGTTCGAATATATGAATTTGTTTTAAATTGTCGGTTTAGTTACTATGTTCTGCTTGCTTCTTTTGGAGTAGTAAATGATGATGCAAATGAAAGAGAGAAAGTTCTAAAAGAAGGAAGTGAACTTTCTGGAGATGGAACTATTGAGAGTATGCTTCTAGTTGAGAAAGGCCTTCGGGAACTGGCTTCATTAAAGGTTCCTTTCGTACCTTTTTCGATTGAAATTTCTTACAATCATTTGTGTTTTTGTATAGCAGCTGCTTTCTCTGTTGCTTTTTTTTTTTTTTTTTGTTATATGCTCAAGTCTTAGCTAAGGAACATCATACTGATGCAATGAATCCAAAGGTTGTATAATGGGCACAAAAATGCAGTATGGCCTCAAACACAACTCAATAGCCAACGGAAAACCCTTTTGGTTTCAAGTTGTACAGGCACTAGCTTTAGACTTCTATTCATGCATGGAATGTACAGCTCTTGCGAAAACTAATCAAAGATTGCTTTGGAAAGGTATAACCATTACTGTCATTTGTGTTAATTATCTCATACTTCAAGAACAGTTCAAGAAAACAAGTTTACTGCAATCCAGGTCATGCTTAAGAAACCATTTCTAAATCAATGTATATTTGGATCTACAATTGGTCAAGGAAATAATTTGGTGCTTCTCTAGACATGTGATTGTTCAAAATTCTGGTTTCTTAGCAGCTTGTGAATTTTCCTTTTCCTTTCTTTTCAAGGCAGGGGAAGCGGTAGCACTTGCCATGGCTCAGCAACGTCGATCAAATTTTATGAAATCAGGTGTGAATTAATTATGACTTTCAACATAAAAATCTCTATCATTCTACACTATTTCCTTGTTTTTCCTTCTAGTTTAATCTACACCAAGGAGGTTGTTTAAGTTTCTTGTTTTATATATATTCAAAGGATAAATTTATATCTCATTGCTGATGAATTTGTCAATCTGATGGCTCGACGTTTATCTGTTTTCTTTGGTTTCTCATTATAATGGCTGAAGATGAAATTAAACTAGCTGGCGATGGATACCTCGAAGCATTTGGTAAGTCCATTGAACATGATTATGAAAGAAGTTTGTCTTTTACAAAGGCTAGTAGTCTTGGCACTGCTGTTGGCTAAAACTAATCACAAGAATGAATTCTTTCAGAATTGAGCCAGGAGGAGTCCGAAGATGTGCGTTTTAAGCAGGTATGATGGCATCTGCATAACAATTAGATTGTTAAAATATTCGAGAAAGTTATAGCTGATGCAAAAATTGTTAGTTGGTTTGTGCATAATTTTTTTGGTTTTTTTGTTAAGTTGGACCAAGTATAGATTTAAATAGCCGCTGTTAACGTAAGACTGTTATATAACAGTTTTGGATTACCTGTTACTGTTATTTGACGTTATATAATTGCGAAGACCGTTATTTTACTATTACATCTCCGATTTAAAACTATGTGGCGAAGAAGTGATGTTCAGACTTTTGATGTCTGAAATGATGATGGTAAGTATGAAGGCCTGGTTCTTAATGATCCTGAGACAATATAACTAGTAATAATACTACATAATTCTGCTGCCAAATATGGCAAAATGAATGCATTCTTATCAAATCTATTCTTCCACTGTATGTTCTTCAGTCCTTCACTCTTCTTATGTGGTTTAAGGAAGAATTTGTAAGTCTAGTCATCTCTCAAATTCTCATTCCATATTCCTATACAGGCCTGGCTTACATACTTTTGGAGAAGAGCCAAAAACCATGGCCTGGAACCTGACATAGCAGAAGAACGTTTGCAGTTCTGGATCAATCACAGCAGTCGGTCTTCCTTGTCACACGACGCAGTCGATGGTAATCTCCCTCCCTCTCTTCCTATCCGACATGCACAAACACACGCACGCCCACTCGTTAAACACAATCATCTTCCTTCCCCATATTAATTAGTGTTGGGGTTGGAACACATACAAGCCCATTTGCCTGTGAAAATTCAATCCTTTACTGTGTAATAAAGATGAGATAACAACAAAACGAACAAAAGAATAGGCACACAGGACACCAATAATTTGTACATAAAAAACTCCTTTGAATGAGGGATAAAAACCATCGAATTCAGTAATCCATCTAAAAACTTCTGCTGTTAAAATAATAAGATTACGAAGGATCTCACAAATATGGTGGTTTTTCTAAGATCGATCCCGGTCACTAAGTAGAGCAGTATAAAGATATTAATATACTAAAATTTCATCTCAATGCGGATTAAAGTCACCTTCCGATTGAGGCTAATAAAATGAGCAACTCATACTCAAAACTCTCTTATTTTTCTTCATTTCTCTTTGTATTTTGCTCTCATTTTTCTCCTTTTTTTTTTTGTTTTTTTTTGCACTCTCTGCAACGCCAAAAACTAATGAGCCATTAACCCACCAGTGCTTGCACTTGCAAGCTTTTCATCTTCAACAATAACAACATCGTATTTTAACAAAAGCTGCACCGACATCTTCATCTTTCAACAAAAGCAGCATGCAAACATTTCAACATTTTTTTCATACACCTTGATCTTCCTTCAATCAAAGATTTCCTTGGCTAGAAAAAGAAGAGTTCATTATTCATATTAGAATAGTGATATGGGGCCATGTCTTGTCCTTTTTTGTTCTTATTTTACATGGACAGGATCTAAGAATTAGCCTGCTAGTTTTAATCCCGAAACACAAATGTGTGTATTCTCATTCCGGTAAAACTTGTTCTGCGTACAAGAAATTTCTTTCCTTTGATTTATTTGGTTATGATTTACTTCTATACACAGTTGAGCGAGGACTCACGGAGATCAGGAAATTAGGCATTGAGAACCAACTATGGCAAGCCTCTCGGAAAGAGCTGGAGGTTGGCTCTAACTCTAAGGCCAAACTCGAGTCCGACTTCTGATGTAAAGTTCAAATTGCTGTCTGGCACAGTACTCATTGCAACTTGGAAATCTCTTCTTCATGTTCATATCAGTTAGCTAAGAAAACTTTTTAATGTTGCCTATTAAATGAGAATTATTTATCGTCACCTGCCATGTTGCTGGCTGGCTCCATACCTCCATTCATGTAAAATTTTGTATGGCAACAAGACATAACTGTAACCAAGCACTTTTAGTTTGGTCTTTAATTTATTACTCTGTGGCAGCCACAAAAATTCAATTGGCCTGAACAAATTTGGTGGCCATTCGCAACATAAGCATGCTTCAACTAGACAGGCTTGAATGGAAAGTGAAGAAAATATGTTATTCTCTCTGTTCGGTCCAAAAAAGATCTTTTATTATTATTATTTTATTTTTTTACACAAATTAAGAAGATTATTAATTATTATGCCATGTCATAATTTTTTTGTTTTTTTCTAACTTTTTTTTAAAATTGTTAATTATCAAAATAGACTTTAATCAATAATATTTTTTAAAAAGTACACAACTTAAAGTTTTAATTATGAATAATTTTTAAAAAATACACAATTTAAATTTTTGACAAAAAAATCTTTTGAAACAGATATTAATAGAGTAACGAATAATTTTTTTTATTCATCAAGAGGTTTACAAGACTCTGGTTATATAATATAATTAGTTCTTTCTTATTATATAATCATAAAAAAAATTGAAATTTTTACTTTATTAAAAAAAATGTAAAATACTAAAGTAAACTTGCTTGTGTACCAAAAAAAAAAAAAAAATCTTTTTAGAACAGAAAAATATTTTTTAGCCATCAAAATTTATATCTCAAATCTCGTTACAATAAATAAAATTCTCGTAAATTTATTAGTTACAGTACAAATGGTAGGTGTTTTTCTATTTCATTTCCCTGTGACAAGTGATTTTTTTCATTTGTTTTGGGGGAGAGATGGATATGGATTTACGTGGAGGGATTCAGACAAGACAAGTTAGCGGCACAGAAAGCATGTGCATCAGAAGGTGGCTCCAGTCCCTCTAAATTCACAGCCATTGAATATGGTTTCGCTTCTGTTGATATAATATTAAATGAACGTCCATTATCAGCCACATAAATGACTGATTACTTCATTCCTGTGCTTTTTAAATGATTAAACAAATTACTAGAGACGTTGTTGTCCGATAATAAGTAATTATTAAATATGAATTTTTTATCAGTGTGAAGGTTGAACACTAAAATCACATTTGTGAAAAAAGATAAACTCCTTTCTACTTTGAATATTATTAATCCTATCTGTAACATAAAATGAAGATATATGGATAAAAAAATAATTAAATACGTAACAAATTATATAATTTAGTTAAAAAAAAGGTAATTAATTAACCATAGATTTTAATATCATAGATAAATTTCACTGACCGCTTTTCCCTTGTATTATTGTTCTATGACATTATATAGAAATTCCAAAATTAAAATTTCCAAGGGTGACCAGTCTAAGTAATTGTTTCAAGGATATCATCACAATTCACAAAGAGTGGTAACTAATTGTTTTGGATTAAGTTTCTCTTTTATTTGATTTTTTTTTTATAAATTGATTTAAGTTGTTTTTCAACTTTTGACGTAAAAAAGGCCATAAATATATTTTGTCAAAAATAATTTTTGAGTTAAATTAAAAGCTTGTTACAAAATGGAGTCACATTTTTTATTTAACAAAAGAAACAAAAAATTTTTAACTAATGATTCTAACTTATACTATTCCATTTTTAAAAAATTGCTTTGAGGTGTTTTTAAATTAGAAGAATGTTTGATAAAAACAACTTTTGAATTATAAAGTCTCAATTCAAAAGTCACAACAGACGGAATTTAAATATTCTTTCTAGCTGATTTTTTAATATATATATATATATATATATATATATATATATATATATATAATTTTCATTTTACCATCAAATGATATGATCAAATCAATTTTTCTTAACCTTCTGTAGCATCAGAAAACTAATCATAACAATTTTGAATTTTTTTATTTTTTATCTAATAAATGTCATGAATTATTGAGTATTTTATCTTCTTGTGAACAAAATCAACTAACAGAAAAGAAAACCCATTGGGTCTCCTTGCTCTAAACTGCAAATAAATCCATTAATTTACTGTCAGCATACACTTTCACCGCCCTTAAAACTACCAAAATTCACCTAAAGTGGGTCGTTGGAGGGTAAAAAGGTAGAAGGTCTTACCAGACTCTCATTTGTCCATTAACGAGTCACATCTTTCTATAAAAAGGGTCAAAAGCATCTATTCATTCACTCCTCTTCACTCTCAAAAGCAACAAACAATCATACTGTTTCTTCTTTCTCTCTGTAAGGGGTGTTCTGAGGTAAAAGCTTCAATCTTTCCAGTGTCTCCTTATTCTTTTCTTTGATCAAAATATAGGTTTTTTTTTTTTTCCTCTCATGATCATTTGATCTTGATAAGAATTTTTGTGTTTCTGTTTTGGTTTTATTATGCTTAGGCTTATTAAAGATGAGTCCTTTATGACTTGTTTGATCGGATTAACTTGCAGTATCTCTAGATCATATGACTGTTATCTAGTTATAGATTATTATGTGTTCTTTTTATTCTTTAAGCGTTGAATCTATACTTAGATTTGGTGTTTTTTGTTGTTTCTGCTTGTGGGTTGTGCGGTCTTTTTACAGATCTTTCTCAGGTTTTATTTTTTAATCAAGGTAAGCTGCCTAGGTATTGTGAGATCTCATTTTAGTGTTTTTTTTTCCCTTTAAGATATAAAATTATCTTTACCTTGTTTGGGACTTGTAGATAGAATAAACAAAAGGGCATAAGAAAAAATTAAAGCTGTGTAAATTAGGAGTGGAATCAAAAAATGGGTATTTGTGTAAATTAGAGATAATCAATGATACTGAAGCTATACTAATTTCTTCTGGGATCATCAAGTTTGTGTATTTATAGCTTTATTTTGAGTAGTTTTATGTGTTCTTTAGCTTTTTAAGTATGATATAGTTGGTATAATTGATATGTGCTCGTGTGCATATCAGAAGTGTAGATTTTGATTGGCTGTTTGAGCTGTTGACCTTTTGGCGTGCGTGCGTGCAAGGTGCCTTCTGTTTTTTCTTTCTATCATTTGGTTTGGTGCCATGCTTTTTAGATGCAGTGTTTGTGTGTGTGTGTGTGTTTGTGTGTTTGTGTGTTTTTTTTTTAAACAAAAAATTTAGGTGATTGTAGATTCTCAGTCTTAACTCTAATCTCTTTTAGATCACATAGAACAATGGTGAAGGCTGTTGCTGTTCTGACTAGCAGTGAAGGCGTCAAAGGCACCGTCAACTTTAACCAAGAAGGAGATGGTAAGTGAAAGTTCCAATCAATTGGTCCTGCAATTTGTTTTGCTCATTTTTCTGGATAGTTTATGATATCCGAGTCATATTTTCAGGCCCAACTACTGTAACTGGAAGCGTTTCTGGTCTTAAGCCAGGCCTTCATGGATTCCATGTTCATGCCCTTGGAGACACCACAAATGGTTGCATGTCAACTGGTACTGCTGCATAGTTGGATTTTTTCCCCCAAAATGCTTAGTTGACCAATACAATAGGAAAGATTAAAGAATCTTCTTTTGTTTTCCCAACATCCTTTATGCTCAGTTATTTGGTGTTCTGTTTGTAGGGCCACATTTCAATCCCGCAGGCAAAGAGCATGGTGCCCCTGCGGATGAGAATCGTCATGCTGGTGATTTGGGAAACATCACTGCTGGTGATGACGGTATGCATTACTGTCCATGTTGCTGCAAATAGTTTCTAAATCACCAGGATTGCATTTTTTCAACACGAGCTTTGTAACAATATCAATTTATTTTAGTTGGTTTCATTTTCCGTATCCTTTTTGCACTTTTTTTTTTTTAACTAAACTTCAAGAAAGCCTGTTTATTGATAGGATTGCCTTTTTACTTGATCTGGTTTCATACTTGTTGGGTCAGTAACACTTCCCATTTTTGTGTTCAGGCACTGCTACTTTCACAATCATCGACGGCCAGATTCCTCTTACTGGACCAAATTCCATTGTTGGAAGGGCTGTTGTTGTTCATTCAGATCCTGATGATCTTGGCAAGGGTAATTTATCAATATTTCCTTGGAAGGGCTATTTACTAGTTTATGTCATCGTTATATTTTCTCATTGATGAAAAGAATTGAATTTCTAGTTTTATGATTCTGCCATCCTGTAAGTAAACAATTTTGGAGGGCTCCTGGTTGCTACTTCAAACTGAAAGTTTCAATTGGTTCAATATAAGGGACAAACAACCTGATATGTTTAACCCCCAATGTTCTTTATAGAAATTAAACTGAACATAATTTGGTCAGCAAAAACATGCCATTGGAACGTTTTCTTTTTGGGGGTCAGTGATTCGCATAGCACAGCCTTGTTTGAACCCTTGCCTTAGATCTTTATCCTCTTCCACGAGGAGCTTCAATTGTGATTAAGCAGCATCATGACTCTTGTTATTTTATTATTTAATCATTTCTTTATGCATTCAGTAGTTTGGGTCTTAGCTAAAATGCTTCTTCCAGGCTATTTAATCGATAAGCTTCGTTAGTGCAGAATAGGAAAGGAAAAAAAGATTTTTCATTCCTTTAATTACTTTATGATATTCACATCCATTATTTTATTGCATCATTTGCTAATCAAAGTGATGTCCACTGACTCTTGATTTCCTGTTTCCAGGAGGACACGAACTTAGCAAAACCACTGGCAATGCTGGCGGCAGAGTAGCATGCGGTAAGTAACAAGCTTATTGTCAACTATAAAGAAAAATATCATTTACTGTTTGCAAACTACTTTTGATATTGTTTTATCGATGTATCATGTATGGTATTCAGAGGGTGTCTAAGTCTGGACTCTCTCATCCAAGAGTTTTCATCAATTTGTCATATTGTCTCATAATGGCAAAGGTTTAAACTATACTTGATCGTTTTGTGAATTCTTTGGCTCGTGACTTAGCAAAAAGAGTTGGTTTTTTTTTTTTTCCTTGGGTGTAAACGGTTGTTTCCCCATTTTTGTTACGTGGGAAATCACATTTATTCCATCATTCCTTTTGCAGGTGTTATTGGTTTGCAAGGTTGAACTGCCTCACTCCACCACCATAGTTTATTAACAAATGCTGTTGCTTATGTATCAACCCTCAGCTTCAGAGGATTCCGATGAGCCCAGAACTTGTTCTGAATAAAAAAAATCAAAGCCTACTGTACTTTCTTGGTGGATTGGTTTTGTAATCTAAATCGGTGTGTTCTGTTTGATGTCTTGAACTGAATTATTCTACAGCTATGTATGGTTGGTTCAAATTTTCTACGCGATGTTGTGTCATCTATGTTTGCATCGGGTTTGGCCAATTTCCATAGGTATACCCCACTCAAAATTTCCATAGCAGGGCTATAAATACTCAAAAACCGTAGTGTCAATACCGTTTCGGGTGGAATGGGCAGTGTTTCTCATTCAGTCTCAAAGAACGGAACAAAGAAGAGCCAATTCTGTCTCTTTCAGAATCTTAGCTTTTTGCATAAAAGCTAGTTGGTCGTTCCCTTATGCATGAAAGCTTGTAGGCGATTCCCTTGTGCATAAAAGCAAGGATGCCATTGGAAAATTTCCACCGAAAACAACTCGTGTTAAAAATCACTAATTTTCCCCCTTCTCTTCGGCTCTAATTTTTCACCTTTTCTTCATCTCTGTTTCTCCGGGATGAGTACAGGTAACAGTAGATTTGCCTCCCTCCAAGCTTGATTTGGGCTTTTCCAAATCTCATCTTCCGCAAGGATTTGCCCGCTCTGGTCGTGATTCATGAAACAATGGGGTCTTTTTAATGCCTGACCTATCCATATTATATTATTATAAATCACCTTAGAGAAAGCCCCAGTTTTGGAATTTTGTGGAATCAAAATGACATTTTTTCAAAATTTCTAAGTCATTTTTTAAACTCCTTTTCACTTTAGTCTTTAGAGTTTGATTAGTCCTTAGAATTTTAGAGTTGTACGGAATGGTCTCTGATTAAATTTAGGTATCTAATTGTAAAGAGAGGAGAGAGAAGGCAAAAGAGATGGGGAAGGGAGAGGGGAGAGAAATCTCTGATGAGCTGCAGTTCAAGCATGTATTCAAGCAATCTTGGTGTCGATGTGTTAACTTCAAGAAGAGAGTTTGTTACTGATAGTTTTAACTTTCTAAGTATTTGAAAAAAGAGATCGATTCTGCCGAAGGAAATTGAGATTTTGAATTTGATTCGAGCTTTTAGAGTGAATTTAAAATTTAAAATGGTTTTCTAGAACATTTTTGGGATGATTCTAAGATGTTGAGTAAAATTGGTGTAGAAAAAGGGCGTAGTAAGCCAAAATAGTGCCCCCTCAAGTTTTTGAAGATCATTTTCAGATTCCGGTGAGCAATATCTATATTCCAATCACCTAAAAATTAGACAAGAAGATTTTTGGATGATGAGTTGTCTGCTATTTTTCCAGCCCAAGCATGTAGGTCTGCTTGCCTCCAGGCCCAATGTTTGGGCCTGGAGCACGCCCAACCCAGTTTTTCTTTTCTTTCATGATTTATTTTTCTTCAATTAATTAATGGTTGTTTCTTTTTCTTTTTCTTTTCATACAGCCTTATAGAAAATAATGCTGATTATTTTTCATAATTTTAATTATTTTTTTGTTTGTTTTTTAAAAACTAGTATAGGAAATAATGATTGTTGTAAAAACTAATGATTGTTGTAGAAACAGAGTTGAAATAACACTAGTTTGTTTTTTTTAAATCAATATTGGCCATAGATTAACATTCATGATAAGAAAAGAGCTAAATAAGAAAGATCTAATGGTTGATAATTTATCAACCATTAAATCCTTTTATCATCTTTACATTTGTATTATTTTTTTAATTATGTCTTACTTCAAAATTAATCACACTTCTTCAGCATGTATTAAAAACGTGGTTCCTTATTCTTTTTAATTAGCTATTCAAAAACAAAAAAAATCTTTTGAAGTAGCATTGACACATCAAATAATTTATCACTTGATTTTTTTATTTTTTTCTACGAAAATTTATATTAGATTTCAAATAATTAAAATTAACATTCGGAATTACATTGATGAAAAATAAGAAAAAATAACTATCAATTAGAGAATAATGAGTTTTTTTTTTTAATAAATTGTTACGGATTCATTTATCAAATTTAAGTATCCTTTCAGTATAGATTTTTCGTGCACCTTTTCATTGTTGATTCTTGCCTTCTTCTAATTATTTATTCTTTTAATTTGGTTTTTAGGTGGTGTAAATTGATGAGTAGGAAAAACTCAAATACTAATTGATGATGACGTAGATTCTTTATGGTTGAATAGACGAAAAAGATTGATTATGATTGGGGATCCTTTCTACTCAAAACCTGTAAAACAAGTTTCTTTGGTGGGTTAAGGAACCTTGATTAAATAAGTACATGAAAAGAGGAGATACCTGTGTAGGCTATGATGTGTATATGTGAGAGTGAAAGAGATAATCTACAGTAGTATGGTGTAGAGAGAGTAGAATTGAAATCTAAAGTTCTTGGTCTTTAGGATTCTTATACAGATGGGGGGTTTGTCGAGTTGCATAAAACACATGATAAGATGATTCATTTTCTTATTGCCAACGATCTCTGACACCAACTTGAGATATTATTATTATTATTATGATAATCCACTACTTGACAATGTTTGTGTGCTGTTATGATCGGTATGGATGGAACAAGAATAGTTTAGAAAGTATAATTTCATTAAATACATATACTTTTTGTCTTGCAAGTAGTGCATAGCATCTTCATTGTCGGGTCAAACGTCTGGAATGTCATCGCATAGAGGCATCCTGTTTAAGTTGATGCAAGGCCTTGGCTAGTCCATAAATTTTATAATACAAAAAGAATAATTAGTGACATGTATAGTAGTGATCCTATGGATATATTTTGAGAAAAAAAGAATAGAAGATAAAGAGAAGAGAAAAAAATTAAATGAACGTGAAAATTTTCTTATCATTTTTATTGGATTCTGATGTAATTTAATATGTCTATCTCTCTCCTCAAAATGAATTCATAAAATAATTATTTTACATGTCATTAGTTACTTCTTTGTGTATTATAAAATTTCTCTTGGCTAGTCATTAGTATTGACTTGGAAGTAATTCGGATTGGAGTTTTTCTGTGGCATATAATGACACGTATAATCCAAATGCATCATAAATAATTTTTATTGCATGTTTTTTTTATCAAAAACAAACATATTTAAAAAATAAATTTAAACTCAAAAACTAAAATACACATAAGATTAGCCACTACAATGTATAATTACAAAATTTTCGCTCACCTAGATTTTCATAATTAATAAGGATATTCAAACAGATTTTATAAGCTTGCTTGCAGCAGCGCTGGTGACGTGACATGAAACTAGTCTATTCTAAATTTTAAATGCTAGTCTAGAATGTTAAAGGGGACCCAGAGGATAATAAACTTCTTCAGCCACTTACAATTACGATTTTGCTTAAAACACTTTCGATGAAACTGTTGACACTCAGGCTTGATTCCATTATGCTAAAAGCTGGTCTATGTTGAATACAATGAAGCTAAGTACGAAGATTTTCCAATTTCAATGCATACATCCATTTTTATGTAGCCTAAATAGTATGTAGATATATTTTCTTTTTTCTTTTTTTTCATTCAGGATTCAATTCCAAAGGTAGAATCCAAGGCCACAGATCATGAGAATGTATTTTCTCATGAATTCCGTGATTCTGGCCGGGTGAATGATTTGTTTTTAACCAAATCGATCGTGAAAATAAACTGAGCAATTTATATAAACTAATCCAAAGATACAACTGCTTATATATACATGTGTATATAAAAAAAAAAAATTATGCAATTAGTGACTAGATTAAATATGTCATAACTCATTTTGACCCTTTTTTAAAAAAAAATTATCTAAAAAAATTCAAAAATTACATGTTGAACAGTTTTTGTAATTTTTTCATATTTTTTAAGTATTATATTTTTTCATGATTTAAAACATGAAATTGAATCAAAAAAAATAAAAAAGAAGGAAAATTGAAGAAAAAGTTAGGAGAAAAACAACAGAGAAAAAGGGGAAAATGCAGTGGCACAATTGAGAAAAGATAAGAAGAGTGAGAAGCAAACAAAAAAGAAATTAAAGAACACAAAGGAAAATTGAAAGGAAAGTGAAAATAAAGAGGATTAAAATAAATAAAAAAAATAAAGGAAGAAAAAAGTAAAAGAAGGGAAAAAAAAAGGTAGGGGCACGATCGATGTAATCAAAAGAATGATGGCCGAAAAGAAAGAGGAGAAAAGAGAAAATCGTTCATTTAAGGGTTCAATCGAAAAAATTAAAAAGACTATATATCAAAGTGCAATCAGCGTGAAACAGGAGGAGATGAATAAAAAAAAAGAAAACTATGGCATTCAAATGAAACGGTGAAATGCACTATTTATCTTTTTTCTTTCTTATCTTCTCCTGCATGTTTTTTTCTTCTATTTCTAGCCCGGTTTCTTTGTCTTCCAACTCAAAAAACAACCCTCACATCCTCCACCACACCCAGCCAGAGCTCGTCCTTACACTCTCTACCTCTCCTCCAGCAGTCCACCATCACACGACAAACAAAGAAAATGCTTCTCAAACTGCCAAAAACTCTATAAAATTGCTTCTTCTTTCTTTTTTTGACATAAAATCATCACAAACATTTTAGTGTAGATGTCTAAGATACAACTTTATTTTGATGGTTTGACTTACTATAATATTGTATTTTTTATTTAATTAATAAAAAAATCTTTTTATTAATTCTTATCATTTATATTTTAATAGAAATCTATATGATATGCATTGCATTAAATTATTGATCAAAAGATGTGAATTGAATATCAATGCACTTAAATGATATGTCACAAATTGTAGCATTATCAAGAACGAATATTGACTATATACAATAAGACTTTTAAATCATTAAATGATATCATTAAACATTTAGCATTGTTAAGAATGTATACCGACTATGTACGGTAAGATTTGTGAGTTATTAAATGATATTATTAAATATTCAATCCTTCGTATAGTTAATTTGGTTTTTAAAAAAATGAGTCGTGGCTTTTGATCAATCAAGCGAAAAAAACCATCAAAGTGTTCGGCTTCTAATAACATGAATATAAATATGATTGAACACTTGTTCTCATAAAGGAATTTCATGACAAATACCTAAGAAAATCACCCAAAAAAAAAAAAAATTCACAAGTTTTTCACATGAAAGAAAAGGAATGTGCACTCTCCTCAAAAGTGAGCAAGAGCTTGCCAGCTTAAAAAATTGAGCAAGCGTGCATATGACCCAAAAGTGAGCAGGTGTACACCAATTTTTTTGTAAATAGATATTTTTGCTCATTTCTTATGTGATTCATTTATTTTTCTATTTTTCTCCAAAAAATTTTACAAAGAAGAAAAAGCATTTCTAATTATGTGCCAAAAAAAAAAAAAAAAGTTGTAGAAGGACGATAGTTTCGATCCAAATAATTAATCACCAAATGCTACTTCTAAAATAGTATAATTTTTGTTCCATAGCATAGCACAACACAACATTCACCATAAATTACAATATGTTTAACCATGTAGTCTCTACATTTCAAATTGGCTTCAATTTGAATTAAATCAATATTTAAAAAAAAAAACCAAAAATACACGAGAGAAATTATATAAAAGAAAGTAGCTATTATATGCCCTTAGAGCACATCTGAGAAAAACTCATTTAAGTTTTAATTCTTCGCTGCTATTATAATTTTACTCAATTATGGAAGTAAATCCAGTCAATTATAAAAGTAAAACATTCCTTTTGTATAGATTAACGTATGCTTTTATGAAAGCGAATCTATTCAATTATAAGAATAAAACATTCCTTTTATATAAATTAATGTATGCTCCTATGGAAGTGAATCCTCTCACTCATAGGAGTGAAACATTCATTTATACTTCAAAATATATATATATTATATGCTCTTTTCTTTTTCTTTTCCATTCGGGATTTTAATGCTAATTAAAATGGCTTTTAATGCATTTAATTTGTTTTCTTGTCGGATATGAATGTATATTAATTACATGTACGGAAATATGCTTCTTTCCTATAAAAATGATCCAAACTTTCTGGGCTAACTCGTTAAATTTGTTCTTTAGACAAAATATAATACAAAAGAAAAGTTTAAATGGAGAAAATTTCATTCAAGCTGCCATTGATAATAACTTTGTTGATTGCTGCATCCTGCAAGTCTCTTTGTCTGTAATTCTCTCTCTTTTTATGTATAGATTTTTTACTATATATGTCATCCCTCTTGCCCTGATAATACTAAATTGTCCTAGTGTTTTTTTTTTAGTAGAATTGTCATTTCGTTAATTAAATGTTTCTAGTTGGTCTTAAATATCCACACATTTTCTTTGATTTAGAAAATTAATTTATGGGTTTTTTCTTTTTTAGAATGTGCTCTAATATATGTTAATCTATATAAACAAGGAATGATAGTAATATAATACTATTCCTAGAGTTTCACTTAATGGATTAAATTTTTGAGTTAAGATAATTCTTTAATATGATATTAGAGTTTTGATAATCAAATGGTATCATAAAATCATTCTTAGGATTTCACCTATTATCTTAAACTTTTAGATTGAAACATTTTTTTTTATAAATAGAATGTGTTTAATTTCATAGTAGACGATATCAAATTATGTGTTAGGATTTTACTCAATTATAAAAGTGAATCTATTCAATTATAAAAGTAAAACAGTCATTTCATATAGATTAATGTAGGTTTGATGGCAAAAATTGGCTTTGTTTTATTGCAATTTAATAATTTCAGGATTTTATTATCAATTTACGTAATTTGAATCTCAAATCCTAAATCCTAAATCTTCAATCGTAAACCCTAAATCGATTTTTGTGCAAATCTTATCCAAATTTGTTAATTGTAATGGCCAACCCATTTAACAATTTTTTTTTTGTTATTTTTTTTTTTAAATTTAAAAATGATTTTCCTCCATTTTTCAAGAGATTTTTTCTATTTAAAATATTCACATATTAATCCCTTTGATTTTTCATAGTCAATCAAATTATTATTTATATATAATTTTTTCAATTTTAAAAAATAACATTTATATAGTATCATTATCTATTAAAAAAATCAACTTTTATAATTGATAAAATACAAATATCTATTGATTGAATTTGATCAATCGAAATTATCAAATAATTAATTTTAACTGAACTTTTTTTTTTCATGTCAATAAATTTATTTTTGTAATTGTCAATCTTTAAATTTTAAATATAGTTGTATTTATTTAATTTTTTTTTATCATCACATGTTTAATAGGATTTTTTTCTCACAAGTGATTCAAATACATAACATGTATTTAAAATTGTTAGAGTTAGAAAACTATATTTTTAAAAAAATTTCTAATTTTATTTTATTTTTATTTTTTAAAAGATCGGTTCAAAAAGTGAAAGCTTTTTTTTTAGGTAGATCTAAAAAACAATTTAGTGATATATATATATATATATATATATATATATATATATATATATAATTTTAGATAAAGGAGTGTGAAGAAAAATCTCTCCTGAAAAATAAAGAAAAAGCATTTTTAACTTTTTTATAAAAAAAATTAACAACGAAAAAACAATAAAAAAAATTAATAACAACTGGATTGATCGTTAAAATTAATGAATTTAGATAAAATTTGTTCAAAAATAGATATTTTGGGATTCAAATTACGTAAATTAATTATAAAAACATAAAATTGTTAAATTGTGATAGAATGTAGGTTATTTTTACTGTAAAACCAATTAATGAATGTTCTCAGAACACATGCTAGAAAAACCCCTATTTTTCAAGTCTTTGTTGCTAAGGAAAAAAGTTATATCTCTCTTTTATTTTTCTTTTTTAATGCGGATGTTAATGCTAAGTTTGCCTCTAATGATTTTATTTTATTTTTCTAGGTTTTCCATATGGAGCTAAATCAAGAGAGTTGAGGGAGAATGTAATGCATCAAGAAGCAGTGGTCCCTCTTAGATATAAAGTGGCATACTGCGAGTCCGACAGTGATTGTATTGGGAAATGCCCGCCTCAGCGCAAACGTTTTTTTTTTGTGATTTAATAGAGAGTTTAGAGTGCACATGCGAAGGCCCTTTATCTTCCCAAGTATTATATATGCCTTGTTTCCAACAATAAAAAGTTTAAAACCTCTCTTTAAAGAAAGAGTAGACAATAAATACATCACTCTTATTAGTATGTAGCTTAGTGACGATTAATGCATTGGTCAATGTTACGAAGGCAAGCATCTGTCTGTAGCTACATGTAAAATAAAATAAAAAAATATGATGTATCGCACAGAAAAAAGAGAGAGAGAGAGAGAGACCAACGATTTGCTTCATACCGTGGCTTTGTTCTAATTTTGTGTTAATATTACCTTTTATCATTGAATATTTTTATTGAGGCAAATTTTGAAGTCTTCTATTCCCATCTTTAAAAGTGAAGTTTGGGATTGTTTAAGATCATTTTTTTTGAAAAAAAAATCAAATTTATTTGTCGTCCTGGCATATAAAGAAATAAGTATTATTGTAAAGAAAAATAAATCATATTATATATTTTACAAATAAATAAATAAAAGTTAGGTTTGAGATTTTCTAAAATATTATGTCGTATTATTATTAAAAAAATCATTTGCAACATTGACTTGTATTATTATTTTTTGCATACATAATTTGTTTTTGTTTTTCTTTAATTAATTGAAAAATACATTAAAAAAAGTATCAAATTAAAATTTATAATAAAAAATAAATTGCATAAAATATGTCATCTACCAACTAAATTTTAAGAGAAATGTGAAAGCTACAGGATACATACATCCATGTTTGCATATATATGTATACACACACATTAGAAATAGCGTGAAGCCCTAGAATTTATTCTAGGAAATGCAATCCCAACTTATTCATCTATTTGAATAACACCCATACAGAAATTGCACTAATACCCAACTTATTCATCTATTTGAATCACACCCATACAGAAATTGCACTTCAAGATGTTTCCGATCTCCTAAACCTTTCTGCAGCACGTTCAGCATATGGAATATGAATATAAAAGCTAGTCAATCTCAAGGTTAAACTTTCTATTTATAGTATTCCCTATAAAATAAAGAACAACCAAGTTCATATAGAGTTTTCAACCTGTTTCTGGTAGAGAAAAAGAACATGACCAAAATAGATCAAACGTATGCAAAAAAATAAGTCACACACACACGGAAAAAAACTCGTGTTTTGCGCAAATAGAAAAGGTCAACCCTGATTCCCCTTAAAGAACCCAAGGTCGGTAGCTTTGAAAGAGTCGATAAAGACCGTAGAGTTACAACCTAATTTCAGTTGACGAAGTAGCTCATGCATGTCAACTTCTGACTCTGTCTATCCTTGCATTCTAATCCAACCAAGGACAACATAAAAGAATAATGGTTTAATCGCAACATACGTCCCTCTATTCTTGATATGTTCTTAATACAACTCCTGTATTATTTTTTTATTCAACCCCTCTTCGTACTTTTTAATTTTTCTTAACATGACCATTCCGATTATTTTCCGGTCAATTTTCCGATTAAAACTGACATGTGGTATTAAAAATCCACATGGCATACCATGTCATATTAATTTGTCACGTGGGCAATAAAATAAACTAAAAAAATTATATTTTTTCAGAAATAAAAATTATTATTACACGTAAAAAACAATAGGAATACAAAAAAGTGAATAAATTAGTTGAACAATACCCATTGATAAAAAAAAAACAAAAAACAAAAAACAAAAAACAAAGAAAAAAACGGAATGAGCATCTAGAAAAAATCTGCCTTATATTTGTAGATAAATATACTTCATCACCGCCAGCCAACTAATGAAACTATGCATGGGAATATCCAAAGGGCCCTAAACAAGTCTGTGCCAGACTATCTTTGTTTGTTTACTTCTAATTGTTTCCCATGCAATTCTTGAGGAATAGATGCAGTTTGAATAGCGATGGCAATGGGACAGGGCGGGGATCGCCATCCCCATCCCTGCCCCGTCCCTTATAAAAAAACCCATCCATATCCCGTGCCCCGTTCGGGGTGAAATTTTGCTGCCCATCCCCACCCCAAACGAGACGAGGCCTCGCCATCCTCGCCAAATTATTTTTTTTAAAGGTAAAAAGGCAGGAAGGGGATCGCCATCCCCATCCCCGCCTCAAACGGTTGGGGAAAAAAAAATGCAAGCAAGAATATTTAGTCATGTCCTCTAGCAACTACATTCCAAGAGAAATGTGAAAGCTTCAAGATAAAATTTTCAGCCTTTTTTGATGATATTGATGTGTAGGAGTATTAGTGTTCAAATTTCCTTTCAGTGAAAACCTTACTAAATAGTGACAGATTGAGGTTGTACTGAGTTTCTCTATACTATTGGTATCTATCCTAGAAATTCAGCATATGCAAGTGCACCATGGCACCTCAAACACCACCTTGAACCTGAAGCTCCTTTGAAAATCTTTGACTAAGTTTGGGAATTATGAATTTGCTGCTTCCAAATAGAAAAAGAAAAAAAAAGAGTCAGATTAGAATCCATACAAATAATGCATCATCTATCAAAGAAAATAAAAGAATTTAACCATACAATGAAGAAAAAAAAACCCGAAGCCAAGAATAAATAGCAAAAGGTTAAATTATTTCAGATCCAACAAGGGAACCAATCTTGCAGGCAGAATCAAATACACACAAAAAAAAATCTATATATGACAGAAGTTTAATGCAAGAAAAAACATGAGCCACTGGAAGGGCTGTTAGAGAATATAAAAGAAGTTGTATTGTGGAGTTAAATCAACTTTGCTGGCTCATAAATATTCAGCACCTGAAGGTTTCAAAGACCCCACCATAAAACACTTTACTGAGATAGTGAAATTATAATTGTAAGTCCAGAATATACAGTATCATATGCAAGTGTCTTGCAGACAAATAGCACATTCACATGAATAGACACGTGTGAAGATGATCCCCTGCGTTTGATTTACAATCTTGGTTTTCCTAAAATTACCCCTCATAGTAACTTTAAACAAAAAAATCTTAATGGACCATATAACATTTTGCTTTACGCTTTTCTATCTCGTCATTTGAATGCGAAGAGATGCTATACTATTAGTGAAGAGCAAACATCACATCAATTCAGCAGTTAAAAAGAATTAAATGCAAGTTTGAGCAAGAACATAATCAGGGCTATAAGCGTTAATATATAAAGAAGGAAAAAGTAAAGGGACAAACCAACCTCTCCAATAAGATCAAGTGCACCAAGATATCGAATTATTGCTTCCTACTTCTTTAAAGAACTAGCAAACGTTGCTCCACTGCTTCTACCAACCATATGAGTTGCTTTAGCGAACCAACCCTCTTCACATTCTTCAACCCATCTGCATAACCTAAAATCAAACACAACCACAATCAAAACTAACAATACTAGCATTCATTTACAGTAGTTGCACTTCAAGATCTTCACTTTCACAATCTGTTTAAGTCCACCTCTTCCCTTTGACCTTTGAATCTCCTAAACCTTTGTGCAGCACCTTCACCATATAACATATGAATATAAAGAGTTAGTCAATCTCAAGAATAAAAAAAATGGACATGAGTGTTAAACTTTTTATGTACAGCATTCCTAATAAAATAAAGAACAACCAAGTTCATACAGAGTTTTCAGCCTGTTTCTGGTAGGGAAAGAGAACATCAACAAAACAGATGAAACGAATGGAAGAAATAAGTCACACACACATGGTTCGGGGCAAATATAAAAGGTGAACCCTGATTTCCCTAAAAGGACCCAAGGTAGGTAGCTTTGAAAGAGTAGGTAAAAACCGAAGAGTTACAACCTAACTTCACCTGACAAAGTAGCTCATATCTGTCAACTTCTGACTGTTGTCTATCCTTACATTCTAATCCAACTAAGAACAGCATAAAAGAATAACAGATGAGGTAATCAACATGCATTGAAATAACTCTAGCTATGATATTTAAGAGTTCACTCTCATGATGCAATTTCTTCGCTGATGGAAGATACTAAAACAGGATTCTAGAAATGCAGTCATGTTGTGAAAGGTCTGCAAGCAACAGAGTGCAATTTAGCAGTAATCAAAGCCCAAAACAATGGCCAATATGTTCTTAAATGCCATCATTAAACGAAGTAACTAAATCAAGTTATAGGCAACAATTTGTCATCCAAACTCCAAAGGAAGATGTTTGTAGTATTCCTAAATATTTTTTGTTTAAAATCTAACAAAGTAGCCTCCAAGTATCTCCTTATAGTAGTAGAAACTGTGGCAGTTAAGAAGTTGCAACCTCCCAAATAGGAACTGGCCAATCCATGGGTATACCATGAGGTTACAAAGGTTGTACTTGTGAACCAGCCCCCTAAACCAAAATAGGCACTAGGAAAGAGAATAGACTGGACCAACCCACAAAAACGAAATGATCCCTCCATAACCAGTCATCCATAATATTAAATAAATCATTTTCGTCTTTGGTAAATTTACCAAGTGCTATAGCCATAGTGATCATCCTATTCAACTGCTTCAACCATTTCCGAACACCTCATAGTATTTTCAGGGCCTTTCAAACTTCTATCATTTATTTATGGTTTCTTGTCCACTGCCCCCTTTAATTTCTAATGGGTTTTGAAGGTCAAAATTTTTTTTCGGTCCATAACGTGATTTAGGTAAATTCATGAACTCAATTTGGTTATTCCTTCTTAGTCTTAATAACCATACAAACCGTGAACTCAATTTGGTTATTCCTTCTTAGCCTTAATGATGGGGGACGTGTACAGCAGCCCTAATTGGGAATTTGGGTGATTGATTAGGTCATTATAGTAATTTCAGATATGCTGGAAAATCTGAAATTATATTATTTCTGTTTAAGTATTTTATTAATTCTAAAGTTAGTTTTCCTATTCTAAAATTGGAGTAGTTATAGGTTTACCTAGTCTAAATAGGAATAGTTATGTTGGAGGTTTAGGAATCCTTTTCCTTACTAAACAATTTCCAGCAATTTGCTTCTGATTGTGTGACTCAATCTCCCTTAGGTGTGACTCCTAAGAACCCTAGGTGTGAAGCTTAGGATTTTTCTACTCTCTAGGTGTGACTCCTAGAATCCTACCCATATACTTCCTCATATTCCAGCAGAAAACCCACTTCAATACAAC